AATAATAATAATAATAATAATAATAATAATAATAATAATAAACCTTTATCTAGGGGTTTGATTGTGGCGAGAAAGAGAGAACCCAAATCAAGTCTTGAAACTTTCAATGTATAAAACAGATTTGCTATAATTAAACTAATTTAAAATGTATTATTCTTTTTTTTTATTATAAAACAATAAAGCTAGAAAATAATAAAGAATACAATAAAAACATCAAATGAATGAGATCCTTTTTAAATCTGATATATATGAAGTAAGTGCAGTTTGTAGTAGTATCTCTGATTTAAAGACTGGTCACAGGTGCTCATGGCAGTTTTGAATTTAAACATTTCAAAAGCACTTAAAACATAAAAGTCAATTGTTTTACAGGCTAAAAAACTTTCAACTTTCATAATGTCCTTAAGGCTTAATAAGCCAAATAAAGCTGTCAGTGGCACTAGTAAGTCCACAGCGCCCCCTATCAGCTGATATCAGAGGTTCAGCATCCAATGCAATTTATTATTCCTGTCACGTCCTCCGGGAGCAGCAGTATCACGACACATCTTACACTCCCTGATGAAATGTGAAATTACATCCCCAGTGACTCACATAATCATCACCACTTAGTTTTCTTATAACAGTTATTAATAATGCACCACTGTGAGTCACTATCAGTCCCAACAGAATTATACAGAAAGACAAGCAGATAGACAGATAGACAGATAGATAGATAGATAGATAGATAGATAGATAGATAGATAGATAGATAGATATACTTTAAGAAACTTCTATACAGCCTAAAGTGACATGTAAATTCTTTACCAGGTTAATTAGGGTAACAAGGCAGGTTAGGGTAATTAGACAAGTTATTATGCAATGGTTTGTTCTGGAGACCATTGAAAAAAATATTGCTTATAGGAGATAATTAGTGACCTTAAAATTAATTTAAAAAATATTTATTTAAAACTGCTTTTATTACTGCCAAAATAAAACAAATAAGACTTTATCCAGAAGAAAAATATATTATCAGACATACTGTGAACATTCATTTACTCTGTTAAACATCATAGATAATAACACAGAGAAAACGCAGTTTAGCGCCCCCTGTACTGTTTGAAACGGCTAACGTCATTGCACATTTTAGCCAGTTCGAACACAGACCATTATCACCCTAGGTACACTAGAGGGCGCCTCTTCATCTACGTATCTACAGGTAAATGGCATCAATTTATTACTTATAGGTGGGAAATAAAAAATTAATATTATGTGTACCGACATGATTGACATTTATTTGTTGTTTTGGTTATAGGCCAAAGGTCATGTGTGTGTGAGAGATAGATAGATAGATAGATAGATAGATAGATAGATAGATAGATAGATAGATAGATGATAGATAGATAGATAGATAGATAGATAGATAGATAGATAGATAGATAGATAGATAGATAGATAGATAGATAGATAGATGATAGATAGATAGATAGATAGATAGATAGATAGATAGATAGATAGATAGATAGATAGATAGATAGATAGATAGATAGATAGATAGATAGATTTACAGATAGATATACTTTAAGAAACTTCTATACAGCCTAAAGTGACATGTAAATTCTTTACCAGGTTAATTAGGGTAACAAGGCAGGTTAGGGTAATTAGACAAGTTATTATGCAATGGTTTGTTCTGGAGACCATTGAAAAAAATATTGCTTATAGGAGATAATTAGGGACCTTAAAATTAATTTTAAAAACATTATTTATTTAAAACTGCTTTTATTACTGCCAAAATAAAACAAATAAGACTTTATCCAGAAGAAAAAAAATATTATCAGACATACTGTGAACATTCATTTACTCTGTTAAACATCATAGATAATAACAAAGACAAAACCGCAGTTTAGCGCCTCCTGTACTGTTTGAAACGGCTAACGTCATTGCACATTTTAGCCAGTTCGAACACAGACCATTATCACCCTAGGTACACTAGAGGGCGCCTCTTCATCTACGTATCTAGAGGTAAATGGCATCAATTTATTTCTTATAGGTGGGAAATACAAAAATAATAATATGTGTATCGACATGATTGACATTTATTTGTTGTTTTGGTTATAGGTCAAAGGTCATGTGTGTGTGAGAGAGATAGATAGACAGACAGACAGACAGACAGACAGACAGACAGACAGACAGATAGACAGATAGATAGATAGATAGACAGATAGATAGATAGATAGATAGATAGATAGATAGATAGATAGATAGATAGATAGATAGATAGATAGATAGATAGATAGATAGATAGATAGATAGATAGATATACTTAAAGAATCTTCTATACAGCTTAAAGTGACATGTGAATTCTTCACCAGGTAAATTAGGATAACTAGGGAGGTCAGGGTAATTAGACAAGTTATTGTTTGACAATGGTTTGTTCTGGAGACCATTGAAAAAATATTGCTTATAGGAGATAATTAGTGACCTTAAAATTAATTTAAAAAATATTTATTTAAAACTGCTTTTATTACTGCCAAAATAAAACAAATAAGACTTTATCCAGAAGAAAAATATATTATCAGACATACTGTGAACATTCATTTACTCTGTTAAACATCATAGATAATAACACAGAGAAAACCGCAGTTTAGCGCCCCCTGTACTGTTCGAAACGGCTAACGTCATTGCACATTTTAGCCAGTTCGAACACAGACCATTATCACCCTAGGTACACTAGAGGGCGCCTCTTCATCTACGTATCTACAGGTAAATGACATCAATTTATTTCTTATAGGTGGGAAATAAAAAATTAATATTATGTGTACCGACATGATTGACATTTGTTTGTTGTTTTGGTACATAGATAGATAGATAGATAGATAGATAGATAGATAGATAGATAGATAGATAGATAGATAGATAGATAGATAGATAGATAGATAGATAGATTTACAGATAGATATAGACAGACAGACAGACAGACAGACAGACAGACAGACAGACAGACAGATAGATAGATAGATAGATAGATATATAGATAGATAGATAGATAGATAGACCCTGCACCAACACATATACCTGTGGTTATTTTTTTTTTTAAATAAGATCGAATGACTTAATTAGTATGCAGAACAGGAATATGGCCCTCCAAAAATGAGATCTCTATACATCTTTAGCATGAAACAATACAACTACATTTATGTGGGTAATAACTCACAGCAAGTAACTGCACATCAATAGATAGCTTACTTGTGAGCCAGGAGAGGTATTGAAAAGTTGAAATGTGTATGCATCAAATAAGGTCTTGTTTGAAAGGCTGTGCATATGCAAGTATACGCCTAAAACTATAAGCTTAAAACTGATAATTATAGCTCCCCTCTGTGGCACAAAGTGTTTCTGTGGAGGCATGTTTGAACTGCTGTTAATACTGACAGTTGTGAAGGTCAAGTGCTCTGCTGTTGTGTAATGCGGTAGAGATCCAGGCTCTGTTTAAGTGTTTCATGGTCATGGGAGGCTTGCTGTAGGCTCTATAAAACACCAGCTCTTCTTGTGCTCTGAAGTATTTACTGAAGATGCCACTTTGTTTTATGTGGCGTTACTCAACTTTTTATATAACATTTGCTAGGGAATTACACTACCTGACAAAAGTCTTGTCGCCTATCCAAGTTTTAGGAACAACTAATAATATCTTGACTTCTAGTTGATCGATTGGTATCAGAAGTGGCTTATATGAAAGGCAAAGTCCTCTAGATTACGCTTATCATACCAAAATAAAACATGATCATGTCTTGATTTTTAATTATTTAATTAGGACAGAAAGGTCTGACTTTGCTTAGACAAAAGTCTTGTCACTTGACAGAAATAATGTGTAGTATATGAAGTCATGCTGCTGTTTAAAAATAATTAATTTTGTGTATGACTTCTATGAGCTTGGACGACTGCATGCATACATTTCTGCAATGACTCAAATCACTGATTAATAAAGTCATCTGGAATGGCAAAAGCATCTTTGCAGAACTTTCAATGTTCATCAAAATTCTTTGGATTCATCTTCAATGCCTCCTTCTTAGCCCAGACATGCTCAATAATGTTCATGTCTGGTGACGGGGCTGGCCAATCCTGGAGCACCTTCACCTTCTTTGCTTTCAGGAACTTTGATGTGGAGGCTGAAGTATGATACTGCATTCAGATAATTCTTATTATTATGAATATTTATTATTGTCAGCCACTTTAAACATAATAAATAGTTTGAACAATAACACACATAGAGGTAAAAGAAAGATAAATAAAAGGTCTACGTTTAAATTAAAATGTGATTTTAAAAGTTAATTAAAGATGTCTCTGTTCTTAAATAGTTTGAAGAAAACTGCAGTACTTAACTGTAAAGCATAATCATAAAGTAGCCTATTCAGCAAAACCTGCAAATGTTTCTTGGACCTCATAAATATAGGCAATACCGTATGTCATAATATTCATATCTCTGTTTGATAAATTTTGAAATACATGTTGCATGTATATACGACTTATTTGTATATCTTTGAAATCTTTGTGTTTCAAATATATGAATTGGATTTACATATTTAAATTAGAAACTAGATCCGCCAACTGCTCATTAGAGTAGGTTTTGTGTATCAGAGAAGCAAGTGATTAAACTATACCTTGTCAACCTTCGGATATAAAAATTCGAGATACGCCCCCAACAACCGTCACAAGTATGGGGAGGAAAATAACCTCAAATAATAGAATACATAAACATTAGAAAAATTAAAATTAAATAAAAGTTTAGCCTATTAAAATCAATTTCCTGATTACATCGTTGTTATCGTATGTGTCAAAGTGTGTTAATTGTTTTACTTGAATTATTCAGTGATTCCTCCGCGTACCACTAGAGGGAAGCCAGCATACCACTTGTGGTACATGTACCACAGTTTGAGAACCATTGTGCTAGACACTTTCTAGGATGAATGCTTATGGTGGTCTTTCTTTTAGAAGTGATGAGGTTTACTATGGTTAATAACAACGAGACAGACTTGATTGGCAGTAACATTTATTGGTGTTTCCAATGAAAGTAAAACACAATTCAAGAGGGTCTGTTACCTGCCTCTTGCTATAGAATTTCAACACGCTAGCGTTTATAACTTTCATCTGAACGACAGTTTCTCAAATGATCACTTTCCTTTCAAGCAATGTTTAGTGAGAAGGAAAGAAAACAGAAATGAATTCACCATGGTGTTACCCTGTTTGGTCAGGTTCATGACGTTCCTCATACGACAAACCGATGGACATGATGGGTAGCCGGGAACCAGCAGGAAGAACACTGCTCTTAAAGGCCTGAGAGCTGCTACAGTGCAAAGCAAGAGAAAGAGAGACGCAGGAAGAAGAAAAAGTGCGATAGAGAGACATCCAGACGTTAAATATGCTTATATAGAGGCATGCCAAGGAACTACACACGCTAATAGTAAAGCTGCGGAAGAACGAGCGAAAGACAGAGAGAAAGATAGAGATACGGTCGCGAAAGCTTACAATTTCTAGCCACATAGAACATGCTTGCTTAGCAGATAAATACGTTGGGTAATGCTAACACAGAGTGAGCAAGCTAGCGACAGAGTACTATATATTTGAAGCTAAGCTATCCATATTGCCACTAAAACTAACACCAGGTTCCACTATATATAGATAGATAGATATATATGAATATTTGGGATTGTATTTCACAAGCTCGGAAGGCAAGGCGTTCATGCACGTGCAAAGAGAGCAGGTTTGTAGCAGCAGCAGCGGGGAAAGACGGCACAAAGGCGTTCCAAGACTACCACAGTGAGGATGTCGATGCGTTTGTCATGATTACAAGAGCATAAAATTACACAAACTATGTGACACAGCTTGTCGATCCTGAAAAGAGACAGAAAAAAAACACTGGTATCTCAAAAAACTACAAACTTAGCATTCCTTCCATGCTGAAAAAGAAGATAGCTTGTTAGGTTAGCTTGTTGCTAGCTAGAACCATATTAGCTCACTGCAAAAAAATGATGTGCTCAGTACTTTCGTCTTGTTTTCCAGTATACATTTCTATATATTCTTAAATAAGGAAACATTTACTTAAGAAACAGACAAGGTAACATATTAAGGGTCAGATTTACTAACTGGTAGCTTGGCATTTTTAAAAGATGCACTGCAGAAAACTTGATGATGAAGCGAGGAAACACCTAGCTTCATATATGGTTTATTTGTTGGTGATTCCAAAACAAGCCCATAGAAATTCATGTTTGATTTAGTGGCTAATTCATATGAGTTTGTACAATCTCATCTGTACATTTTAGTACAATTTTCTCATACTGCAATTCCGCATGTGCGCACGAATTGGAAGCGATGCGCTCGTGTCTTCCAGGCTCACCTAGTTGAAAACATCTCAGTTTTTCAGAATAACGCAAGTCACGTGACAAGAATTATTTAATTAGCTTCATACTTTGTATGGAATATACACATTTCAGGAGGCTAAACACTTAATAGCCAAACACTCCAGTGCTTTTTAATTTTCTCCATAAATAAAACTTGTATCAGAGTTGCAGCAATGTTTTGTCAGCCCGTCATTCCCTGAGAAAACGGTTGATGGTCACCTAGCAATCTACTGTACGTACACCCAACCTCCAAGCCCCCCATCATACGTCAACCCCCGATTCTCCCCACCCAGGCCGCGGTAAAATCGTCGTTGACTGATCCACTGTGATAAAAATGTTGGGGACCACTGATATAAATGACAACCAAAATTCTTAAAACGTTTTCCATCATGAGAATCAAAAGCACACTCCCATCAGTAGGCTGCTTTCACAGGAGAGTATTCAAGTCAATTGTTTACTAGTCTTGTTTACCAAAACATGTCTCAAAATGTAATTTATTTTTGATTGCCAATGAGGTGAGAAAAATAATCTTTCTTTTCTTTCTATTTACATTTTTCTGACCCCTTTGGCACACATGTTTTTGTTTACAAAGCAAATTTAGCTAATTTAAAATGATATTTCAAGACCACTAGACTCATTATCTCAAGTCATTCTAAAGTAGATGCTTCTTGCTTTTAAAATGTCGATATGTGTACTGGAAAAACAACAAAAATATTGGGTGACGACATCATTTTTTGGAGTGCAACTTTCAGTTGTGCTTTTCCAGCAGGTAGAAACATAGCATTAAATCTACAAATGATTTTAGCAATAAAGCAACTCTCATCCCAAACGGATGACCAAGCCTTGGACACATTCAGACAACGCTAAGTTTCTTAAAACATCAAACTAAGAACATCCATTGGACAGATCATCATACATATAAGCTAAAGTGCACAAGCTCCTCTTTAGGAGAACTAGACAATACTGGCAATTAATACTAAGGCAATACAGTTACAAACACACGAAAATACAAATCGGCACAGGATGTCAAGTTAACCACTTGGGCACGAATACAACCAGCATCGGTTCAGAAATGGCTCTCCAAATGTGCTATAATAATAATCATTTCGAGTAAGTGTGTTAAAATGCACTGGATCCTCCATACACATATCTTTGCAGTTACATAAATCATCATATTCAACACGCACACACGCACGCACGCACGCACACACAAGCAGAACGCATCTACCATTTAGGATTAAATATTTCTTGAATAGAGAAAATAATGTTATTTACCACACAAATAGACTCTGCGTATATACAATACAGTGATGTATTCACATAGATATGTACTCGATCAAGAACATCTTAAAAGACTATTTACACACTATCATAGGGCATAACCCCACGTATGCTTATGCGTTCTTTTCTTTTTGGAGTTTATATATATATGACATTAAATTTAGCTCTGTTAATACCCTGAAATATTTATCATTATGTATAGGAAAGCTAAACAAGTGCATGGATGGGTTGGTAAATTAAGAAATCTAATGCTATTGTGTAATGTAGGGAAGCGAAGGTATTTATATTAAATTTGTCATTTTATTTATTTTTTTATTTTTTTAAATACTGTATATGATGTGCATATGCTATTGTTTAAAGAATTAATATTATATTTATTCTCATTTTACTTTACTTAACCACTATTGCACTTTACTCAATTGGAAATTACACATTTCAAGGCAAAAGAACATTGAATATTGTTGATGATTGCACATATTTTAAGGTGGACAGGTAATTCTTATATTGTGATCAGGATAAATATTTTGGGATGTGTTTATTAGAAGATACAAGTTAATATTTACATTTCTAAATACAGTTGAAGTCTGAATTATTAACCCCCCTTTGAATTTTTTCTTCTTTTTAAAAATATTTTCCAAATGATGTTTAACAGAGCAAGGACATTTTTACAGTATGTCTGATAATATTTTTTCTTCTGGAGAAAGTCTTATTGGTTTTATTTTGGCTAGAATAAAACCAGTTTTTAATTTTTAAAACACCATTTTAGGGACAAAATTATTAGAACCTTTAACCTATTTTTTTTCCCGATAGTCTACAGAACAAACCATCATCATACAATAACTTGCCTAATTACCCTAACCTGCCTAGTTAACCAAAATAACCCAGTGAAGCTTTTAAATGTCACTTTAAGCTGTATATAGTCTTGAAAAATATCAAGTAAAATATTATTTACTGTCATCATGGCAAAGATAAAAATAAATCAGTTATTAGAAATAAGTTATTAAAATTCTTATCTTTAGACATTTGTTGAAAACATCTCTCCGTTAAACAGAAATTAAGGAAAAAATAAACAAGCGGTCTAATAATTCAGGGGGGGGGGGGTTAATAAATCTGACTTCAACTGTATGTTTAATGTTAATTTTAATCAGCTTTTAGAAGTGTAAAACTATATAAAGCACCCAATTTTATCTCTTTTTTTGACACTTTTTCAAATAAAAATGGCTGATTTTTGAGTATTTGGTAAAATAATAGTTAAAAACTATTTTAAAAACGAATAATTGTAAATCTTGATAGAAATGATGAAGTGCTTTTGGATTAATATGTCTCTACTATCATACTATAGTCACGTATACATATCAATGTAATCTGGCACCTTGAATAACTGTTCAAATGGAAACATATGATCTGCACCGAATAGAAGCAAACAACTCTTCATATTCTCAATAAACATGTAAACAAACAAAGTCATGTCAAAGACATTAAGATAGACAGTAAAAGCAGACGGTAACACTTTTACAGGGCTCTGGACCATGAAGCCCACAACGACGCTACAATACTATACTCTAGATATTTTCATATTATCCTTTTTTTGTTTAAATGTGACTTTGGAGAAGAGGAATCAGAGATTTACCGTTACATTCACAACAAATATGCAATCCATCCAGGGACACGGGAGTAACAGGTTTTGGTGCGGTAAGTTTTAAAGATCCTGCCCCAGTCGCTCGATCTCTTCAATGAGGAAGTCAATGTCTTCAAAGGTAGCGGCTGGATTGGAGATGACCATGCGGAAGAAGTTGACCTTGTCTCCCTGTGGCTGGTAGCTCACCATGGTCGTGCCGTACTCCATCATTCTGGCTTTGATTACAGGGGCAACCTGGGAGGAAACATTTTTATTAGTTTAGGCATGAAGAAATAACTTTTTCTATTAGTCTTCATCCATCAGTTTTACGTTGTTTCAGCTAATCTCGCGTAGATAAGGTGCCATCTACTGTTGTTAAAGCATGTTGGTTTAAACTAAAAAGACAGGTTAGATTTTTTTTTTTTTAAAAACAGAATGAGAACTTGGCAATATATATATATATATATATATATATATATATATATATATATATATATATATATATATATATATATATATAATATTTCAGCATATATATACATACAGTTGAAGTCAGAATTATTAGCCCCTAGGTTTATTTTTACCCCAACTTCTGTTTAATGGAGAGAAGATTTTACAATAATTTTAATACCTCATTTCTAATAACTGAAGTGACATTTAAAAGCTTAACTAGGGTAATTAGGATAACTAGGCAGGTTAGGGTAATTATATTTAATTATAAGTTATTATATAAAGATGGTTTGTTCTGTAGGCAATTAAAAAATATATAGCTTAAAGGGGCTAATAATTTTGTCCTTAAAATGGTGATTAAAAATTAAAAACTGCTTTTATTCTAGCCAAAATAAAACAAGAAAGTCTTTCTCCAGAAAAAAAAATATTATCAGACATACTGTGAAAATGTCATTGCTCTGTTAAACATAATTTGGGAAACATTTAAAAAAGGAAAAGCAATTCAAAAGGGGCTAAAATTTCAGACATTAACTGTAAGTGTATATACTGTATGTATAAACTGTATGTATAATTATGTAATAATATGAAATTAAAGTAATTAAAAACGGTTAAGTTTTTAATATCTATTCATTTACCCCAATGTCTCTCTGTGTTTGTGTGTGTGTGTATACTCAAAATAGTGTAATTTTTGCTGTTTGTTCAAACTACTTGTTTTAAATAAGTCAAAACAACACAATTCTTGAGTGTTTTATGTTCAGTCCACTTCAATTTGTCAAAACCATTTAACTGATTTGAGCTTGGACAACATGAATAAATTGTGTGGAACCCAGCAGTTTTTAAAGTATATGTACAATTATATATATTTTCATAGTCTAAAACAACAAAATCCCATTGAGATACAGACAAAATATATTATTTTGTATTTCCACAAACAGCATTATTTAAATGATGTTTTCTATGTGAATATTTCAGCATTTTATGCACTCCAGTGATTTAAAACTATGTTTAATGATGTTTTTCATCAGTGCATAAGATGTATTTCCCCAAAGTATGGACCCGATCTCACAAAGAAACATTACTATTTTATGTATTGCCAGAAAAGTGGTGCTTTCATTCAAATTATTCAATTTCATTCATACAATTGCATAGGATTTTCAAGAGGCATGTCCACAAACTCCGCCCCTAGCTGCCCAAAACCAACTGCCATTGGGGATGAGCAAATCATAAATGAATGAGATTGAACCACATTCGAATATTATATATATATATATATATATATATATATATATATATATATATATATATATATATATATATATATATATATATATATATAAAGCACATTTCACAGACACAAAATGCTTTACAGTAAAATAAAACTTGCATCATACCAAGATAAAATCCAAGTAACATAAATAACAAAATAACACAAGAAATACAAATTATTGTAATATTGCACTGGAAGTAAACCGACTTCAACACAAAGCAGTTCAAGTTCTTTCACAATTGTATTGAAATTAAACATCAGAAAATCTACAGTTTTCCTAAACCTAACCTGATGTTCTTCAGTCTGTCCTTGGCTTAGCATGGGCTGAACTGATTAGAGCAGTAGTTTTGGACAGTATGTGGAGCCGTAATCTGAAAAGCTGAAAGACCCACAGCTGCTCATCATCATCACATAATTACACCCACTTCCCCTCAAATCTTCTGCAGGTGTTCGGTTATTTTAAGCCGTGGCCTTTTTCCAGCGCCTATATATCTACTTCAGTCTCAGTGACTACACTTACATAGACATCTTTTGTTTCAACAGGAGAAGAATCCTTTAAATTGATGATTCTGAACGTGATATTTTACATGAATGCTAAATAAATCAACTGATCACACTGCTATATGTTCTGGTTTTTGCTCATATTATTCATGTATCATTGATCATTTTCATCATTTTAAAAAACAAACTTAATGTTAACAATGAATTAACAGATGACAAAAGTTTGAATGAAGCTTGTCTTTTAAATAAAGTAAAAATCATTCCTGTAATAAGTGTGCCATTTGTGGCAGACAATAAGCTGTGAGGACTGATTTGACTGTTTTTTTTTGCTCCACTTCAAAAAAAAAAAAAAAAAAAAAGAGGTTATTAAGTGCTCTTCACTAAATACCAAGTAACTTTATTCAATATTTAAATACAGTTAATTAAGGTGAACACAATTTTATGACAATTTAATTTTTGTATAGGCCTTTGATTTTAATAAGTTAAACCTTTTATTTTATTGTCAATATGTTGTAATGTTTGTTATGAATTCTATCATTTGAAGCTAATTTCCTCCCCATATTTGTAACAGTTTCAATTACGCTTAAACACAATTAAACTGCTCTAAATTAACAGATTAAGGAGTTTGGGGTCATTTTAGTAAATCTTCTGGGTAGGGTTTTTTTTTGTATCCCGTAATTTCCCGTTTTAGTGTATTTATTTACACTAGTTTACGGAGTAGACAGATTTTAACTTTAATGCTTCGCTAACTATACATATGTTTAATTTTTTTCGGGTGAATTACGAAGAAAAATGTGTGTGTGTGTGTGTGTGTGTGTGTGTGTGTGCTATTATAAAAAAGGACAACATATTTAAACTACACAAGTGAAAATATTCAACTCTAAACCCAAGTGGATTCACACAAATTGTGTTCTCATACCTTCTAGTTTTTGTTTACAAGTGTTTACTTGTTTTCTCAGTCAGATTAGAAAAGGTTACGCCACCTTTTCCGGTATGAATGAAATTTGATTTGAATTGAGCTGAACTACATTGATTAAAGTGTTTCCACACACAAAAATCTGTTCAATAGAGCTGTCGATCTGATTACTGACTTGTTAGCTGCATGCAAACAAAGGATCTGATATACTAGAACCTGCCAAAATGTGTTTTCATAAATGCCTAAAAGACAAACAAACACACAGTTTCACTATTAAAATGATTTACCAAAACATTATATAAAAGATAAACATAAGGTTTCTTCACTTCTTTTAGTCCATAATATGGGTAAAAATGGGTGAACCTACTTACTATTTTTACATTTTTGAATGACATTTTTTAACTCAACTGTTGTTTTTGTGCATAACTTACCCACATTCATAGTGTAGCTTCAGGCGAACGAGGAGGGGTTTGTGAGTAGTGTTTGTTAAAGGCCTCCTATGTATGACCAGCACGAGTGCCATCTGCTCAGTCTAATTGCCCATTATAGCTTTTCTACCATGGGAGTGACTTATGAGCAACCAGCCAATAAAAGGACACCTGATGAGCAGCCCCTCCCCCAACTATGACATCACTGCAAGGGTGCCATTTGAGATTTTTTCTCCCACATATCAGACAGACAGACTTCACATTAAGCACCATGTGGAGGGACTGATTATACTTTACGCCAGAGTTATATGTTTGTACAGTAATATAACTGGTTTTAGTACCATTTTTTTGTCAGAAATTGTACATATTGCACACAATGACAGGGAATTGACAAATAACACATAAAACATATTGAATTTAAAAAGAAAATCTGAATTTGTAGTAAAACTGTGTTAGTATTTTATTATAAAGCATTATCCAGTGATGCTGATCTTAATCAGATCTTTATAAAATGTGTAGGTTATAATAGGGGAACAAGTCTGTATGGCAGAAAGTCGCTTTTTCTTGTTGAAAAACGAAAGCCACTTGAGCTGTTCACATATAACTTTAGTTTCATTATTTCAAATTTAAATGCGTAAAAATAGAAAACAACAGCGAACGCTGCAAATTGTGCTTTAATGTTTGGCTGGTCAACTGCATAGTATAGAAACCTTATATACCTGCTAGACATGCGGATGAACCTGTCTCATACAGCTGCCATTGCACGGCTCAAATACACTTTGTAGTGTGCAAATCAACTGCCTCTAGGAGTCGCCAATGCAAATAAAACAAACACACACAAGAAATGCACGTACGCCAGACATGAAGTTGGCGTGGACTAACGCACATTCTCACGTTCATTTCATCGTTAGTAAATCCAAACGTAAAACCTGGCGTACGCAAAGTTTTTGTGCCTACGCAGCGTTGATACATGAGGCCCCTGGAGTTTTTATTTATTTAATGTCTTTACTGAATGAGCAATGTACTATATCCGACAGATTACACTATTATGTTTTTCTTTTCTTTTTCATTCTTTTAAAAAGCTGTTTTTTCACACAATTTAATCTGTTTTTAATATTTTTTTATTCGTTTAATCGCTTTATTTTCTTGTTTCTTTTATTCTTGTTTATGTAAAGCACTTTGAATTACCATTGTGTATGAAATGTGCTAAATAAATAAATAAATTTGCCCTGCCTATTACCATCTACACCTACCACAACCCTAAACCCTCACCTCACAATATCCTATTGTGTTTTATTAACGTCTACTACACCTATCCCATCCTTAAACCCAACCTCACAATAACATGTTGTGTTTTATTAACATCTACGACACCTACACCAACCCCAAACCCAGCCTACTTGTGTTACAGTCCCTCCCACATGCAATTGCAGCAATGCCTGGCTTTTTTTGGTACTTTTGACAGTGGACATGGAAATAAGTGAGTGCTGTAATGTACCAAACTGTACCACTCAGTAGAAGCAACCAATAACAGATTAACAGTAATGTTAGATTTTTTAGAAGACTCAGCAAGGCAAAAAAAATAAATAAAAAAAATAAATAAAAAAAGAGAGATGCATTCTTCCTTATTTTGAATCCGCCATTTTGGTTTATTTGAGCATCTTTAAACCCCTTTCATTTCAGTTCAAATCAATTTCTCTCTCACCTTGTGCAGACGCTTCATCCTCTCCACTTTGTCCTCCAGGTAGCGCACGCCCGGTGGAAGGTACCAGAAACACACATTGGTATGCTGCGGCTGCAAGGACACGAGACCATCAGATACAATCAGCGGACGTTCATACACACACCTATCAGTCAACTGAACGTACAACACACGCTCGCATAAATCGAGCACTTCAGGGAGTCCATTAAAGATCCGTGACGGAATATGTGATTAGAGGCCGTCTGGGGCCATAATGGGATTTTTTGTATGTGTGTGTGTGTGTGTGTTTGTGTCACCGTCACTTTGGAAGCAGCCATGTAATCTATTCAATCAGAGGGCTTTTCTGTGAGCGCTTGAGCAGGTAGCTCATAGACAGACACTACAGTCCATTAGAGGCCCTCATCCTCATTGTGGGACTCCAGGGCCCGTGCTAGAGAAGAATACATCCATGCGTCAGTGAATAGGGCTCATTGGCTATTCAAATGGTGCAGACAAAACACAGATCGAGTTGCATCTCTCGGTGTTAGAACCTAAGAAGAACATCAAAATTAAGAGCTGAAACGTTTGGTTAAATGTCACTGGATAGTACCGCAGCACGCATTGCGCTGCAGTGACTTCAGCAAGGGTATATGCTCGCCGAGGAGCCTTCTGTCAAATCGTTTTGTCACATTGGCACCAGGCACAATTTACATTTAAATTAGCCTCGAACGATGGCTCTGTCATTTCAAGGGTGAAACATTTTTATGTTGGATGAATTAGCGCACACAATCAGCTCGAAATGGCTTGGGACTTGCATTTAAATGGGATTGGAAATTTAAAATGGGATTCAGAAATACTGTGAGTTTTGCACGTTTATGCGGATGTGTCAATTCCCTGGGAATAATTTAAGAGCAAATTTAATGAACAAGTCGAGTATCTTTTTATAATAGGGAAATCATAGTTTTGTCAGTTATTAAATTAAAGCACATATCATGAACAAATACAAATCAGGGGGAAAATATATTTGGGGGTCAATATGTTACTCAAGGATTTCTTTGATAAATTACATTGATAAAAAGGAAAGTTCATTCATTCATTTTCCTTTAGCTTAGTCCCTTATTTTATCAGCGGTCGCCACAGCGGAATGAACCGCCAACTATTCCAACACATGATTTATGCAGCGGATGCCCTTCCAGCTGCAACCCAGTACTGGCAAACACTCATGCTCTCATATTCACACATGCACTCATACACAACAGCCAATTTAGTTTATCCAAATCACCTACACTCTCAGAAATAAAGGTTTAAAATCTGTCACTGGTACCTTTTCAAAAGGTAGTACCCTACAGGTGGACATTAGTACCTTTAGGGTTCATTTTTGTACCTTTAAAGGGCACCTATGGTGAAAAATCTACTTTTCAAGCTGTTTGGACAGACATGTGTGTAAGTGTACAGGTGGTCATATTGGGGTGATATAAACACACCGAGTCCTTATTTTTTAATTTAACAACATAAAAACGGTGGACCAATTGGAGCGGTTTTCAGACCGACTGCAACTTGACGTAGGAGTATATATAAATATACACATACACACACACACAACTAACTATATACAGTAAATGTTTGTGTATTTTATTTTGTGTATTTTTATTTTGTTTTATGTTTGCAAAAGTGTTATCTGGGTGTTTATGCACACATCGAGTTTACATTCATATGTGAGAGTTTATGGGTGCATATGCATGGATCGAGTTTATATGTATATGCGAGTGTGTATAGGTGTGTTTGCATGCTGTGAGTTTATACGTATGTGCACGTGTTAATGTGGGTGTTTATGGGAGAATCGAGTTTGTATGTATATGCGAGTGTGTATAGGTGTGTTTGCGTGCAGCAAGCTTATATGTATGTGCATGTGTTAATGTGGGTGTTTATGTGAGGATCGAGGTCACATGTATGTGCGTGTGTATGTGGGTGTATGCATGCGTCAAGTTTATATGTATATACACAAGTTTCATCTGTGTTGTTTTAAACATCCAGTAGTATAGGTGTATATGCGAGTAATTTATAGGTGTATATGCATGTGTTTTACGTATGTGTTGGTAAGCGAAGTTTGATTTAAATCCTACACGACACCTCATAGGTAGTGAGCATAATATTTATATTACATTTATTCTTACAAAGCAATAATTCTGAACATCAACATAAAGGATGATGGATATCACAGCTAATAATTTTAGAAAAGCCCACCTGATTGAGATGTAAACAACCATGAATATGAGCCATGAAGTAGGGATGTGTTGTATTATATTGTCATTATATCACAATAATAGACAGAAATGGATTGAAACAGTGGTGCGGCAACCACTGTAATAACAACAACAACAACAACAGAAAATGTCGGTCCATAATTGTGGCAGTACTGTGACATTATTATCATAATATGCTCAATATCTATAAGAACAGACTGTGTTTTAGGAAAACATGTTCAGGCTAGTTAATTTTGTAATTCTTTCCTTTGAATGTTCTAATTTCTTTTATATAAAATTTATAATTTCATCTTTCATGAAGCGATCACGATATTTACTGAGTGAAAGTCACTGACGATGGAGTGCAACAGTAAAAGCCAAGAGAAATAAATGGTCAGAATATATGACTGACCTTTCCATCAAACACCATCTGATATCCTTCCCTGTCCTTAATCTTGTTGTAGAGATATTCGGAAAGCTCCAGGCATTTGTCGATCTGAGCCTCAAAACCAATCGTGCCCTTCAGAGGAGAAAGGAAACACATTGTGATAACACAGTAATGTAAATATCACGACACAAATGGATGGCGAAGTGGTGAAACTACAGTACCCAATGACATTACAGTCCAGTGATGCTAAGAACTCAGTACATCTCCACTGTTCCTGGTAACAGAATACTAGTTTACTACTTCCCTGTTAATTACCTGAATACTATACACATACACTCACTGGCCACATTATTAGGTACACCTGTCTAGCTGCTTGTTAACGCAAATTTCTAATCAGCCAATCACATGGCAGCAACTCGATGCATTTAGGCATGTAGACACGGTCAAGATGATCTGCTGCAGTTCAAACTGAGCATCAGAATGAGGAAGAAAGGGGTTTTAAGTGACTTTGGACGTGGCATGGTTGTTGGTGCTAGACGGGCTGGTCTGTGTATTTCAGAAACTGCTGATCTCCTGAAATTTTCACACACAACCACCTCTAGGGTTTACAGAAAATGGTCTGAAAAAGAAAAAAATATCCATTGAGTGGCAGTTCTGTGGGCGCAAATGACTTGCTGATGCCAGAAGCCAGAGGAGAATGGCCAGACTGGTTCGAGCTGACAGAAAGGCAACAGTAACCGAGGTATGCAGAACAGCATCTCTGAACACACATCACGTCCAACTTTGAAGATTCTACAGCAGCAGAAGACCACACCGGGTGCCTCTCCTGTCAGCTAAGAACCGGAAACTGAGGCAACAATTCGCCCAGGCTCAGTATATTTCCAGTACCTTGTTGAATCTATGCCACAAAGGATTAGGGCAGTTCGAAAGGCAAAAGAATCGTCCAACACGATACAAGTAAGGTGTACCTAATAAAGTGGCCGGTGAATGTATATTCATATAAGTTTACACCTTATAGTAGTTCAGATTTCTTTTTATCAGAAATGTGACTTTGCATCTGGTGATTTTACATTAATTCAGTTTTAATTTTTTTTCAGTTAAACTCATATTCAGAATTGTAAAAATGTAGTAATACTGTGAAACAATGTCAGAACTGTGAGAAAGTCTGTAAACTCTGAACCAAAAGTAAAACATTCTGGGGAAAAAAGTAAGATGTGAACTTGATTATATCTTATATCTAAGAAAAAATGAGGAGAGAAAATAAGGAAACTCAAAACAAGAGTATTAAACTTACTCTGAGAGTATTCTGAGGATAAAAAAAAATTCTAAATGCCTACTCTATAAACTATTTTAACTGCAACATAGAAACTTAGAATTGCAAATTGTAAACTCAGAATTCCTTAAAAAAAGACAAAAACTCTTAAAAGTGAGATATAAACCTAGAATTGTGAGGGGGAAGGACACAAATTGTCAAAAACAATCTAAGAACGAGAGTCTATAGATCTAATAACCTATTTAATTTGATATAATGTAAATAATTTAATGTAAATAATTTAATTAAATTCAATGTATATATAATTTAATAAACAAAAGCAATAAAGGAACACATAAACATACAGTTTTATAATACCTTAGCTCTCCACATCAGCCACAGTTTAAAGATGTCCACATGACGTCCACACTGCAGGGCCTTGTCTCCTGTGTCATACTGCAGGTCATAATGCTTGTCCTGCTGGAACAGATAACAGGCCTGCATCTGATTGCAGCTCTGCATCAGTCCCTGGATCAGATAACAAGAAGAGGAAGGGGGGAGAAAAGCATATGCAATTGAAAGTTTTCATTGAATTCGATTTTTATTAATTACATGATGTGGCAATTAATGTCATCAATCACATAGTATATTTTGAGACTAAATATACTCCAAAAGACTATTTAAAGCTGTTATTGTTTTAAATGAGAACAGCAATTTAACATGAACATTTACTATACCTATAAAGGCTTATGTTACACATCATAAAATAAATTAACCATAATCAAAAAATGAAATTGACTATTTTAGAGTAAAAATAACTCATTAGTTCTGCGTCACAGGAATATTAGTTTAGAAATGTGACTTCTATCGAATGTCACTTGATCTAACTAAGTGGCACTAATATTTGAATAGTATGTGATGCATTGGTTTTGATGAAGGAAGCAGACGGTCTCACCTCCTCTCGAACCAGAAGAGCAGAGCACTGCAAGGGCACAGCCATCATTTTATGAGGGTTCCAGGTCATAGAATTAGCCCTAAAATGGTCAATTTAGACAGCAAATAATTGAAATACCATGTCATTGTCCTTGAAATAAATGAACAGCTACATTATCATTTACTTTTTATTCAGACAAAAATTTCTCCCTGAGGCTCTAAGGTGTGCAGAGAAATGTCTAGACATAGACAAATGATCAAATCTAGCTATTTTATGAGCGAGACCTTTTCAAAAGTTTGTGAACTATTCATCCTATTTGAGTCATTACTTTATAGTGATTATTATAATTCTATTATAATTTTTTTTAGCTGGTTTTCATTTCAAAAACAAGTTCACAATATAAATCTTGAGTGTTTTAGCTGTCTTGTTTTTGACTGATGGTTACATATGTTTTTACAAAACAGAGGTGTTAAAAACTACAGACATGCCCAGTCATGCGTAATGGCCCACAGGTGGGGTAGGTCAGGTTAAGAGACCCACTGATCCAATTAGCCTCGCACAGGAGCAGTTTGAGAACATAAACCTGACAAATGTCTTGAATTGCAACAACTGAACATAGTGTTATATGTGATAACCATGGCACAAATACATCTCGTCCTTTAAATTATTAGAAAAATGGAGCGCATGCATCATCCCCACATAAACCACCTCAGGTGTGAATTATTTTTCTAATAATTCAATGACTCGTCATCAATTATTCCTTATTTAAACAAGGGTATTAAGAAAACATGCAGGGGCACAGGTTATACTCATTGTAGCACAACTAGACGGTAGGGAGAAGGACTAACAAAATTCTCACAGAGTTTCATAATGCGGAGGTCAGACAAACAGAGCCAATCAGCTGAGAACAGAATTTCACAACTGAAGTAGATATTTAGTCAAAACAACTAGACTTTTCTAACCTCTCAACTCCATTAAGCTTCCACCGGTGTTTCCGGGACATTAGCAGACTTCCACCCCATGCTCCCTGTATGAACAAAGACAACAGTCAATTAAGGGATATGGCCCAAACATTACATTTGTGCATCCAGAAACTTCACATCTACATAGTATTCGATTCATGTCCAAATTCATAGTGCTCAAATAACAGTAGGCAAGATGTACCTTAAATACCTACTACTGTCATGTGATAATGACAAAATGGTGAATATACCTTTAAATTGTATTTATACTACCCACAGTCACAGTATACAAAACATACTTTTAACAGTTAGGAAGTACATTAAAATTCAACCAACCCAGACTCACTGTAAATACATAACTTAACCTACATTTTTGCGAAATGAAAAATAGGTTGCTTCGGTTATGTGTCTTTGTACGTTTCAGATGACAAATCCACTAGAGGGCGCTCTGAAAATATGCTACATAAGGGACATTTTGTTGTACATTTCAGATGCACATTCTTCTTGTACATGTTCGTGAGAAGGTTTGCAGTTCACCAAGACCCTAATTCTTTCCCCAAACCCAACCAATAGTGTTTTCAAAAGCAAGGGTAATAGAATTCTACACTATGTCAGAGTAATTTCACATTGATTTCACATTACTTTTGTTTCTCTTGAGGAACCATGATTTACCGGTTTCAAAACTGTGAACTCTACATCACAAGCACAACAAGAAAGGTCGTCCACATTGAGATAGGTAAAGCAAGAGTATTCGTTTTCGAAATATGGACACTGTTATGATGTTTGATGCTATTGTTTTTAGTGTTGTGCAAATTACTGCACAAAAATAATTCCTTATTCATCAATAAAATGTCCCAGTTAATATCATTAGTGTGAAAAGGAACAAAAGTTTTTGGTGTCATAATGCCTCCTGTTCATTTTATCTAAAACTGCGTTCGAATATAATGTTCAAATGCAGCACCTGTGATTTCAGATACAGGTTATGCTTTTAGTTTGCAGAACATTCATCAATATACATCCACCTGTAACTTTATTTGGTCCACCTGTTTAACTTCTTGTTAATGAAAATGTCTTAATTAGGTCAGCAGCTGAATGTATTTAGTAATGTGGACGTGGTCAAGGTGATGGAAGTTGCTGAAGTACAAAATCAAGCATCAGAATTAATACAATGATTTAAGTGGCTTTGAGCATGAGATATAAATGAAATATACCCAAGCCTTTTGCTGCAGTCACACTAGAGTTTGAGAGTGCGATGCTGCGAAAAGGGGTTGGATTAAACAAGATGATTAGACTTTAAAAAAAGCGAGCGATTGGTCGACGATATTTCAAATTTCAGTCAAGAGAGGTCATGTTTTGATCCCCGAATGTTCTCATGCAGTCATGTGATGTGATTTTGCAGGTCAGAGTTCACCAAGCTTGAAACGCACAAACGCACAAACTTTCATTTCTGGTCTGATGCGTTTGCGTGTGTATGAATGGAAGTCTATGGGGAGTAAAGTCCAGTGTGACCGCAGCTTCAACCTAAAATGGTTAACTTGTTAACAAAAGTTCAGAAGCAGGACCACACCTCACTTTGCCTCCTTAACCAATCACCTACTCCCTAGTGAAGTTTCACAAACTAATTTCGAGAGGAGTACATGTTATGATTGATCACGGCTGGTCTCCCATCCATAATCATTAGTAAGCCAATCGGATTAATCCAAACTTACTTTAAATAGCTCGTCAAGCATTACTCCCTTGGATTCGTTTTTTGAAGATTGCCCCCATCCACCCCATCTCACCCTTTTCCTCCTTTTCCAGGGGGAGCTCTCAAGAAGTACCTGATCTCCTACCCCCTTACATGCTCATCGACCAGGTGGGAGCCCTGGGCTCAATTATCTCCAAGCTCAGGGTTCTCTCAAAGTACAGCATGCCAAACCTGCTAATATTATCAAGAAATATCTAAGTATGAACTCTTATTTTAGGCAGACCAGCCGTCTAGCACTGTTTATTTCATTCTCTCAAACTCCCCCACCCTCCCATTTATTTCCTCGTTTCCCATTAACAATCCTTATAACCCCCTCTTACTTCCTGGGTTGAATTGGGGGGTCCTAATCACTCTACCAAAACATTACAGAGAAGGTACCCCCACTCTGATTATCTGGCCATCATCGTAGGAAGCCCAATCAACCAACCTACTCGTTCATTGTTCTCTTACTTCCATTCCTCTTGATCCCACTGTTCCCTTTCCATCCCTACAATAAAGACTAGCCCAAGGTAGGGCATGCTCCATGCTGGTGAAATGATTGTTGATGCCAGACAAGCTGGTCTAAGAATTTCAGAAACTGCTTATTGCCAGAGAATTGCCAGACTATAGGACAAAACCTCTGAGGAATATTTCCAGTGCCTTGTTTAATCCATCCCATGAAGAATTAGGGCAGCTCTGAAAGAAAAAATGGGGTGCTAGCATGGTGTACCAAATGAAGAACCTGGCCAGTGTGTACAGATACATTATGTTCACAGCCTGTTTGAGATTCCAGGAGTGGGATAATAGCGCTCGCTGCAGATCTCATCTGTATTGCATGTCTAGCTGCTGCCTTAAGGTTAGATGAATGAGGCTGGGTGGTGCATGTGTTTGAGCTCCAGCATGCTGCCAAAATTGCTCTATGTTGCTATTGCATGCCAGAGGCTACGATATCACAGGGAGGAAAGAGTAATAATGGGGAATAAGGTATCTCTATTAATTTTATCAGCCCCATGAGAATGAGTACACACATGTACACACTCACACAGACTGATTGAAGGTAATTCCTCTAATAGCAAACATTTATATGGAGCTATATTTCAAAATGAGGTCATTTATTACATGCATGGCAAATGCTCCCATGACAGAAATTAAACATGCAGATGATGTTTTCAGTTTTCATGCAATTGCTAGGCTGCTTTTGGTGATTCATAGGTGGTCGCTAGAGTACTCAAACTGGTTTCTAGGGCATTGAAAAGTGGTTGCCAGAGTCAAGGTCTTTTCAAGGTCTTGTATAATACATTGCAATGTAGCTGCTGGAAAGCATTTGTTCTGACCCGTTACTAGGGTACACTATTCTAGGCACCAGAAGTGTGTTTTAAACAGGAATATGCACTTTCTATACCAATAGATTGCAGTTGTTGGGCATTTCTATGCAATTGCTAGGCTGTTCTTGGTCATCAGTAAATGGTTGCTAGGCTGTTCTCATTGGGTGCTCTTCTTTCTCTTCAATCAGCTTCCTACTGATGATCACAAACTGTCTCCATCTATTTCTGCCTGCTGTTAAGTCAACTGCTTGCTGTAGACTAGGGGTGCCCAAACTCTAGGTCTTGGAGGGTCGGTTCCTGCTGAGTCTAATATTTTAACAATACTTTTGGTTACCTTTCTGGACTTTGAATGTCTCTGGACTGAGGTGGATGAGAGAGCTCTTGGATTTCATCTAAAATGCCATAATATATTATATGAATGAAGAAGAACGAAGGTTTCAGGGGATGGGAACAACATAATTTTAATAATTAATGACAGCATTTTTATTTTACCCCTAAACCCAACCATAATTGTAAGTTATTCCCAAAATTAGAGGGAAATAATAGTTGGATAACAATCATGTAGAAGTGCATAAACTGTAAACGTGTCAGCCCAAACTTAACATAAACAGTAAACATATCCCTTTATTCTGATTGGCTGATTGGAATGTTGTTCCAGGATCAACATTGATGTTAATCCAGGAATATTTCCTACTTGGTGAAATCAAGTTGGCGATACTTGGCCTCATGTCATGACCTTCGCTTCACTTTCACTTCAATCCCTGACCTTAAAGGGATCCCAAAATGAAGATTGTGTTATTAATTGCTCACCCTCATGTTATTACAATTCTAATGTAATATCAATGTAGCTGTACAGTTCTTCCTTTATCTTCAGAACACAGATTTAGGTACATTTAGAACTCTCTGATCCTCCACAGACGGCATTGGTCCAGAAAAGGATGTAAAACATAGACAAAACATTCCATGTGACTTCAGTTGTTTAACTGCAATCATACACTGTACACCAGAAAAGGAACAGTTTTTGACACATTAAAGTGTTTTTGCAGCTCACAATGATTACAGTTGAACATCTTAGAGTGTATTAACAAAGTTTTTAGTTCCTTTACTGGAAAACGCAAGTTTTTTGACAATTATTTGGTGCTCAAAAGTGTTTTTGGAGCTCCATATGATTACAGTTGAACCACATGAAATATTTTAACAATGCTTTTGGTTACTTTTCTGAACTTTGAATGTCTTTGTATCGTTGGTGTCTATGGTGGATGAGAGAGCTCTCAGATTTTATCTAAAATGTCTCAATAAAGAAGAATGAAGATTTCAGGGGATTTGAACAACATGAAGGTAAGCAATTAATGACAGTATTTCTATTTTAGGACAAGCACAAGCTTTAATAATTGTACTACTACTACTCTTATAACACATAGAGCTCATCAACAGTCCTCAATCCCTTGTTTCCATCTGTAATGCAGAAAAGTTGAGAAGGTACTTGATTCTGCATCCAGTGAATGATACTCAGGCTGTGCCAACACCGAGCTCACTCTCAGAACGGCTTGTACTGTCTGAATTTCACAGTGGAAATGTTCAGGAAGTTCAAATAAGTTTGGTCAGATCTACTTACATCCACATGCATCCAGACGTCATGCTTCTTGCAGATGTCCGCTATAGCGATCAAAGGATCAAAGGCACCATAAACCGTGGTGCCGGCCGTCGCGCTGACAAAGAACGGCACGTATCCCTGTGAGAAAAAATTTAGCAGGTTATTCAAGTCGTAGAACCAGACAGATCATTCAAACAGACCCAAGAGAGACACATGAGATGGTCATGGAGATACGGTTATCGAAATTACCTTCTGCTTGGCTTCAATGATCCTCCTCTCAAGGTCAGATGGAATCATCTTACCCCTGGCAGAAATGAAAGCAGTAAAGCGGGAGTCATATGGTTTAGTGTTTAGGACGTTAACACAGACATTTCTCAGTCTTGCCGTTTTAAAGTGATGCGTCAGTAATCCAGACTGACCTCTCATCAGCTTTAATGCAAATGACACTCTCTGTACCGATTCCAAGAGCAGCTGCTCCTTTCTTGATTGAAAAATGGCTCTGAAAGACAGGTTATAACATGAATGCAATAAATTGTACAACTAATAATTATAGTAATAATAATATTAGTAGAATTGTATTAAAATATAAAACAAATCATGCAGATCAAACGTTTACTCAAACTTTTACAGGTTGTGCAAAATATCTAATATACTCTTAAAAAATAATAATTATATATATGTTAAAGTCAGAGTTATTAGCCCCCCTTGTTTATTTTTTATGTTTAACAAAGAGCAGATTTTTTTGCACCACATTTCAGCACTTAATAGTTTTAATAACTCATTTCTAATAACTGATTTATTTTATCTTTGCCATGATGACAGTAAATAATATTTTATTAGATATTTTTAAGACACTTCTATACAGCTTAAAGTGACATTTAAAGGCCTAACTAGGTTAATTAGGTTAACTAGGCAGGTTAGGGTAATTAGGCAAGTTATTGTATAACAGTGGTTTGTTCTGTAAACTATAAAAAAAAAATACAGCTTAAAGGGGCTAATAATTTTAACATTTAAATGGTTCTTAAAAAATGAAAAACTGCTTTTATTATAGCTGAAATGAAACAGTTAAGACTTTAGAAGAAAATAATATTATTAGACATACTGTGAAAATGTCCTTGCTATGTAACATTATTTTGGGAAATTTATATATATATTAAAAAAAAATCAAAGGGGGGCTTATAGTTCTGACTTCAACTGTAAACACTATGGTTTACCAGAAAATTGGTAATATACACACACACACACACACACACACACGCGCACGCACGCACGCACGCACGCACGCACACACACACACACATATTTCTCAAATGATGTTTAACAGATCAAGGAGATTTTCACAGTATCTCCAATAACATTTTTTCTTCTGAAGAAAGTCTTATTTGTTTTATTTCGGCTAGAAAAAGCTTTTTTTTAAAAAAACAAAAAAACAAAAAACATCAATTAGGTCAAAATTATTAGCCCCTTTAAGATTTTTTTTTTCCGATAGTCTACAGAACAAACCATCGTTATACAATAACTTGCCTAATTACACTAACCTGCCTAGTTAACCTAATTAACCCAGTTAAGCCTTTAAATGTCACTTTAAGCTGTATAGAAGTGTCTTGAAAAATACCTAGTCAAATAATATGTTCTGTCATCCTGCAAAAATTTACATATTGCAGTTATAATGTGTTATGATAATTATAATATAATTATAATATGTAATATAATAATTAATAAAAGAATACCTTTTATATTCCTTTTTTTATTTTATTAGGTTTATTAAGCATCTGTTAAACTGTAAATCCCAACATAAAATAATTTTTCTTATCTACCTGCAGCCTATGTTTGCCGTATGTTGGTCCTAGCAAAACGGTCTCATTGCTATTATCTTCCTATTATTTGTTATTACACAGATATATTTAAATTGTGGTTAATTACAACCACCTTTCGATATGATTTTTCCCCTCACACATTATATATAAAAAATGTCAAATACTAAAAAAAAACAACATATATAAATGGACATACATGTTCTGATGTGAAGGCCACCAGCCTAGGTACGGATGACATTCCTTTCTCCTTCACCTCAGGGAACATTTTATAGCGAGCCAGTAGCATGGCATACATGTTGGAAATGGCGCCACCTAGAGGACAATAAAGAAATCCTTAAATTCCATCACATGAAAAAGTTCCTGTCAGGTTTTACCCCCTCTTTTTTCTAGAGACCTAAATGTCCTGCTCTTTTAAAGTTAAAGATTTAATTTAACAAATTGCAAATAATTAACCACATATACTATTTATGATTTGCCTTTCATTTAATATGAAAATAATTCACCACATCAGATACTATTTATGATTTGCATTTGATTTATGCTAATAAATATCCACATCACATACTATTTATGATTTGCCTATTGATGCCTGATCCGTTCTGTAGGCTAATTGGGGGGTGTTTGTGGACAGAACAGCAGTGCAGAAATTGCAATCATTTGCATCAGATTCTGAATTGTTGTGGTTGGAATCATACATCAGTTGATGAGTATAGAGATCCTTAAATATAGACCTCATCCTAACAACTTCAGACTTTAAACCAGTCTTTGCGCTCATGTTGCAGCAGAAGCACACAGCTCAGATTAGGGCAGGTCACGGAGATTGACAGCTGCTTACCCGGAGAGAATATTCCATCACCGTGGCCGTCCTGCCAGCCAATGATCTCCCTCATCTTCTTCAGCGTGACGTATTCCAACAGCACGAAGACTGGAGCCACCTCATAGGTGAACCTGTTTGCACACAAACCACATGACCCAGTTACACAAGGCAGACAAAAAAAAAATCACGTCAAGCAAACATCACGACAACCTGTTTTGCAGCTGATGCTTCAAAGAATTTAGTGCATATAAAACAATGGCAGATGAATGATTATTTCTGAGAAGACTGAGTTTTTAGATGTTTTTATTGTCTCAAATAATTTACAATTGATTTATACGATGATCAATTTAAAGAATGGAAGAAAATCTGACTTTTTTCTCTATATATATTGTAATTACACGGTCATTACATTATTATTATACTTAATTTGTTTCTGTTATATGACTAAAACTACCAAAATAGAATCTAATTTTATTTCCATCTCATTTGGTCTCTGTGAGCAGATCTGAGCATAGAATGAGAGTATGGAGATTTTGTTTAGTGGTCTGGTTTATCATTTATTCCTTTAAATGTTATCTGTTGGGTTAAGCCGCAGCCAACACAAAGACCAGGCCACCACAATGCTTATGAAGGCAGAGAAAACGGAAATAATTTCGACCAGCTTTGTATTGAAATGGAAGGACACACACACACACACACACACAGACACACACACACACACACACACACACACAGACTCACATATTGGTGTTGGCAGTGGAGGTTAGCCAATCTGCAGCCAAGCCAACCATGTCTAACCCAGTGGAGAGTTGATTGAAATACCTGGGATGCGCTGAAGATAAACACAACAAAGAGGATAAATGCGAAATGAATGATTATGACGTGTGAAGCTGTTGTTTATGACACAATTATCTTCCAACATTTATAGTCATCGCTGCTTGATGTAAAACAATTTTAGAAACACCATAAATCTTAGACACCGGCGCGGACAGCAGGAAATCAATCAGTCTTTCTGACCGTTCATTATTATTATTCCCCAAACGAAAATCGCTTTGCAAAATAATGGCAGTTAAAATGTCACCAGAGAAAATACAATCGTCCCTGGACGCGTTCATTTAATATCACGTCATGTTCTGATCTAATTCGATTCGCCTTCGGGCATAAACACACACATACACACACGCGCGCACGCTTGCGGATCTGCTTTACAAGCCATGCGATCAGTAGCATACATATATATTTTGGATAATATACAGATCAAATATATCATATTTAATACAATACATCCCATCGTGAATTTGATCTATATATGTCGCGTATATAATAAATAAAATGATACACTCACCAGTTTTTATGGCATATTTAAGCGTAGCGCGACAGCTGATCAGAATATCGTCTAAAGTCTCGGGTTCGTCCGAAAGCTCCCAATTATTCCTTTGGAGCAGTTCGTTTGGATAGTGGAAATCAATCACTTTCGTAGACCTGTCAAATGATTCCACTATATAAGCCAGCAATATATCCACAACCTCCTGCAGAAAATTCATAGTCTTCGCGTCTCCGTCCAGTGCAGGTAACAGATCTGGAAAAAAACATATCATGAATGCGTAAAATAATGGGGTTTAATCTGAAGTTCAATAGTGAAATGTCTTCATTTAACCTTGAAAAAAAGAAACATCTCTGATAATTTTTGTTGTTAAAAATACGTGTAATAAAAATGAAAATGTTCTCTTTTTATTAAAATAATATCCTCAAATATATTAATAATAAAAATACAACAGGGATAGCTTTCTGTTTAATTTCGTTAAAAATGAATGAATATACAATAAATAATATAAAACTGTATATATTGAAATTGGCCCTAAAAAGAATACGAATATTTAAAAAAATTAAGAAACGTATAACCAAAATATTTGTTAAAACCGAGTTTAACGGGAAAAGGCAGATTGGAATAAATACTCGTTTTGTATTTAATAGAAATAAATCTAAATCACATTAAAATAACCAGTTTAACCAAGTAACCAACATGACGATGCAGTTTAGCCTTTTTTCAGGCGTGATCTGTGCTTAAGATACCGTGGTAGGATGTGATTTGTGGTGATTTACCTGTTGAGTAGAGATCCGAAAAGCACGCGGTGGCTTTGGAGCAGTTACAGGGTTTATTACAGCCGCAGCTCTCGGCTGTAGACTCATCCTCGGCTTTAACTGGGGCTTGAGCTGCTTTCTCAGCCTCCCCGACATTTAACAGAGCTACAAAAGAAATGATTAGTCTATGATTTGAGCCGAAACCCAGCATCTCAAATTGTGGGGAAAATAGTTACTTTTGTAACTGCACCTAATTCGTTTCAGACTCTTCAGAGATTAGACTCTAAAAAAGAAAATATGCTTTAAACGTTGAATTAAAGTTGCATATGGTTGCTGATCAAATCTGGCGCTGCTCATAATGATGTTACATTTTTAAGAATGTTGGTGAGAGGCAAAGATTTTTAAATGGCATGTTAAAAATAAACGTACCACATAATTTGGAGCCGATGCCTCCGCTGAATTTCTGGGCCGCCGCCTGGCACCATGCTCTAGCTGAAACGACCAAGCGAGTGTGATTTTAGCATCATATCCGTCATAAAACTTCCTTTAAAAACATTAATAATCCGTGGTATGGATTTGGTCATAAAACCCCCCGATGTAATTCCACTTGTTTATTATCATACGACAAACCTGGCATGACATTTCAAGGCTTTAAATTAACCTTGAGCATTGAAGACACAATAAATGTCGCATTTCTTTTGTGTCGTGGCCACTAATGCATAAAACACAATCTTGCAGGCTTCGTTTTCACTTACGCGTGTTCGGGCTTTGACTGCCGTTTCCAGCCGCGTTTTCAGCCCCCAGAAACCAAAACCCGTGTGATGCCATCGCGAGCGGAGCGGATCAGAGCAGCGACAGAGACACGCGAGCAGAAGCCATCCAGACGCGCGTCACCGGGGAACGGGAGCTGTCCGCAGCCGTGGTGCTGAATCTTGTCCGATGCGCTGGAAATCCAATGCGTGTACAATCACACCTGTCCAAACGCGTCAAATCAAGTGACTTAATTGCTAAAGAGCTCATAAAACACGCTCTAAGCTCTCAGGCAAAGCACAGAGTGTCTATATTCAGCTGGTGCGCCGTGCGCAATGATTTGGAGCAGCCGGAGACCGTCACTGAACTCATGGAGAAACACTGGCACTGATGGAGACTCAGACATCCAATAGCTCTCATTCACATGGCTCAGCTGCAAACGCAAGAGCACAGTGCATTGCTTAAAACGCACTTGTAGAAATCCATTGCGCAGGTTAACCAACGTGCAAACTTTAGGGGTAATAAAAGCTTCTTGTGGCGTAAAGACAATCCGCTTCACGTCATCAGAGAAATTCCGACGCGATTCAGGTCATGACGAACTATTTGCGTCGTTAATCGTGACCACACACACTGGTTTGTGCCCCTCCTGGCGCACAACCCGCATCAACGCTATTTGTTTATTTATTTATTTCCCTTTTTTAGTTTCTGTAATTGCTTTACTCGCGCGGAAGCAGACTTCAACAGAAGCAGGAGGAGCAGCCGGGGTGCTCTATGGAGCATGACGTTCAGATCTGTGGTCCCCATTTATCATCAAACTATTTCTTGTTGCTGTAGAATTTGGAGACCCAGTTTTAAACTCGCAAAATAAATAAATAAACAAATATATATATATATATATATATATATATATATATATATATATATATATATATATATATATATATATATATATATATATATATATATATATATATATATATATAATGTTCGATCAAAGTAGGCTGCTTATTGTGTGCGGTTGAGCGCAATGACACTTGAGCCCTTTATTTACGAATGCAGTTATAAATAAAATAAATCCCAAATAAAAAACTGCTGAACTGTATCTATATTATAGGATGGGAAATGACATCGTAGGTTACTTTTTAGGGTTAAGAGTGTTCTGGGGAATATGGTGCATAGATTCTCGATAACAAAAAATAGACACAAAATATTTATTTTATTATCATGAAATACAATCGGAATAAATATTCCTTACGTTACATATCATTTATAGGCTACGATACTGTTAAATATAGCCTATAATATTATTAGGGAATCTGCGTTCTACATAATACAATCTATAAACTATATTTAAATTTATTTCTTTTAATAACGGTACATACAATTCAGAAGCATTTAACGCATTTACTCTACGATTAACCAGCTAATAAAATTAAAAAGGAAATAACGAAATGGTACTGGATTGGTTATAGCCATTATTACGTTTTATAAAGCAATAACCCTGCATTGCCTATAGCCAACGCATTTTACCACTTAGGTTTCCTATTTAAATGTTAAATAAGTAAAATTACATTGTCACAAAAAAATTTATTAAATAAAAAAGCAATGTGTTTACATACAGACAATTTTGACACTGTTAGCCTAACGTTTTTGATAATGTGTAACCCTAAATGTACTGTCAAACACAAAAACATTAAATGTTTAATGAGCGTTATTCTTCCTCTAAACTAGAACGTGTTGAATTGTTTGTATTTCGATACAAAGTATTGAAATTTAGTAGCTCTATTTTTCAGCAAATGTTTGGACAGCAATTCTAAATCGCAGTTGTAGGGGCGTGGCTAAGCATACACCGCCCAAGCAGTCAAACAGACGTAATCAGAGAAGCACTGCATTTCTTAGTTCCAAAGGGGGAAAAAAAAACATAGCAAAATTGCACTAAATGCGTAATGTCCTGGTAATATATATGCTATATATATATATATATATATATATATATATAGTGTTTCTTTACACAGTGTGTAAATAATTGTTTGGAAATGTAAAAAGGTCTGCAATGTTTTAAATTGGTGTAAAAAAGTGGAACAATTAATGGGAAATGACAAAAGGTAAGCAACACATTGACACACTATTATTACTTTGACATCAGCTAGAGGGTCATTTACACTCTGGAGTGCATTGTGTCTGAAAACATCAAGTATATATAATTTTTTTTTTATTATTGTAGTTTTCTTTACTAAAATCTGTGTGAACCAGATCTTGCTGCAGACATTTCAGTATGATGACATAATTATTCCAATTGAAACTCAATATAGAGAAGGGACTTTTGGGATTTTTGGCATCATCTTTCATTAGCAGCAAACTAACAATAGGAGGGCGTGGCTTAGCATCACCCAATTAGTGACGTCATCAGAGAAGGTCTGCTGTTGAGCGGAAGCAAATGAATATATATATATATATATATATATATATATATATATATATATATATATATATATATTTAACGGCCGTTATTTTACTTTTTTTTTTCTGGCACCCCAGCTGCCAGAAATAAACCATACATTTACGGATTTTTTTTACAGTATATATATATATGTGTGTGTGTGTGTGTGTGTGTGTGTGTTTAAGTCCATGCAGCAAAATGGGATGAGTCAGTAAATCAAAGAGCCCAGAATGCAGTACAGACAGTAATTCTGACTGGTACATATATAAAGTTCACCTTATGAATATCTTCACAGACATCTTTATTCATAAAGAGACTTGCATACAGAAAACAAGCTAAACCTGAGATAAAAATAAAGCAAGTGCAGCTCAAATGTCCTGTTACAATGCTAACTCTGATTATCAACTAATGTTACATTCTGTACAGCATAAAGTATTGAGTGCTCATTATTTGCACAACTACGTACTTAAACTAAGGCTCTTTAGGCTTGTTCATAAGACATGATTGTCATGAGGCATTTTAATTGTGTCATGAATATCTTTCTGACCACGTTTTCAGTAGAACAAACTGTATTAGTTATCTAAATGTTTTATTAAAAGTGTCATTACTATTTCAAATAACTTTTAACAGCATCACTAATATTTAATTTAGTTTTAATGACAATTTAAACTTGTCATTGTAGTTGAGGTAAAGAAAATGTATTAATGATGCTGTCAAAAAATTGATGACACATTTATAATAGGTTCAAGACATTCATGTTTATGACAGATTTATGACAAGTTTTGTTGTCTGGGTAATGTCAAGTTGTCAATGACAAACAACGTCATCTTTGCATTTAAAACGTCATAACTGAGCTGCACTGTAAAAAAATGATATGATCAATCAGTCCTGACCGCATATGTTATTAGGTCATTGCAGCTTATTAACTAAGTTAATTGAATATTTAATTTAATTTTAATGACAATTTAAACTTGTCACTGTAGTTGAGGTAACAAAATGTATTAATGACGCTGTCATAAAATTGATAACACATTTATAGCTTCAGAACAGTCATGTTCATTCATTCATTAATTTTTTTGTCAGCTTAGTCCTTTTATTAATCCGGGGTCGCCACAGCGTAATGAACCGCCAACTTATCCAGCAAGTTTTTACGCAGCGGATGCCCTTCCAGCAGCAACCCATCTCTGGGAAACATCCACACACACTCATACACTATGGACAATTAAGCTTACCCAATTCACCTGTACTACATGTGTTTGGACTGTGGGGGAAACCGGAGCACGCGGAGGAAACCCACGCGAACGCAGGGAGAACATGCAAACTCCACACAAAAACGCCAACTGAGCCGAGGCTCGAACCAGCGACCTAGCGACCTTCTTGCTGTGAGGGGACAGCACGACCTACTGCGCCACTGCCTCGCCCGACAGTCATGTTTATGACAGATTTATGACAAGTTTTGTTGTCTGGGTAATGTCAAGTTGTCATAACAAACAACGTCATCTTTGCATTTAAAACGTCATAACTGAGCTGCACTGTAAAAAAATGAAATGATCAATCAGTCCTGACAGCATATGTTATTAGGTATTACAGCTTATTAACTAAGTTAATCATGTTCTAACTTAATTTTATAAGTTAGGCAAGCTGTTTTAAGTCATAATATAAGTTCAATGGACTCATGAGGTTGATTTGATTCTGCTTAAAAATGTAAGGCAACTAGGATTTTTTACAGTATAAAGACATGATAAATGTTAAAAGCATAAATACAATCTCATTTAAATTCCTAACGTGTGTCAAGTCATAATTATAAAGGTTTAAAGTAGTCTTATGAACACCCCTTTAAGTAGAGTGTTACAGTTTTTGTTTAATAATGCAAAAGTTCTTTGGTAAAACCAACAAAAATAATAACAATAAGTGAACAGAAAACCTGTGTATTACTTAAAAAAAACACAGATCACCCCAAAACGATAATCTTCCTCTTTAGTAAGCTGCAATTGGATCAGTTTGATTTGGGAACGAATCATCTCATCTGATTCAAAAGAATGAATCTTTGATGAATCAAGCACCGTTTTGTTGAAGAGCAAAAGCTTCTATTCTCGATGCTTGAAATGACATGGAAAAGAGCAGCAGGTACATTATTCCAAATGTCTTCTTTTGTGTTCCATGCAAGAATGCCAGTCTTATAGGTTTGAAATGACATATTTACACAAGTCTTCAAAGAAGATGATGTTCGGGGTTATGGCTGTGTTATTAGTCGTCGTCTCTGGGAGGTCTTTCTCAGTATCTTCCTGTAGTCGTAGGGGTTGTCCTCGCTTTGACTCTCTGTAGAGGGCATTTTAGAGAACGAGTGCCTGTGGACAGAGAGAGAGGCAGATAAAGCGTGACTTCACACGAAAAATGAAGACGCAAGTGAGAAGGGGAAAGAAAGCGGGGAGGATTTTATGTCTTGATATCTGCATCTTCCGCTCAGACACATTTATCATGTCTGCCGCGCGCTGTAATGCAGTGCGAGGTCAACGTCTTTTGTTAAATGGAGAGTGTGATGCAGATGTTAAACGCTCTTTCACCTCTTCTCCAATGGGTCTTTGGGGATTTCAGATTTGGGGACATCAGAGAGTGGTCTTTCAGAGGAGCGTCTTTCATCAGAAGCCCTCCGCTTGCTCGACCGGCGTCGTTCATTGGGAAGGCTGGTGGATTTACTGCTGGACAAACCCTGGTAGTATTGGTCATCGTTGTCCAACTTTTTTGGGCTGGTGGTTTAGAAGAGAAAAACAAAAAAATATATAAAGTTTACACAATTAAACACTAATTTAGATGCTCTATTTATATTAGTTTTACCTTTTTTCCTATGAATACATGCACATATAGATGATGTTTATTGACAAAGGTTTCCCAAAATAAAACATACTATGTGAAAATAACAATAACAATTAAATGCTAACATAAATAATAACAATAACTATATATACAGTTGAAGTCAGAATTATTAGTCCCCTGAATTATTAGCCCCCTCTTTATTTCTTTCACCAATTTCTATTTAACAGAGAGAAGATTTTTTAACAAATTTTAGCACATAATAGTTTTAATAACTCATCTTTAATAACTGATTTATTTTATCTTTGCCTTGATGAGTGTAAATAATGTTTTATTAGATATTTTTCAAGACACTTCTATACAGCTAAAGTGATATTTAAAGGCTTAACTAGGTTAATTAGGTTAACTAGGCAGGTTATTATAATTAGGCAAGTTATTGTATAACAGTGGTTTGTTGACTATCGAAAATAAAATACAACTTAAAGGGGCTAATAATATTGACCTTAAAATGGTGTTTAAAAAATTAAAAACTGCTTTATTCTAGCTGTCATAAAACAAATAAGACTTTCTCCAGAAGAAAACATATTACAAGACATCAGTTTGGAAATATTTAAAAAGAAAACTAAATTCAAAGGGGGGTTAATAATTCTAACTTCAACTGTATAAAGGTCAGAGAGGGTCAAATCTTTATTTATTCGTTCAACTTTAGTTCAGTTATTATCAGCTGTAAATTCCTGATGTGAAGAGAGGATTAAAAGGGGAGTGTGCTAAATTTCATCTGTTTGTTTAAATTCAGTCCTTAAAAACTGTTAAATCCAATGAATCCTTTTTTTCAGTGCACTGGGCAAAAGAAATATTAAATGCATCACCATTTTTCAAAACATATTTCTAAAGGTGCTGTCAACTTGAAAGTTTCACCAGATGTCTGCAACAACCAAATTACTCAATACATACAACGAAAACAAAACTGACTAGTTCAGAAATGAAGTTATGTGAGTTAATATGAAGTAATGACACAGAGGAAAAAAGTATTAAACAAATAAAGATCATCAACTTTTTTTAAACAGTTTTTAAAACTGTGTGTAAATGACAGTTTAAGAACATAAAAGGTCTGCAATGTTCCAAATTGGACAATAAATGGCGTACATTGTCTCAATTTATTATTCAGAAAAAAATACACAATAACAGGAAAATAAATAAATATAAAATGTGTGTGAGGTGACACACACAACACTATCATTGTTTTTTTTTTCACCAGCTAAAGGGTTATGGGCTTATTTATTTGAAAAAAATTAATAATAATTGTTTCTAATAAATTTCAAGTGAACATTCTGTACACTCTGATCACTCCTTAAAGTCTGCATGAACTAGAAGTTGAAGTATAATGACCTATTTCCAACTAAAATTGAATATTAAGTAGAGGGGAGGGAGTTTTCTTCTTTGCTCCTCCTATCATCTTTCACTCACAGCAAACTAAACATTATAGGGGCGTGGCTACGTATATTCCTCCCAAACTGCCAAACTGACATCGTAAGAGAAGGACTGCCATTCCAGAGCAGTTCAGATGTATAGATTTTGATTAAAGATTACAAAATCAAACAGTTTATTTTAATTAACCAGTACAGATTAATTGTTGACTTTAAGCCTAACAATCTGCGCTGGCAAAATAAACAAGGTACATTATGATTTAATGTGGGCATTAAGAACAAAAAAGTGCTGCTTTTAATTGTCCCCCAGACTCATTCCTACTAAAGTGTAACAGACCTTCATGTTGTGGATTGCCTGCCACATAAAACCAGAGTGCTTCTATCCATTTATTTTTTAATATCCATTTTTATTATCCTCTGAGGTTTGTAATTGCCCGAGGTTTGACATTGTAGTTTGGAAATGATGTTTGATGGTTTATTTTTGTGTATTTAATGTATTTATTTTGATTGTACAGCACGCCAGTGTTCATATGCAGTTGTAAAGTGCTTTATAAATGAACAAGGGAGACATAAAACGAAAACATCTAGTAAACATATATTAGTAATACCTTACAATACGGTTGTATTATTAGTTAATGCATTTACTAACACGAGCAAACAATGAACAATACATTCATTACAGTATTTATTAATGTTAATAAATGAAAATAAAGTTGTATATTGCTAGTTCACGTTAATTCACAGTGCATTAACTAATGTCAACAAGCTTGAATTCGAATTTTAGTAATACATTAGTAAATGTTGCAGTAAGAATAATAAATGCTGTGTTCATTTTTAGTTCATACATTAACTAACATTAACTGATAAAACCTTATTGTAAAGTGTGACCAAAATATTGCTGCACTTGTCATTGTTTGCTAGGACTCTAGCCGCCAAAGTCACTCCTGATCATAAATAACATCTATTTTGTCATATAGGGCTGCTGTTAATGTGTGGCCATTATGCCATATTGAGTGAATTTCATGGCTGTTCTGTGGTAAGTAAGCGATGATGGCCTTCAGGAGAGCCTCTGATTCATTGGTGCTCAGCAGTGATGGACTCCAGTGGAAATGTTCTTTCAGTGGACTTTACTCATTGTCTTAGGGCTTATCAGCGCTGTTATGTAATGAAAACAGTGATCTATGAAACCAATGAAGCCAAAAGCCTGCGGCCTGGCATCCAGCTCGCCAGCCAGACAGCTGATGCAATTATATGAGGCAGTCCCACTGGCCTACTGATGCACTTACTTTCTCTTTCTATCTCCGTGTCTCTCTCGTTAAAAAATATGTTTGTTTCTTCTTCAAGTTTTAGATGATGTTCAGGAATGTTTTTAGGTTCTGCACTGCAAAACAAATGCTGGGTTCCACAAAATTCCTTCAAGTTGTCTCAACACAAATCGATTAAGTTAGCTTGATTGTTTTGCAAATTTAAGTGGATTGAACATAAAACACTTAAGTTGTCCCAAAAAAAAAGATCAAGAATTGTGTTCATTTTAAATAAGTAGTTTGAACAAGCAGCATTTTTTTCAACTAACCGGACCAGTCTGTCCGGTTAGCACCAGTCTTTGTCAGGTCAGCACGTCGTGTTACTTTACGAGCGGAGGCCCGGAGGAGGAGGAGGAACCGGCGGGGTTCGACGACCGGGTTCGTGTCTGGGGAAGAGTGGTTCCAGAAATTAGGTAAGACAAAAAACAGAATTCAAAAAATAAAGCGAACGAGTTCGTAACGAGGCCAGAATACGGTGAAATCCGAAAACGCGGTCAAAATCAGATGAGGGCTTTTCTTTTTCTACATGGCTCTTGTAAATTGTCGCTTAGATTTAGGGAAGAATTAGGAGGAGGAGGGGGAGGGTGGCCGGGTCGGCCGATTGGCTGGCCACCCAGTGCCTATAGGATCGCCTAGACTGTTACCAGCTACATGTCCAAAAGCCAGGGTCTGTCATGGTATGAGGTTGTGTCAGTGCCCTTGGCAGAGGTAACTTGCACTTCTGTGATGACATCATTAATGCTGAGGAGTACATAGAGATTTTGGAGCACAATAAGCTGCCTTCTTTTCCAGGGACATCTATGCGTATTTCAACAAGACAATGGAAAACCACAATCTGCACACATTACAAAGTACTGGCTGGGGAGGAAGTGGATACAGGTGCTTGACTGGCCTGCCTGCAGTCACAACCTGTCTCTGATAGAGAATGCGCGGCGCATTTTGAAGTGCAAAATGCATCAACGATATCCCCGTACTTTTGCCCACTTTAAGACTTGTTTGCAGGAATTACAAAAAAATGACACCTGAAACACTTCGTCACTTGGTGTCTTCAGTCCCTAAATGTTATTTAAGTGTTGTAAAAAAATGGAATGGCAACATTACAAAGGGATAAATGCTTTACTGCTACAACTTTCCAACCAAAATGAGTTGGTTGCGCGTTTATTTTGAAAAAAAAAAAAGCAACAACAAATTAAATCCTTGACAAATTAAATAATGTCTGTTGTGTTGTCTGCAATGACATACAAGTCAAAGTAAATTTAGAAATCACTTTCCTTTTTAATTTGCGTTGTCCCTACTGCCCCAACATTTTCTAGTTTGAGGTTGTACATATACTGTATTTTGTTTTTTAGTTTCTTTAGATGTTGGGGTGAAACGTGAGCTGTGGCAGACACACACAGTCCTGGAGAAACAGAGTGTTCTGCTTCATCTGTCTGCTCTGTCTCTCACGCTCTCCACATTTGTACTGCAGTACACCTTCATTACCTTCTTGTCCTCAGCTTGCCTTTTCCTCCCATGGGATACCTTATAGGTCCTCTGTCTCTCTCTGTTTTATCTCTGTCCACTGCCAATCTTTTCCCCTATTTCTTCCCTAACTCAACACAGGTCCGTAGCCAGCCTGGTGAAAGGGGTGGTTAGTTTTTACTTAAAATGTGGACCTTTTTTGCTGTTATTTGCCACATTTTCTATTTAATTATGAGATTTTAATGCCAAATTTAGGTGACATTTAAGAAATAGTTTTAGCTGGATCATCATCAATCATTCACCACTTATTATATTGTGATGAACTGTAATGGTACAGTAATTATCCAGACTATATTGATTAGCAAAAAAAACGACCCATCTTTGTGACGTTGTGTGTCTGTGTGAGTGTCGCTCTAAAGCCTTCAGCCTGTCTGTCCATCAGAGCTGTTTGTCACTCGAGCGGTCTGTGAAATCTCTTGTCAGCAGTGCTCATGGAGGTCCAGATTTATGTTCACACACACAATATTTCACACACGCTGTGACACTGCAGATATGTCACACTGGCCTCCCTCCTGACAGCAAAATGCTACAGGCACTGAGAAACTAGGAAATTAGTTACTAGGAATTAGAAACTAGGAAATCACAATTGATGTATATATATATATATATATATATATATATATATATATATATATATATATGAGCAATATCACACGAGTAGCAGTGCGATATTGCTGTATATCGCCATTGGTGGGAGGCGTGCGTTGCCTTAGTGCCCCACCAGTGCCGATATACAGCCATATCGCACTGCTACAAGTGTGATATTGCGTTTATAAAACAGTTTGACGGCATTATTGTATATATAAAAACAAAATTAAACATGGAGAGTCTCAAAAACCCTTTTGTATGAGGAACTACTTTCTTCCGCCTTGGATTCAAATCATAAGCTGACAGTTAAACAGCTGAGCAAGCATCTTTTAAACTTTAAATCTGTCGTGTCTGCTTTTTGCTATTAGTAATACACAAAGGGTAAAGAGGCTTTACAGGTGTTGATATTACTTAAATATATCACGGCTATTAGCCAATCAGATTCAAGAACCAGACAGAACTGTTGTATAAATATATATGGAAATTTTGAAATATATAAGGGAATTTTCACAGAATGTCTGATAATATTTTTTTTTTTCTGGTGAAAATCTTATTTGTTTTATTTCGGCTAGAACAAAAGTAGTTATTAATATTTAAAAAAAAAAACATTTTTGGGACAAAATTATTAGCCCCCTTAAGCTATTTTTTTTCGATAATCTACAGAACAAACAATAACTATACAATATAAGTTTATAAAAAAAATAAGTTATACAATAACTTGCCGAATTACCATGACCTGCCTAGTTAACCTTATTAACCTAGTTAAGCCTTTAAATGTCACTTTAAGCTGTATAGAAGTGTCTTGAAAAATATCCAGTAAAATATTATTTACTGTCATCATGTCAAAGATAAAATAAATCAGTTATTAGAAATAAGTTTTTAAAACTATTATGTTTAGAAATGTGCTGAAACAATCTTCCCTCCATTAAACAGAAACTGGTGAAAAAAAATAAACAGGGGCGCTAATAATTCTGACTTCAACTGTGTATATATATATATACTATTTTTTTTTTTCATTTGAAATTTTATGCATGCTTAATGTGAATTATTTATAGTATTTAATAAGTATAGCTGATTAACCATGTGGATGGATAGTAACAGAAGGTCTCTACTGGCCCATATCTATCAGTTGATAACCACTGATAATGCCCATTCAATCGAGTGATACTAAGTAATGATACTTGTCATTACTAAGACAACACAATTTGTCATAAATCTGTCATAAACATGACTGTAATTAAGCCATTATAACACGTCTTATGTAAGTCTTATGAACACCCCTTCAAGTGAAGTAGCATGTTTTTATTCTTCACTAAGGGATGAAATGAATTTTGAAATATTTGAGCAATGAGATATTGTTAGCAAACACCCCAACATCATCCATACTTCTAAGTCTGATTATTAGATACATATTTAAATATATGCTTGCATGCGTTCCTCTCAAACATGGCAGCGGTGGGGAAAACAACTAAGAAAGCATCTAATTATATGAATGTCTGTACAAGCTCTGCAATTCAGCACTCCATTCACATAAAGGCACGTTGGTGCAATCATTTTCATTGCTTGAAGGCACAATATGAAAGACTCATTCATTAAAGTATTCAAAAACTGCTGGAACAGTGTTATGCATTTTGTTGAATTATGTACTTTATATTATGCCAAATGCTCCAAAAGAATGTTCAAATCCGGAGAAATGAGTGCAATAAGTAATGTTGCTCTTTAATATGGTAAATATATAGAGCAGCATTATAAAAGAACCATCAAATCTATTTAGTGCGATAAAACACATAGCGTTGAAATCACAATTATTACTGAATTATAAACCCCCTTTTTTTTAAATAGTTCCCAAATTATGTTTAACAGAGCAGGGAAATTTTCACAGTATGTCTGATAATATAATAAATCTCAATCCAATAGAGCACCTTTGGGATGTTGTGGAACGGGAGATTCGCATCATGGATGTGCCGCCGACAAATCCGCAGCAACTGCGTGATGCTTTCATGTTAATATAGACCCAAATCTCTAAGGATTATTTCCAGTTCCTTGCTGAATCTATACCACAAAGAATTAAGGCAGTTCTGAAAGCAAAAGGGGCTCCAACCCGGTACTACTGGTAAGGTGTACCTAATAAAGTGGCCAGTAAGTGGATATTTAAATTGTATTACGGTTAAAACAATAACGGTACATCAAAATGTTGCTGTTTTTCCCTTTAAGTTTGATCAAATAAATGATGTATTAGTATAAGTATTGAAATCCAAGCATAGCTTTTGTCTCTTTCTCTAAAGGGGAATCTCTAGCATAAAACTTCTGCTAATAGAATTACCTTTGTTTCCGCGGCCTCCTTTTATCGTCCTGGACAGACCTCTGTAAAAGACCCAGTGTGCGAAAAAAAATCATTAAAGCCAAAGCCCAGATAATCTCTAGATAAAGTGAGTGTCATTGTGGGATGTTGACTCACATGAATAAGTGTGTAGTATGTGGAGTCCTCCGGCGTGTTCAGGGTCTTGGGTTGTTGTGCGCGGCGTGGTGTTCGAGACTGCTTTGTGTCAGCTGTGGGTTTAAAACAGAAAATCAGTATTTAAATAATACCAAGTGATTTTTCACCCATTTGAACCCATTCTAGGTATTATTTATGCCTAGTCCATAGATCTCCTGTGGGAAAAGGAGAATACATTAAATAATTCCCTGGAGGGAATCCCGACTGCTACATAGAAGAATAAGATCAGCTCAAAACATCCAGCTGACCTTTCACCCCTTTGTTCTTATCTGAAAAAAAGTGTGGTGTGGTTTAACCCCTAAGGACTCAGTATTTGTAATTATCCACTCAAAATCAATCAGACATGTCATACCGGTCAAAAAATGTTCCTAAAGACTAACAAAAACACAGAAGGTATTGTATGAGAAGGCACAATCTCCATACACTCATTCACACGGCCAATTTAGTTCATCCAATTCACCTACAGCGCACGTCTTTGGACTGTAGGGAAAACTGGAGCACCCGGAGAAAACATTTCCTTATCAAACATCTTATATTTTCTTAGAGATCTTCAGCAAAAGGCACAAAAAAATGACCTTTGGTTTGTTTGAATAGTATCTGCCAACTCGAACACTGTGTATCCTGTAGAAAAGTCCTGGTGTAAAGAAAATTAATCAATGTCCACCAGGACCAGCGGGCACAGGCTGAAGAGTTTGTCATATTTATTGAATGTGTCTCTTGAAAGGTCATCAGCAATTCTTGATTGCTCTGAGGTATAAAGCCAATTTGCGGCTCTTATATTAATGCCTGCTGTAATTGCTGGGGCACTTTTGCATGCAATGCGATTAGCATTTAAGGACCTTTCATGTACAAGGAAATGCAACTGGCATTGAAAGGGCAATTCCATGTGGAAACAATAATAATTACACAATAATAATTGTTTCCACACAGAAAGATTGGGGTTTTGATCGTTTATTATGACTGCAGGGCTTACAAAGACATTTCACACTGACGATAAACCATTAATAAACAGATGTGAAAGATGACCACAAGATTTACCAAGCTAATTTAATCGAAGAGACTGACACTATATGACAGAAGAGAACACCACATCTGTCTCGCGACCGTAATGACAGAATAACCAGCTTTCATTTAGACACAAGGTGCATATCAGGAATAATGCATGAATTATCCTCCCAAAAGTCCTTTGACATATCGCAACAGAAAATCAAATGAATGGTAAATCTGCACCGCTGGGGGAATTAGCTGACGACACATCTTTCTGAGTCCCATTTGCCTGTTGAGGCACTAGACATCCAGCTTTTGATATGATCAGACACTGTTAGAGAAAGAAAACCTCTCATGCTGATACAATCGACAGCAAGCAAGTATATGGATGGAGTAATTAAGATAGAGCATTCTTATGTCTACTTTAATCTCCACTGGAAGCGGCTTAGGTCCCGTGATGTGCTTTGAAATGTGCATTTGTGTTGGATGTGTGACGTAATTATTTAAACTGAAACATGAAGACAGCATGGGACATCGATTAGCCCCTCTTCCTATATATTTGATTTTATCACTGTTCTGCCAGTGATAGAGGGTAAGCTCAAGTGTATATTGCAATAGCATCCTGAAGTGGACATGTCAATAAAATATTATTGATTGAATATGGATGTTTATATACAGTTTGGTCCATAAATATTTGGACATTGACACAATTCTAACATTTTTGGCTCTATACACCAACACAATGGATTTAAAATGAAACAAACTGCTTTACTGCAGACTGTCAGCTTTAATTTGAGGCTTTAATTAATTTTAGCTTTAATTTGAGATTATTTTTTTATTCAAATCAGGTGAACGCTGAATGAATAATGACAGTTTGCATATGTGCCTCCCACTTGTTAAGGAACCCAAAGTAATTGGACAGAATAATAATCATAAATAGAACTTTCACTTTTTAATACTTGGTTGCAAATCCTTTGCAGTCAATTACTGCCTGAGATCTGAAACGTATAGATATTACTAGACACTGGGTTTTATTCCTGGTGGTGCTCTGCCAGGCCTCTACAGCAACTGTCTTTAGTTCCTGCTTGTTTTTCTGGCATTTTTCCTTCAGTTTTGTCTTCAGCAAATTAAAAGCAGGCTCAATCGGATTCAGATCAGGTGATTGACTTGGCCATTGCATAGGGTTCCACTTCTTTCCCTTCAAAAACTCTTTGGTCATTTGTCCCATTTTTGACAGTATCCCATCATAAATTTTGGAAGTAACCAACAGATGAAGGCTTTAAGAAGAATAACAAATTTAATAACCAATAAAATAATTAAAATTATTTTAAATGACAAATTCTGACTAAGGAAATGAGCTGGCCAGTTTGTTATTTGTCTATAGGCTACAGTTTTCATTTTAAAACAAGTTTTAACAGATTTATATTTTTTATTTTTAATTTATTTTTTTTATGATGAATAATAAAAAATGAATATTTAAAAATAAGTATTTTTTCATATTTCTAAAATTCTAGTAATGACTTACAGTTTAAATGAACATTTGTAAATAAATGTACATTTTTTGGAAACAAAAAATAGTATGATAAGCAGTTGGACAAAAACATAGGAAGTTTTTTTGTTGCATCAAAAATGTGTTAATGATTTCCATCCAGCACGCTAATCCATCACAAATTAGTGCTTAAAATGTCACTAAAATGCAGTAATTAAACCTTAAATCTCTGCAAAAAAAGTATTTTTTTTGTTGAGAAAAAAGAACCTGTTTTAGGAGGACATGTTCGGTGAGAATGAACCCTAGGACTAACATACTTATGTTAACTTGTAAAAACATTTTGATTTCAAGAGGACTTTGAATAGAGTATGGTTAAAATGACTGAGATATGGCTGTTTACCTGGTGGCTGGTAGTAGCCCATGTAGCCATTCATGGGTTGTCCTTTCACAAACATGCCATTTTTGCTGGGGTTAAGCTGATGGGCGAGGATGATTTCATTTAACTTCTTCTGAAGGGAAAGGTAGTCTTCAGAGGCCTTGGATACCTAGACAGGTTACAAAGAAGTACAGCAGTCATCAAATGAAAGCACTGTGAGAAAAAGCATATGACTTGCTCCAAATGATGTCACTTCCTTTGGTGGGAAACTCTGCAAGGCATTGAAGCATGTTATTATGATTTGTAAAAAGAGTTTAGGATACACTAATGGTAGATTAATTATTTGTGTGTATGTATATATATATATATATATATATATATATATATATATATATATATATATATATATAATTTAGCTTTAGAATTGCCATGTAGTATCTGGTACCTTAACAGTACCTTAAGCTAAAGAACAAAATGGTAGAGATAGTCAACTCTGTTATGATTTAAAACGTTTAACTATAATTAAACAACAATTAGTAACAGAATCAAATGTCCTTGGTTATATTTAAACATTTAGCATTATTTTATATTAATAATGTATTCAGTTTTCCTGTAAATTGTATATTTATTTAGTAACACTTTTTTTGATAGGCCATTTGAGTATTAGTAGACTGTCTGCTTAATATCTGTTGATACTGCTCCTTCAACAGACATTTAACTGACTATAAGATGTTTGATCAGGGTTGGAGCTGAACTTTACAGGAAGGTAGATCTCCAGGAACAAGGTTGAGCACCTCTGGTTAAAATCAATGGCCTATACAGAAATCAAGTTATAAAATCTTGTTCATTTTTTATTGGCTGTTTTTTAATATTGACTACAGTTACTGTAGTTATTTAGTGAAGAGCAGCAAATGAATCTCTCTTTTGTTTTGTTTGATAACAGAGGTGTCACTGTAAGAATGCACAGACCTACAAGCTATTGAAAGCATTTGATTACTTTAGTGGCCTAAATGCTCATGCTCATTTAAGAGACGAATAGTTGTGTTAAAAAATAAAAAATGCAGGACGGACATGTTTAAATATTATTAACTTAAATAATAGTCTTAAAGTGTCAACTTTCACTCCTCTTTAAATGGCGTGTACAGAAGCTGACCTGAAAACACTATGAAGCGCGTCCGTCAGTCAGCACCGATAAATGTACATGCATTGACTGATTTAAAAACTGCATTAGAAGGGCAACAATCATTTTTTATATTAATTTCAATGTGCAAGGCAAAATAAAGCAAAAGCACAATTCTCTTCAACAGCTCTTGCAATTATTTCAGATTTGAGATCAGCCAAGTGTTGATGGTACTTTCACTTTTCATAGAAAGATTAATAATACAAGAGAAAATACTTAAACGGGATGAGAGCGGGGTAGAATGGTAAAATACGGGAGAATCCCAGTAAAAGCGGGAGGTTTGACAGATATGTCTTCAACTAAATTGCAAAGTTTGAAGATAAAGTTTGATGTTCCCTTAAAGGGATGGTTTTTACAAATGATTATTTGTAAATATTTAAATCTTTGTCTCTATTTACTCATCCTCAAGTGGTTCCAAACCTTTATGAGTTTCTTTATTGATTTGAATACTAAAAAATATTGAAGAAAGTTAAAAACCTGTAATCATTGACTTCCAAAGTAGGAAAAAGGAAATATTATGGACGTCAATGATTACAGGTTTTAAGCTTCTTCAAAATATCTTACTCTGTGTCTAACAAAAGAAAAATTTGGTTTGGAATGAGTAAAAAATGTGTAAATGATAACAGAATATTCAGCTCTTGGTGAATTATCCCTGGGTGAAGTGCCTGAAAGCTTCAAATAATTAAAGTTTTAAGGGATGAACTAAGCTAACACCTACAAATAGGTTGCTAGCACAGTTTAGCACGATTAAACACACTTCTAACATGTTTTACTATGTTAAAATTATCATTGAGATGACTGTTATCATGCTTTGGCCTGCTGTTAAAACTTTTCTAACATGCTTTTAAATATTTCCAGTAAGTAGCTGCCATATTAACGGTAGCATATTGCTAATAGGCTGTTTTAAGCAATTCCAAAGAATCAACACCTGTTTGAAGAGTGACTCCACTTCCTCATCTTGTTTTTGAGATGTAGCTTTCAGGTTCTTTCGGTCTTTATAGCCTCTAAAATTGCTCTGGATTTTAATGGCTGCCTGCTCCTCATCGTATTGTCCTTCCTCCTCTTCTTCCCTTCGTTCCAGCTGAACATCTGTAATGTCTAGAACGTCATTGTTCTCCTGCTCCTCCACATCTCCAGTGCTTTGCCCTCCTCCTGTTGCCTCTTCTTTCTCAGCTCTCAGTCTCTTTCTCTCCCGGTGTCCTCTGAAATTGCTTTGTAAAACAGTTGCAGCGTGTTCCTCATCTCCTCCTGATGGACTAGAGTCTAGCTCTTGATCATGTTCAAGTTCTAAAGGAGGCGGTGGAAGCTCCTCAATGGCAATGTCTGGTTCTGAAGCTCCTGGATCATCCATTTCCTCTTTAGTCTTTTTCTTTGGGATTTTCCCTTCCTCTTGGAGTCTTTTCCTTTCTTTGTGGCCACGGAAGTTGCTCTGAAGGACCACAGCAGCTTTGGCCTCGTCTTCTTCTCCTGGTGGATTTTCTTCAGTAAATTCCATTTCCTCTGAAAACTCCATCAATTCCTCAGGGGGCGGTGGATCTGGAATAGGAAGCTCCTCCTCATCTGTAGGACTCTTAATCTCCTTCTTTCCTCTAACTGGTATCTTTCCTTCCTCTTGGAGTCTTTTACGTTCCTTATGACCTCTGAAGTTGCTCTGGAGAACAGTGGCTGCCTTGGCTTCCTGCTCAGGGTCTTCATCTCCTCCACCTTCCTCAACCTCATTCCCCTCTTTCTCAACATTCTCCTGCGTGTCCTCTCGTGTAGCTTCCAGATCTTCTCCAGAAGTCATTTCTTCAGGGGTGGATGAGGAAGCATCCAGCTCATCTCCGCTCAAGGTCTTATTCCGTTCCTGACGTTCCTTGAATTTCTTCCTTTCTCTGTATCCTCGGTAGTTGCTCTGGAGGACCACAGCTGCCTTTTCATCAGCATCATCCATTTCCACTTCACCTCCTTCCTGTAGCGGTTCCTCTGAAACAGGATCGTCTGCTTCTAAAGGGACCTCTGTCACTCTTTCTGTCTTCTCTGTGTTTTCCTTCTGCATGGCTTCCCTGTGAAGAATACATTCATTTATACCACCACAGAATTGCTGAATTAGTGATTGTATGAGTATCTAAATAGTCAGTTTCATCGATTAGCTGTCTAAGTTTGCTAATTTTCAAACATCTAGTCCAGGGGTGCCCAAACTCCTGGAGGTTCTGGAGGGTCAGTGTCCTGCATAGTTTAGCTCTAACTTCCTTCCACACATCTGCCTGGAGGTTTCTCAGATACTTAGAAAGAACTTGATTTGCTGGTTCAGGAGTGTCTAAATGGGGTTGGAACTAAGATTTGCAGGACACCGGCCCTCCATTACTAAGTTTGTGCACTCCTGATCTAGTCAAAAACAGGTTTGCTGGAATTAAAAAACCTTGGGTATTATAGACCATTGGTAGGAAAACACTCTGGACAAATGCTAAGCCTACTGCAATGTTACAGGAATAATTCAGGCCAATTTTACTCAGGTGGTTCCTGTATGAGTTTCTTTCTTCTGTTGAACACAATAGACAATGTTTTGAAGCTGAAAACCTGTAAATATTGACTTCCATAGTAGAAACACACATGCCATAGAATTACAAAGTTACAGGTTTTCAGCTTTCTTCATAATATCTTATTTTGTGTTCAACAAAAGATAGAATATCATAAATTTAAAACAAGTAAAGAGTTAGTATATGATGACAGAATATTCTTTTTGGATGAACTATCATTTCAAGGCACAATGGAATATGCATTCACCATCACAACTTAAGACAATTTCATGTCTCCAATCCAAATACCCTATAAATCTTCTAATTTTGGTAAAAAAGCAGCTAAATTGAGCTTAAAGAAAGATCACAACAACACTAAGAGAACCAAGTACAAGCACAAGTACTTCTTGGCTCAACTAGGGTTCAAAACATTGACCTTCATGACCCTTAAACAGTTAAATTTGTGAGCATACTGGCGTCATCTTAAATCATTCCACAGCTTTCATAGGGTGTATTAAGGTACTAAGATGTAATAGTTGTCATTTTGAAAATAAAAAAGGCTTTTGATTGGTCACCATTTATTTGTTGTTAGAGATAGTTCACCCAAAATGAAAGTTCTGTATTATTTATTCACCCTTCACTTGTTCCAAACTGGGTTTCTTTGTTCTGTTTAAGACAAAACAAGATATATTAAATTATGTTTGAAAAACGCAGACATTGACTTCCATGGTATTCTTTTGTTTCATTTTTATTTTGCACCACCTGCAAGAAACACTCTTTCCCCTATATATTCACCAGACACTGTATAAACATTCCAATACAAGGACTTAAAATTGGAAATAAAATTGAATAGATCTGTTTCTTTTGATTATCTTGTTTGGTGTTTAACGGAAGAAAGAAAAGTTCAGAACTACTGATAGATTCATTTTTGGATAAACTATCCCTTTAAATAGCTAAAGACTCAAGAGTGGCCATTTTCAGGACACTGCCTGAAATATCAAATACACAGCAACCCAAATAGCTTTTTGAAAGAGAATAAGATTCAATTAAAACAATAGTATTTATAAGATAAACTACAAGCAAGAAAACTAAATCAGCTTGAATAAGAATGATTCTCACTTTTTCCTCTGGAAACTCTTCCTCTCTTTTTGTCCCCTGTAATGGGCCTGGATCTTTGCAGCAGCTTTGTTCTTCTCATCTAGTAGCTCCTTGTAATTCTGCCTTGCCAAATATCCTCTGCACCCTGTGTAAAGAGAAAGGGTTTAAGTACATTATTTACTATGAAAAATCATTTATTACAACACTGTTATAGTTGTTTGACTTACAAGCTTGAAGTTGGGTGAAAACTATTTCAGACTTTGCTTTACTTCTGTCATCAGCTATACTTTTCCGAGCCTTGTGTCCTCTGTATGCTATAAGGGAAATTAAATTTTTAAGAATCAAAGTATTATCCCCTTAACTGTGGTTCTCTCTTTTTTAAACACAGACATGAAAATTACATGTTTAACTTCAATGATTTCCAATCTTCAATGCTTTGGTGCATGGATTTAAGCTGTCTAACTTCTCTAACTAACAGTCTAAAGACACTAGGCAGATTGCAGCTAAAAGTTCAAAAAGTCAAATAAAACAAAAGTTATGTGGGTTTAAGTTTATATGAAAATAATAAAACAATAAATGTATATTTTATTACATTAGACAAAATATGGATTTTATAAAACCTGTTTTAGCCCAAATTTGACAAAAATCTAAGCTAAATATTGGAAGAAATTATATTTCAGATTTGAAGTCTCAAATCAAATGACCTTTTGATTTCATCTTGTTTAGCCGCAGTACCAGACATTCCCACTAGTTGTCATTCAGTTTCCATTGGTTGCCATTTGAGGGCGTCCTCCTAATTCTGTGTATGTTTTGAAATATATGAAGCAATTTTTTTTTGTACAATTTTTACAATATATGAAATGTAGACATCAGATTCTAAATTAGTATGGGCAATTTGGTGGGTTTTGATTTAAACTTAGCCTCTAAAAACAAATTACATCTGGATTGCTGTAGTACTAAAGTAATACTTTACAACATATCCTTGTTACAAATTAATAAATTACTTTTGCTCTATAACATCTACTAAAAAAAAGGTAATCAGAAATGGAAACTAGAATCAAAAACAGTACAACAGTAAAATATGTATTTAGAAAACGTAGATCTTTCCAATTATACATAGTTTGTCACTATTAGATTAGGATTTAATTGCAGTATGGAAGAGTAAACCTAAGCCTTCCGTTATCTGTGGCAGTTAAGGGAATATCAGACAAACATAACATTACCTGATTGTAACACCACAGCGCTTTGTTCTCTCTTTTCCTTCAGCAAACAGTATCGCTTGAATGCCATCCAGCCCCGTACATATGCCTGAACTAGAACAATCCGGTCAGTGGTCTGCCTGACCATCAGATTCAGCTGCTCCACATGATAATACTTCAGAAAGACCTGAACACATAACCGTCATAGTTACAAGCTTTGTTGAGCATCAGCTAGAGTTATTAATGTCATTGATTTACAAACCTTTGTCTTGCCCAAAATCCAGTTCTCCAGTTTGGCCTTCTCTAAAATAACCGCACACGTCTCAGGACTGATTGCTGGCTCTTCATTAGCTCTAAATGCTAATATGGAGTACCTGAAAAAGCCAGATGGTTGGTAAAAGGCAACAATGAACATAACAAGTCAGCAATTATACACCCAGCATGCAATCCTTCTTCCACTGGTAATATGCTAGTGTGGATAACGCAATTGGTGGTCCATTTTATGCAATTGACCATACGTAAAGAACGTTTTTATACCAGCTGGAAAATGGTGGTTGAAGGCATCTTTAATTTCATGAGGTTTCTTTAAAGGCATTGATAGTGTATTGACCTTATTCTTCACGACGAGCAGGTGCCAATGGAATCTATTTGGCTCTAGACTTCAAGTCTCTCTCACTTCCATTCATTTTTAGATGTTAAAAACAGCTCATTGTGCTGTATGATGTTGCAAACTGATATTTTATTATTAAATTATTACGCTTTTTATGGATTGTCATGAACACACTTGTTTCTAGAGCTAGTAGTTTGACCATTTTTATCCATTTTTGGTCTTTTCTCCCATAGACACTGAATTAAAAGTTCTAAGACAATTGCAAAAACAAATGCATTTCCTAATCGCAGTATAAGATGAATAGCAGGGGTGCCAAACTCAGTTTCTGGAGAGCCACAGCTCTGCAAAGTATAATTCCATTCCTAATTAAACACACCTAATCAACTTAATTGAGTCCTTTAAGCTTGTTTGAAACCTTCAAGTAAGTGTATCGAAGCAGGGTTATAACTAAAGTGTGAAAAGTTTGAAACCCCCGGTGTATAGTGATAGTGTTTATAATCAGAATGCTGTCGATTAAACAGACCCATGCATTTAGTTTAGTTTAGTTTACTTTAGAGCCAACTTCATTTAGTTGTTTAACAGTAAAACTAGATGACAAGACACAAGGGGACATCCCTTGACCATTGAGCACTGTCCTGCACATCTTTAGAAAAATACTGTGCTCATATTTCAAATTCATTGGCATGGCACATTGTGATTTGGTGCAGTGCTCCTCATCCAGTGTGTGACCCACTTAAAAGCTTGTCTCAATCAGGCAGTGTAAATCATTGATTTTGCACAAGGCAGATCTTAAATGAGAAAAGCAGAGCATGGATAACCCCTGAGATATGAAATGAGTCTTTCCAAAGTAATATTACTGACATATATTGAATAATACTGTACTGTAGGAAATCCAAAGAGAAACTATGCAGGAACAAAACACTGTGAACTCAAAAGAGCTTTGGCTACTGATATGCTTGTGATACTTACTGTATAACACATTATAATACCAATAATACCAATGTAACATTATTTTTGAGACAGATAAATAACAATCCTCCAAAAACAGTATTGGTCTTGAAAACTCAAAGTCAAGAACTAATAACCTTGTCAAAATATTTAATGACACTGAATTCAAAGTTTTGACTTTAATCAATATTTTGATGTATATTTTGTATTTGCCAGGCAACAAGTGATTTGCTTCAGTTCCTTTGAACTGAACACTATAAAAAATGCTAGGTTGTTGTAACATTGTGTCAAATATAGACAAACCTAAACATTTCGTTAAAGGAGAGTGTAAATTCATTGGGTTTGTCCATATTTGATTTAACCTTCCCAAAATTGAAACCCATTATTTTGAACACAGTAGTCCCATGTGGGAAAAGGTGGAAATGTTATCAACTTCATGTTTGGCTTAGTCAAAACCACAGCCAGTTTGTGATTGCATAGACCAGGGGTCAAATGTCAAAAATCAATGTCAAATGTAATCCTGAAGGGCCAGTGTCCTGCAGAGTTTAGCGTAACCCAGGCTCATTCTGAAAACATAATACCGTGGACGTTTCTGGAGACCGTAACGTACATCCTGGGAGAAATGTATTTTTGCAGTTTTTGTTTTGGCGAATACGCGAGAGGCCACTATGTGCACTTTTTTGTATCTCAAATGTGTCTTGCGAGTGCCGTTTGTGCCCGCTCTTTTCTCGTGTAAACCTACCAGAGGCCGCTGTTGACGGACTGAATGACTTATTGGTTGACTAGGCGACCGGTCAATCAATCGAAACACCCTCCTTTCCTAAACTCAACCAGTTTAGGTCAACTCCTAAACTGGTTGGTCAACTCCTCTCTGCGTCTCAAGTCCGCTGAATTATATGACAGGTCAACTGGACAAAATGGTTGCAGTGGGAAAGCCCCCTCACCTAACCTGAACCCAGGATGGTGTATTGAGGCAAGTTAGAGCTAAAAACTGCAGGGACACCACCCTCCAGGACGAGAATGGTGATTCCTGACATCCTGAATTAAATTACTCTGGATAAAAATAATGTAAAGCTAAGACTACAGATCATCAAAAACAATTGTTGTTTTTGAGCATTTTATGTAATCATATTACACCATTAATCAGTTTTCAGAAGAGTAGAAACACGGGCCTGAAACATGTCTGGTTGGATCTAGCACCAACATGACATTAAAATAGTTTATGTGCTTTAAAAAGGGTTTATGCACACTTGATAGATATCATCCGTCTGACCTTTCGATGAAGTTGTTGAAGAGAATGCGATGAGAGTAGCCTTGTCTGCGGATCTTGGCCGTCTCTAGAATACCAGTGTAGCGTAGTTGGATCAGAACCTTTTCCCTGTCAAACTTGTGAGCTTGACGATCATTGTTGGGTTTTATGCATCGAACAAAATGAGGCTGGCCTGCCACCATCTTTGATAGCAGGTCCATTAGAGAATACTGCAAATCAAGATGGAGAACATGAGTGTAACTATGTTGATTATTATCATTTTCAAAAGTCTTCAGAACAATTTATACTTCTGCATCGAGTCCACACATTAAATTCAGTGTAGCCTTTACTTATTCGCATATCCTGATGTGGACCCTTTCAAAAAAAGAGGCATGATTGTACCATTTCCATGTTCTATACAGTAGTGGAACATGAATATCCCACTGCTTACTACCATTTTGGTAGTACTAATGCAGAGCAACATGAACAGCAGAAATATAAAAAATGCTCCCAACAGCATTGGTAACATGTTAGATCAGCATCACAAGGTCTTGATACAGAAGTATAAATCAAGCTTTTATTTTAAGTCAGGGGTGTCTATTCCTGTAACTGGAGATCTAAACCCACTTGTCTTTAATTACCAATTGCTCATTCAGATCCTACTGTCATGACTGTGTGCGTCCACCAGAAGCCACTGTAGTTTGCCTGCAACTCCCTGCGAACTACAGTGGTGAAAGAACTACATATCCACACATTCCTTCGCGCACACACCCGGTCTTTCATATATACTGATTTGCATTACAGCTGTCTCTGTTTCCCCGTTGATTACCTGGACTATATATTCAGCCATTCCACCTCTTTTTGTCAGTTCGTCGTTCGCCTTTGTTGGTATGTTGTTCCTGATTCCTGTCTAGTTTCCTGTCATAGTTGCCGAGTCCTAGTTCTAGTTTAATCTGTTTTAGTTCCTTGCTTGTTTGTTTGTTTTGGTACTTTGTTACTTTGATTTTTGGATTTTTGTCACTGCACAATAGTCATTAAAATCTGCACTTGGATCCTACACTTGTTTTTGTTCCTGTTTTCGATCTCCCAAACGTGACACCTACTTGGCTGGTTTAGTTGTGTTTGATCACAGTTGGAGCTAAACTCTGGAGAAAAATAGATCTCTAGAAACAGGGCTGAGCACCTCTGTTTTAAGTTAGGTTGATGTCTTCACGTTTGTGATCTCATTGTGTTCCTCCAATTAAACAGAGTCATTCTCCTGAACATCAACTGCTTTCTCTCAAGAAAATTTGCATTTACTGACAAAACATTTGCACACTCTTGAAAATGATTGAGGTTGCTCAATAAAATTGGCTTGATGACAAAAAGACATTTGCATTCTCTTGCTAAACTACTGTGTTTTTTCTCAAACTATTTGTATAACATCTGAAGTCTCTTGAGTTTGGAGTTTGCATTTGCATTGTGCTTTAAGTTATTGTGTTGCACCAAGTAACTCACAAAAACCTTAGAATTGTCTTGAAACATTGTTGTATGGTAGCGGAAAGCTCAAATGTGCTAAAAAAGGTAGTTCAACAATTGTTACGCATTAATGCAACAATAATAGTGTCATGATCACCAACACTCTAGCCTGTGCAGATCGCTGGAGAACTACAATATCACACTTTAAAGAACTACAATTCACAGAAGTCACACACACCAGTTCCTGATTCCCCTGATTACACAAACACAGCTGGATGCTCATGATGGTCTGATAACCAGGCCTATAAATACATCTCACTCACACACACTTTGCTGAGTCCTGTATGCTGTAAGTGAGGAATTCCAAGCATTCTCCTTGTTTAGCCCTGCCATGTTTATGACCCTTGCCTTAATAATTGTTTTCTGTTGTCTTGCCGTCTGTTCTGACCACTCGCCTGTACATTGACTAGGCTTTCTGCATGCTCCTGTTTGTCTCTCTTTTGACCATTGCATGAATGACAATTCTGTTTAATAAAGCTGCACGTGGATCCTCACCTCAGCCGTCCCCGACTCATTAGAGTTAGTAAGCAGTTTATAACTACAGCTACAAATGCTGTATTCTTGACATAACATATAAGCAGATGTGTAATGCACTTAGTTATTGTATTTTCATACTTAGTTACTGATTAATTTTTCAGTTATTATAAAGTGTTACCAAACACTTAAAAAAAAACTACTGACACCCTACAACCCCCACTCCCCAAAAATACATTCATTCACAAAACATTTGCATTGTCATGTAAACTATTGCCTTGCCCCACGTAATGTTGTGTTCGTTTAAACATTATTTGCATTCTTGTATAAAGTTTTTTATTTTATTTTTATGTCTGAAGAGTCTTACTCTGAAGTACGACGCTACAGTTTGAGTCTTCATGTTGGTGGTCTCCCTGGGGTGATGTGTGGTGTCTCCAGTGCTCTCCGTCTGCGCAAACACAACATATTCTGTGAGCATTACAGATGTGAAGGACCGCAAAAAGCAAAATGAGGGTCTTTTTATGTAGAGATAAAATAATGTGTTTATATTAAACTGTTATATGTTTTCACGTGGGAGAAAATGTATACAAGAAAGCCAAAGGTCAGGCTAAACACACAATCACCGTTTGTACAGAGTCAACAGGCAAGGCAAGCATTGATTTGTCAATGGGTGGAGTTAATTTCCGAGAGGAAGACTGTAAAAGAAATGCATAAAGATTGTGATAAGACAGTTTGATTTAAAGTCATGAAAAATTAAATATCATAATATACTTGGAATTAACTGCAGGGTTAATTTGCAAAGACATCAGACAAGCATTGATTAAGGTGTAAATTTTCAATTATCAATAGGTCAATTATCAGTAGACCAAATGTGAACCTGGACAACAAAATCTTCAAGAAAAAAACTATTAAGTTGGATGGGTATATTTTTGGCATTAGCAAAGAAAAAACACATTGTTTATCAATTACAGTTGAAGTCAGAATAATTAGCCCCCCTGAATTATTAGCATCCCTGTTTATTTTTTAACTTCTGTTTAACAGAGAGCAGATTTCTCCAACGCATTTATAATCATAATAGTTTTAATAACTCATCTCTAATTGATTTATTTTACCTTTGCCATGATGGCAATAAATACTATTAGACTAGATATTCTTCAAGACACTTTTATACAACTTAAAGTGACATTTAAATGCTTAACTGGGCTAATTAGGGTAATTATACAGATTAGGGTAATTAGGCAAGTTATTGTATAACGATGGTTTGTTCAGTAAAAAAAATATATCAGGAAAAAATATATAGCTTAAAGGGGCTAATTATTTTGTCCTTAAAATGGCTTTAAAAAATTAAAAACTGCTTTTGTTCTAGCCTAAATAAAACAAATAAGATTTTTTATTTCAGAAAAAAAACATTTATCAGATATAATGTGAAAAATTCATTGCTCTGTTAAACATAATTTGGGAAATATTTAAAAAAGAAAATAAAAATCAAAAGAGGGCTAATCATTCTGAATTCAACTGTATATTTATTATTAAGAAAAAGAAATAATTTTCCATTTGTGCCACACTATAAATATATATATAAAAAAAATTAATCTAAGGTTACGTATATCAAGAAAACTTACTGCTAACCTTTAGCATTTTTAATAAAAAAACAGTATTTTTTACAGTGCAGAAATCATTAGAATATTAAATAAAGATCATTAATATATTTTGCACATTTCCTACTGTAAATAAATCAAATCCAAAGGTTTGATTAGTAATGTGCAGTACAGAGAACTTATTTTGGACGATTTAAAGGTGATTTTCCTAATATTTTGAGTTTTGATTTTAACTCCAGATTTTCAAAAAGTCATATCATACCATATTATACTCAACCAAATATTGCCCTATCCTAACAAATAATACATTAACAGGATAGTACATTAAAGGTTTACGAAACCCTGGAGAACTTTTTTTGAGATTTTAACAGATTTGTGTGTGTTGAGCATCAGTTAGGACAATGTTAGCACCTGTCAGCTTTAATTGTGGGGAAAACTGGATAATTTTGAGCTTTTGTCAGCTAATTGTAGCTTCTGGGTGTATAATGATTTTTGGGGCGGGATCAAAATCGGCGATGTAGCGCAAAACTGCAAGTGCAAAGATGACACGTTGGTTTCTCAATATTATTCATAGCGGAGTTTTCTTATCCTTTGAGTAGAGCCGGCTTCTTAATTATTCATGACTGCACGTGCTTTCCGAAGGCAAGACAGAACTGCCAGTGCCAAGCAGTGAGACACGCTGATGACTGGGTGAGACCGCGTCCACGGACCGACGGCACACAGTATTTAGCTGTTCATAAAGTGTGTTTGTTTCCATGATCCACAAGGTTTGTTGCATGTTTTTCCCTGCGATGTTGTCAGGGCCGATAGCAGTTTGTGTGCAGCAAGCATTTCTGTCGGGAGAGCAGTACGAGAATTGGAGAATGGAGGATGTTGTCATTTATCAGGAGTTCGTTCACATTTAGACACATCACCGTGCTGCTGTGTTTCCCTAAATCCTCTAGATTACCAAAAGGGCTAATGGTTGAAATAGACAGGGCAAGAGACCTGCTGCACTGAGTCTACATTCAGACCCAGGGATTGAGGGAAAAGTCCTCATTTATAGTGTTTATATGAACACGATTATCTTTAAAATGATGTAAATTGTGGTTATCTGAATATGAAATTACGAATAACAAATGTAGCAGGGCAATAAGTTACTGTTTATTTCTTTGCATTTTAACTTTGTAAACTATAAAATCATGCATCTCCTCATGGTTTGTGTCTCATTTTGTGAGCCGACTGACAACATTGTTCGCTCCCCCCCTTCTCCTCTGCTGACCACACCCACTCCTGCCGTTTGCTCGCAGAGCTCCACGCCTATTATGTGGCATCTTTTGAAAAAATTCGGAGGTAGACCTGAACCGAAAGTGGGAGGTGTCATGACCCTTTAACAGATAACTTATTCAGCTTTCATAGACGCATATACCTCCCAAAAACATTACACTTTTGACTGCACTGTAAAAAAATGAAATGATCAATAAGTCAGGACATACTAAAATGAGTTAATCATGTTTTAACTTAATTTTATAAGTTGCGCAAGCTGTTTTAAGTCTTAACATAATACAAAATCAATGTACCCATAAGGTTAATTTGATTCAGCTTAAAATTTTAAGGAAATCAGGATTGTTTTACAGTGTGGTTTTGTGGTCCAGGGTCACAAACGTCTTTTTTTTCAATAAAAGTGGTCATGAATGTTTCACCAGGCTATATTATCAAGGTGTTTGGACACCGACCACAAAAGCAGAATCAGTGACACAGGTGCTTTTATTTTACGTGGGCTTGAAATAGATGGAATCTTTCATGTGAAATTTTCTAAAGACGGCATGCTTAAATATGCAAATGAATGATAATGTATGCGGGTCTTCATCAAAGACATCATTTCAATATGTTTAAAACCCTCATTCACTTCAGAGTACAACCTGAATAAGAGCTCTAAGCAGCTCACAGATTCTCTTAATAATTCGCAGAGGGATAATAAGCTTAATGCCGAAAAACATAAAACTTGAAACACAAAGTGGATGTTTTTAAAATCTAACCGCACATAAACACATGAATCTATTTCTCTATTCTAAAGGGACACTCAAATCTAATAGCAATTAAATGAACTAATCAAGCTGTAATTCAGTCAGTCTACGAATGCATTAGCTATTAGGTAGCTGGTAGGGTCACATGAGAAAATACTCTTTCATTGTGTTTTTTTATGAAATTTTCAGGAAATGGCATACATTTATGTTTCCATAACTACCGATGTAACATTTATTGCTTTATTACACCACCTGACAAAAGTCTTTTCGCCTATCCAAGTTTTAGGTACAACAAATAATGACTTTGGTATCAGAAGTGGCTAACATGAAAGACAACAGGCCCTATATTACGCTTATTTTACCAAAATAAAATATGATCCTGCCTTGATTTTTAATTATTTTATTAAGACGGTAAGGTCTTTGCTTAGACAAAAGTCTTGTCACTTAACAGAAATAATGAACAGTATAGAATATGAAGTCATGGTGCAGAGGAGAAAGAACGAATATTGTGTATGACTCCCATGAACTTGGACGACTGCATCCATACATCTCTGCAATGACTCAAATAACTTGTTAATAAAGTCATCTGGAGTGACAAAAAAAGCATCCTTGCAGGACTCCCAGAGCTCATCAAGATTCTTTGGAATCATCTTCAATGCCTCCTCCTACATCCTGCCTAAGACATGCTCAATAAGGTTCATATCTGGTGACTGACTTTTTTTTCTTCACCAAACTTGACTCATTTCTGTAAAAATCTTGGTCCCATGCAGGTTCCAAAATGTGTTCTACAGTATTTGTGATGATAGGGATTCAGTTCAACAGATGATTCATTGGAAAATTGACCTTCTGTCACTTTTCCAAATGATCAATTAGAAGTCATGTTATTATATGTTGCACTTACAACTGATATCGACGACAAGACTTTCGTCAGGTAGTATGACAAAAAGATTCACAATAAAAAAGAATTTTACTTTAGATGTTTACTTTTTATTAAATGTTAGTTCATTCATTACTTAGTTCATTTAAATGTATTTACTAACATGAACTAATAATGAACAATACCTGTACAGCAATTATTGATAATAATTCAACACTTGTTAATGCATCATTAAAATCCAAAGCTGTGCTTGTGAATATTAATTCACTTTGAGTTATCAAGAATCGTTAACTAAAGCAATCGTATTGTATAGTTTTAATAAGCTTAACATGAAATAAATAAATGGATATTTAAAAAAATAAATTAATAAATAAATGGATAATTAAATAAATGAATAAATAAATAATTAAAATTGCTTTGAATAAAAAATATAATTTGAGTTTACATAAGTGTGTGTATATATATATTATATAAGTAAAAAGTATTATATAAAGTGTTAGTATTATTAAAGTGTTAGTATATAAAAGTATTATATAAGTAAAAATAATGAAAATCGTTACTGTAAAGGGTGCAAACTAATGAAATTTTAATGACATTTTAGGATAAAAATTAATATTTTTAGGACTGACCGTTTAGAATTGAAAATTCTATTGAATGATATTGAAAATTATATATTTTATATTGATTATAATTTTGTAGACATTATTAATATTTTTTGGGCAATTTTTGTTATTTTAAATAATAATAATTATTTACACTTTTATTATTTTAATTAATATTCAAATTGATTAATTTTATCACAATACATAATGTAGTTTCTTTTGTTTAATAAGAAAAATAAGCTTATTTTGTCAATATTTTTAATTTAATTATTATTTTGAATATAATAATAACAGTTGAGTAACAAAAATTATAAATAAATAATTATTTAAAAAATAAAATAAATAATTTATAATAATAGGATGATAATAATATTATCAATAATAATAATAATAATAATATTAAACACTGATGCCTAAGAAAGACCCACAGACAATGAGCTCATTTAACAGCACAAACACTACGGGATCATTACCTCACTGAATGATACAGAACTGAACAACAAAAGGCAATCCAACTTTAGACAGAAGTCATTATAGAAGCCAAGAGTGGAAATGTCAGTGGAAATGAAGAGAAAGTAAAAGAGATGGAGAGACAAAGTTGAAAAACATTAGTGCAGATGAAAAAGTAAAATCACTGAAGCCCTAATAAAGACAAAGCCTTAACCATAAGTATATGAACACATGGATTTACAAAAAAACAATCATAACAGAGGTATTTTATATCCGGAAATATTAAAAACAAAGTAGTAATGATAGAACAGTACAGCACCACTAAGAGGACATGATAATGTAAAACTAAAAATAAATAAATGAGATGGAAGGGAAATTACATATTAATGCTTTGGTTTTCTCTCACAAATCCATTGCAATCCCCATAAGAAATAAGAAATGAGAGTTTCAAAACTATTTTCTTCCCATGAGAAATGCTGCCTTTGATCATAAAGCGTTTGCATTTCCTCCCCAAAATATTCTATGCCATCCCCGAAAAACTGCATCACTTTATAAAATTACTGTATTATTATTATAGTATAATTACTGTACTATAAAATTTCCTTTTCTGCCACAAAATAATTAAAATCCTCACACCCCCCAAAATAATTAACTAAATCAATAAATTAAATTGGAAAAACTTCTGTTCAACCAAGAAAGATTGTTTAATTAATGTAATTGTCTTGTAAAACTTTTTTTTCTCAATAATTTCTTTCCCTCACCCTAAAGAAAAAAAAAATACAAAGAGTAAACTATGCCTTATTTCCACTGTAGGGTTTCACGATTGCCAGCGATCTAGCCCTTACATCACCACATCACCAGAGCAACACTTCTGCCACTGAACTGCACTACATTTCCCATCAGGCACCTCACTCACACACCAGTCCCAATTCATCCCCTTATTACTCTCACACGGCTGTAGCTCATGAAGACTGATTACTGGACAATAAATACAGCACACTTACACTCATTCGTTGCGGAGTCTTGTTTTCTGTAACATTAGTATTCTGTTGCCTAGCCTTGCTGTGTTTTCAGATCTTTGTTTTGTTCTATGTTTACTGTATGTTGTTTTGCACCCTGTATCGACCTCTTCACCTGTGACCATTGGTTCATCTTAACAGGTGTATTAACACATTATTATAGGTTTAGTTAAGACTAACAAAGATTAAGTAATGCTTAACAGATGGCTTTGTTATTAATTCATGTTAACTAATTTATGAACTTAGTTAACTTATTGTAAAGTGGGTCAAACTAATGTACAATTCACACTATTAACAAACTATTAACTAAGAGCTCGATGAACTAATAATTAGTGTTTAGGTGTTGAATGGGATAAGAAATGTAAAATACCCTGTAAAAAATTGCTGTAAAATTTACAGAATTACTAGCAATATTGGTTGCTAGTAATACTGTACAATTTACAAGTGCGCAGTAAATTAGCAATTACAATTGTGCTGTAGTTAAATTCTGCCAGTAATACTGAAAAAATTGCCAGTAATACAGTAAAAATTGCCAGTAATACTGTAAAATTTATAAGCGGACTGTAAGTAATTGCTGCAAAATTGACAGTATTACTATAACTAAAAAAAAAACTACAGCAAAATTCTAATTGTTAATTTACAGCGCACTTCTAAATTTTACAATATTACTGCCAACCAAAATTAATAATACTGTAATATTGTAATTCCTGTAATACTGTAAATTTTGCAGCAAGTATTAACGGTGTAGGATTACACATTACAAGTACTAATAAGCAGTTAATGGGAGGTAATCCAGTATATATTGTGTGAATTGTTACTTAAACGAAAGTGTTATTAATATTTTAGTATCCTTTCCACCATGTGCTTGTACCAAACAATACTGTACTGTACTGAATTGTACCACTCAGTAAAAAACAAGGCATTGAGGATATAATATTTTTCCCTCCATTGATTTTTATTCATCTTCTTTTTTACCATTACCATGTCCCTTTAGCAGCTATGTTGAACACAGAGAAGTAGAAGGTAAAATGATGTACCTTGGCAAAGCGCTGTGATTGTTGTGTGCCCATCCGAGCAGAGCCCACAGCTTTGCCCTTAGTGTGCGCCAAATTACCTGTACAAAAGAAAAGAAAAAGAGTTCAGTGGAAAAATCTGCTTTCCATACAAATCACTGATAATTCATTAGATAAGTCACATGTTCTTCTGTGATAATCTGCCTTTTATCACAAGGTCAACCATTTCAAGGGCACTCAGATATATGGTCTTCAAAGGTTAGTGATATGACATAAATAAGCTTCACAATGGTCAAGTAGCCAACAAAAGACTTCTGAATGAAGCCCATAGGCCGGAAATCCCAATGGAAACAATCCCGGGCGCACCTCAGTGGACGTAATTGAGTGTGTCAGTCAGACGACCTCCATTCATCACATCAGATCACAAGGGAGCGAGCACATTTTCTCGTGCTGCGTACATTCATTCAGACCAATAGATCAAAGTCTCAGCTCAACGTTTCAGACAGGATGGTGTTCGCACTGTCATTTCCATTCTGTGTGACTGTAGTGTGACCTATAATGCAGCGTCATCTAATAGAGCGTGACTGAACTGTTCGTTTGACTGCTCTCATGCCATTTTGAACACAATTTCAATTCTTTCAGAGGCATCTGCGTTAAGCCCAGTGTTGAATGTAATTAGTTACAAAGTAACTAGTTAGTGTAATAAATTACTTATCAGCTGAAAAAGTAAAGGGATTACTTTTCTATCCGCAGATGCTTTAAAAAGTCTTACAGTGAATCTATAGTATAAAAATAAGGACCTAATTTGTCTTAAAACGTTTAAAGGGTTTTAAAAATTCTATCAAATTGATTTTGTTTGCTTCGTGATTTTGTTGAAATCTACTTCATTGATGTATTTGTCAGAACGAAAATAGGCAAAACCCTATGAAATACCAGCCTGATCTCACAGGGAAACGTAAGTATTTTACGTTTTGACAGTTTAGTGGCTCATTCGTACGAGTTTAGTCTTACAAAAATTTACGATTTTAAAAAGGAGGCGGGGCACCCAACCCCACCCCTAACCCCACCTGTCATTGGGTGATGAGCAAATCGTAGTAAATGGTACGAATTAGATTGTATGAATTCATACGAATTGGCGACTGAATCAAAAAGTTATGAATTGCCGTGAGACAACTTGTGGGAATTTCGTTTATGCAGTTTGTAAGGATTTCACGAATCTCAGAAGGCACACAACATCATAAAACATTAATATTAAGTTAGATTCAGGTCCTCACATCAGGAGACCAAAATTCAATATTTAGTCAGCGTCTAAGGACAATGTTACTTTGACATCCAATAATGACGTCAAATGAAGTTGATATTTGGTTGATTTTAGGTTGTGTTGAAACTGACCAAAATCTGACATCGAACCAACATCTTAAACCAATGTCACATTGACATCAAATATTAACATTTATTTGTCAGGTAAGGCAGCCAAAATCCAATCCAACGTCTGACAGATGACGTGATAACAATCACACAATGTCAAGCTGTAACATTATTAGATATTGATATTTGGTTGATTTTACGTTGGACGCTGGACACTGATGTCGGTCTGACGTTGGGTTCTGATGTCAACTCGATTTCTAAAAAAAACTGCAAAGTCCCACAACATTGAGGTACAAAGCCAATCTGACGTCATGTTGATGTCCTGTGCCTGCTGGGATAGCTTATGGCAGCTATGTCAACCCGTACACAAACAAATGAAGAAGGAACATAGGATTTAGACTTACACAAGTCTAAGTTTACACCGTGGTTAAGACCTGTTTGTGACAATGGTGTTCATGGTAATTGGTTGTGCTGGTTGCTTTTTTTTTAAACAAAATTGGTACCAAAATATTGGTCATAATATGAACTCTGTATAGTTTTATAAAGATCTTAAAAAGTCTTAGAAACCTGAAGATACATTGTACTTGCTTAAATACGGTGCGTAAAATCAACTGTTCTATATGAATAAATTAAGAGAAGCAGAGCTATGTCTATTTTGCAGAATAATTATATTTTTCAACTAAACAACATGTACAGTATTATTTACAATTGCATATGGTAAAGAAAAACATTGATAAATTAGTTAATAACAATTCAGAGAAGTAGAGTAATTGTATTGTGTGTGTATATATATATATATATATATATATATATATATATATATATATATATATATATATATATATATATATATTGTATATATTCAGTATAAATATTTTTTGTTATTCAGACATTTTTCATAATTTTCAATTAAAGGTTTGACTGACAACTGCATGAGCTTAAGAAACAATAAAATATGTTTTTATCAAAATATGGTGTGCATGAAATGTGGTATTATTCATTTTGAAACATTTTGATACACATTTTTTTTTTAAATTAAAATGTGAATGGTCGGCATGGTGGCTTAATGGTTAGCACTGTCGCCTTACAGCAAGTAGGTCGCTGCTTCGAGTCCCGTGTGCCAGTAGGCATTTCTTTGTGGAGTTTGCATGTTCTCCCCGTGTTGGCGTGGGCTTCCTATGGGTGCTCCGGTTAGCCTTGCTATTGGATTAACTAAATTAGCCGTAGTGTACGGTTGTGAATGTGTGTATGGGTGTTTCCCAGTACTGGATTGTGGCTGGAAGAAACATATACCGGAAAAGTTGGCGGTTCATTCCGCTGTGGTGACCCCTGATGAATAAGAGACTAAGCCAAAAGAAAATGAATGAATGAATCATCCTGCAGGACTCCGCTTTTCACATTTAAAGTCAACGAAACACCATGTACTCAAAGTCACAATATGTCCCCAGTCACTTTTTTTTGTTTTTGGCAGCACAATGAAACAACGAGTCCTAGATCGAGGCAATTACACAATGATTGGACTGAGTGACACATCATTAGAGGTCACTGTTTAGAAAATCTATCTCACGTAGAGAGAGCAAATGAAACACACACACACACACACACACACACACACATACACATAGCTATAAGAGCACGTCTGGACAAACGTGTGGATTTATTGGTTCCTTAGCAACAAAAAAATATGGTAACACTTTCCATTATTTAGTACAGTTTTATTGCCTGCCTGTTGTTAAGACATTAACTGTTTATGAACACTTATAAAGTGTGGTATTATTGTACATGCCTAATCTCTAAAAGGGGTGCTTCATTTTTTCTTAAAAAGTGGAACTTTTTGCAGTTATTTTCCTCATTTTCTATTTAACCATGCATTTTAAGCACAATTTTCTTTTTTGCTTTAGCTTGTCGAATGGTCATCATAACCACAATTTTTGACGTACCAAAAACATTTCACTTTAGAATAAAAAAATGTGAAAAAAAAAACGATTTATACTTATAATTTTTTAAAATACAAATTTAACACATCATATTTAATTAAAAAAATAAGGAATCGGATAAAGTTTTGAATTTAAAACGTCTTAGTCTATTGTCATTTATTAGACAAATAACAAACTGGTCAGCACATTCAGATTTCCTCAGTCAGAATTTGGCCATTTGAATAATAAAAAAATTAAACACAATAATGTAGAGCTTAGGCGACACAATGACAAGCAAAAAGGTCACTAGTTCAAGTCCCGGCTGGGTCAGTTGGCATTTCTGTATGGAGTTTGCATGTTCACGTGGGTTTTCTCCGGGTGCTCCGGTTTCACCCACAGTCCAAAGACATAGTTGGCATAGGTGAAGGAATAAACTAAATTGTATGTGTGTGAATGAGTGTCTATGGGTGTTTCCCAGTGCTGGGTTGCGGCTGGAAGGGAATCCTCTGTGTAATACATATGCTGGATAAGTTGGTGGTTCATTCAACTGTGATGACCCCTTATAAATAAAGAGACAAAGCCGAAGGTAAATGAATAAATGAATGAACGAATGAATGAATGAATAAACGAATGAATGAATGAACGGAGAGCTTCCCATCTTTTCTAGCCTCTATTGTAAAATAGTAGACCTAAATATGAAAATTTAATTAAGGTATTAAAATGAACTATAATATGCTTCAAAATTAACTTTTGGTGCTTCACACCTTTTTACTGGTCATTTTTTTTTTCAAGGATAAGGTCCAAGACTTAGAATAAAAGATCAAATGTTCTCTTTATTTAATAACAATACAGTCAGTCAGTAGATGACTTCACTCACATCAGATTTCCATCTTAAAGCTTTCTTCGATGGGTTATAATCACAATCTATGATGGCATATCAGTTTATGGGACAAATCCTGGACCTTTGTCAGTAAAGGGTGGGTCTTTTGAACCACCCAACCCCCTGTGGCTATGGGCCTGAAACCTACTACCTTTCTAACTGTTACTAAGCAGCTAATTAGAAGTTTATTCAGCTAAAAGTCTTAGTTAATGTTTTTAATAGTGTAAATGAAATCAAATTAAATAAAGTGTGAAACGTTTGTAAAAAAATGACAGAAACTGAAGCAAGTAAAGAGCAGATAAACCAAATGCTCTAAAAGTTGCTACTGAGTTCAAAAGTCAAACCTGTTTTAGTGAGCGGATGCGTAACCAGTTTACGGGTCAGTTCATTCTCTGATGACCTCAGCAGAAGAACTATATCAGCAGGCAAAGCGTCTCTGTTCTTAGCCAGGAAGCCGCCGGCATTATAGATTACCTAACCAAATGAAATAAAAGAAAGGTTTACTGTACATCCAACAGGCTAATATCTGCACATATGAATATAGCTTAGCAAGCACAAACCCATTTCTGATTCAGTTCAACTACAAATTTGATTATATCATGTATTATAATAAAAACAGTTGTGTGGCAACAGTCTGAAGAATTATTTTTTTTTTATAATCACACTTGGTCTGCAGAAACACTTGGATTGACATTCTCCCTTTGTACGTGTCAACAGAGGGGGAAAGCCCTGCCCTTAGTGACAATTTTTTTTCTCATTAGCATAGGATGTTAGTCTTGTTTTCGAATCTGCCACTATGCTGACACATTTGACGCTGACACTATGCTGAATGCTCATGCATTTGTAGCTCCGCCTTTTTTGAAAAGAAGGGGTGTGAAGCATAATCTAATTTGAATTTAAAGGGACAGTCACAAAAATGGCACTAGCTTTGTTGCTATTATGGCTAACATGGATTTTATTGAGGGAAAAGCTGTGCTTTACATGCTTTAAGAAGGCTGATAAACAGCGTAGATTCGTTCGGACCTGTGTCTGAGTCCACTAGATCATTTCAGAGGTGCACCCAGCTCTGTGAGTTCATAAACTCCTCCAGAAACTGTACCTGGATGATGGAGGCTTTCAAGGGTGCTTCAGACTGAGCCAAGCCCAGTTTAATGAGCTGTTGTCCGGTGTCGGCAAGAGGATTTCCCCTTAGGACATCAACAACAGACACTACATTGTAATCACGCCCCTTTTCAAGAGCAAATTCCTGATTGGTTAACGCTGCGCAAATGTCCACTAAAGTTCAGATTTTCCAACTCAAGCGAATCACACGTTAAATCATGTCAAACACACAAATGACACCGCAGGATGTCTATTCGCATCTTTGCAATGACTTAACATATAAATCATTCACGCTTGATGCTTCATCCATGTCTGGTGTGACCGCACCATAAAAAGGGGCAGATTCAAAAACATTATTCGTGGGATCTTTTGAGCTGAAACTTTACAAACTAACTCTAGAGACATCAGAGACTTATTTTACATCTTCTAGAAAGGGGCATACCTTTAAATCAAGAAACCCTTTCTTAACAAGTAAGTTTTCAGAAGTTAAAAGAAGCTCAATAATCTGCCAGTGGGGTGAGTAAAATAACATATTTCTTCCAAACTGTTTTAAATAACTGTTTACTTATTTTAATGTGTGTTTGTCCATTTAAACAGACAACTGAAATCCAAAGAAATCTGTTTCACACCTTCTCACTTCATTTGCTTTTCATATGCTATATATATTAGATCATGGGTGCCCAAATTTGGTCCTGGAGGGCCGTTGTCCTGCCAAGTTTAGTTCCAACACCAATAAGACCCACCCGGGCTAGCTAATCAAGCTCTTACTAGGCTTTCAAGAAACATCCGTAGAGGTGTGTTGAGGCAAGTTGGAGCTAAATCTGCAAGACATTGGACTGAGTTTGGGCACCCTTGTATTAAATAGATATAAATAAATAAATAAATAAATAAATAAATAAATAAATAAATAAATAAATAAATAAATAAATAAATAAAAATAATCAAATGACAGTAATGCTGACACCAAATATACAGGCATAAACCCTTTGTTTCTTCTTTTATGGGTCCAAGAAGTCACACACAAACTGCATGAATTTGGACATAAGGGCAAATAAAAAATAAAGTTTTCAGTTTTGATTCAACTACACCGTTAATTCGCTCATCTCTGTTTTTATAGTACACATAAATATTAATAAAATAAGATTCCTCTACCTTGCCTGCATAGTGATGGATTCCAAAGCCCAGGTCAACCCTCTTTGGTCTCCAGAAGTTTTTGGACTTTAAGTTATCCTCAAATTTCTCTGTTTGCACAAAATACAGGTTCATTACAAACAGTTTGATAAGTTTACCAATTAATTGATCCCATTAATGATTTGTTCATTTGCTCATTCATTTATTAACCCAGACATTAATTCATGCGCACACTCGCTTGCTCATATACTACATATAACACACAATCCACATTAAAGGGATAGTTCGCGCAAACATTTACCATTTACTCAAGTGTTTCTAAACATTTATGAATTTCTTTCTTTTGTTCAACACAAAACAAGATATATTAAATAATTTTGTGGTTAAAAAAATTTATATAGTAGGAAAAATACTATAGAAGTCAATGGCTATTCCCCCCAACATTCTTCAGTATACCTTCCTTTGTGTTCAGCAGAAGAAAGAAACTCAAACAGGTTTGTAACAAGTGGATGATGTGTGCATAATGTCAGAATTTTCCTTTTTGGCTGACCGATCCCTTTAATGAAGTCATCCATTCATGATATCACGACACATACATGAATGAATTCATCTCTTCATTTCATTCACTAGAAAGCAATATGCTAGTTCATGGGAAACCACCTAGCCGTCTAGTCTTGGCATGTTCAATAATTAATTTGTCAGTCAAAGAGACCATTGAGGGTGTCCTCAGGAGAAAGCAGATGAAAACTAAGTATGCCAGTAAATGTTTGATGACGTCTGTATGTGTGTTAGAGAAAGAAAGTGAGGAGGAATAGGAGTGTAAGTGTCCCTGGTCATAAGACACCCACTGAACACAGCTAAATCTGCTATCTCTGTGATGGATCGTGTAGAGGAACTTGCCGACGAGGGTCTGGTCAGTTGCCTGAGGAAAGCGACTCTCCTCGTCCAGCAGCGATAACATGCCCATGGGCTTCTGAAGGAACAGGTCCAGCAGCGGCCGGTTGTCTTCATACTCAATTACTCGAGCGTCTACATCTTCATTCAGATACTCATCCTGCACACAAACCAAGGGATAAATGCTGAAATTGTTGTAAACTCTATTTATTAAATAAATGAATGATCTGCAGAGCTTGGTTTGAGATGTACTAAAGTGATAATACACTCTACAAAAATATAAACGCTTTTCTTTGATTTGGCTTTTTTTTTGGAGGGGGGTCGGGGGGGGGGGGGGGTTGCTTGGGGGAGGGGGTATGGGGGGTGGTTGGTAGGGTGTAACTGATGTGACCACCATTTGCCTGTACACACGCATTGAGTTATCAGATTGTGCTCTGTGCAATGTTGCTGGATATTGGCTGGAACTGGAACAAGCTGTCGTATAGATTTTATATCTTCAGCTCATGAAAAATGTGAGCAAAAACAGGTGTTGCATTTATATATTTGTTGAGTACAGATAAACAACAAACTGTAGATTCCAAATTGTTTAAGATATAGACTACATTTACAGCTATTGAAATGATTTCTACAGATTTGTAATAGGTTAATGCCCTCTTTTTATACAGTCTAAAGGTTCAGGGACTGTCTCTGGGCAGTACCTTTTCCAAAGGTACTTATTTGTACCTGAAGGGAACATCAAGTACCTCAAAGGTACTTTTTTAGATACATCTGGGTACTAATATGCACTTTTTAGGTACCACTGTGGACTCTTTGGGTACAAATATGTATCCTTTAAAAAGGTACTGCCCCAGTGACAGCTCCTGTACCTTTATTTCCGAGAGTGTATGGTTACACCCCATTTACACAGGGCATTGACGTTAACAACTGATGGAGGGTGAGTGAAGTCAGCCAATCGCATCCAGCTTGAACTGATGCCTCATTTAAGGCATAGTCCCTCAGGACTATGAGTCCCAGTATGTATATACAGTAGTGTTGAATATATAGACCCTAACACTAACGCAAGTCAAGCATGATAATAAGATTTTCCACCATTTTTAAGTACTGTTATTCTCAGGTGTTGCACAAATGTGATTGGCTAGTGTCTGCACTAGTTTATTTGCATAAAGCAATCTGACTGGCTGACCAACTTCTTCCACAAACAACAAACCCAATGTGACTTGATGGACTCACAATCAAAGTCTCTTTAAGGCAAGTCATTTCATTAGGCGGCCATCATTGAAATGCCTCTCAAGCACGCAAGTGCAGCTTTTTGAACATCAAAATATCCGAAACATTTTAGCTAAACTTACAATTAAATGGCACAATTTAATTCACCAAATCAATGAAATCTGACACAATATGTCACTTAAAACTTATTTCTAAATATTCAAAAGCAAACAAAATACTTTTTTTCAGATTGCCCAACATAATATGCATGGACACATGAAGGGAATGATTTCACAACACTTTGTGTATTCTATAGTCTTTTTTACAATTCGGGTTGGAAACATTTGATGTCACAATCCAAGCAAATTAAAAGTGTTAACACTGATTATTGTTAGAATTGCAAAATATTATAATAATTCAATTTTAAAAGCAACTTAAAATCAGTGATTACCATGTCTTTTCACTTAAAAAAATGCAGATTTAATATAATAAGAATGTATTTGGTTGACAAATCTCAATCAAATGGTCACTTTCTGTCTAACTGGTCAGTTCTTGGCTAAAATAACCAGAAAGTGAACAAGACTTCATGCTGACAGTCAAAATCCTGGTCATGCGATACAAATTCCACATAAAATGTCAGTTGAAAACTCTTTATTTGCAGACAATGCTTTCATATTTTGAAATGTCTTGCTTGATTACACCATGTCTCTGAATATAATGCTTTCTATGACCTTTATGCTTGATGCTGTGGTTGTTTTGCACCTGAATTTATCTTAAGGGGAAAGCATTTGTTTATGTATCTGCAAATATTTCTAAGCTCCTGACAACCCTGCTGAACTCTGCTGGCTTACGCCTGGAGCTTCACGACCTCCTATAATCTGAGCCACACTACAGACAAATCCTGCTGCGACACGATGACACTCAGCACATACAGTAGAGCGAAAGTCTTGTCTTTCTTGTATCTAGACTGACATGTTGGTAAATTACAAGACACACGGGCCTAAATTATTCACTGATGAAACGCATCAACACAGATACAGAAGCGTGTCCAAGAAATCGAATCTGTGGTGTAGGTTGGAGCTTTTAGCCGTGGGTAAAGTCATCCAGGGAACAATGGCGTTTTTGGGGACTGTAAGACTGCTGCTAACATACAAGCAACAGGGATGCAAAAACAACAGCGATTCCAAGCAACATGGTGCACAAATGTAATAGGAAAGCTGTAGAGTGTAATCTTTAGGCTACAAAGTCTTAACTACTCAAAGTAAAATTAAAAATATGGAGAAAATACAACGGCATATTGGTTATAAATGGATTACATTTGTTTTTCATTTCATTATTTTACTGACCGTTAAGCACATCTGCTCATATTTCTGTCAAATTAGCTATTAAAAACTACTGTCAGTTAAGCATATTTGCCCCATTGTATTAAGTCAGAACAAGCGCAAACCCAATTATATAAGAGGATATGGCTGCAAAACACAAACATAAACACAAATAATTTTAATTATAGAGTGTTGTAGTTGATTTTCTATGTATTGTTGTAAAAGGAACTTATTTTTTTGTATTTTATCTCTTTTTCTTCTCGTTAAATATTTGTATTTGTGGCGACACAGTGGCGCAGTAGGTAGTGCTGTCGCCTCACAGCAAGAAGGTTGCTGGTTCGAGCTGGATACTCATCTCAAACCCTAACCCTAACCCTAGGCTAAATTGTCCGTAGTGTATGTGTGTGAATGAGAGTGTGTGGATGTTTCCCAGAGATGGGTTGCAGCTGGAAGGGCATTCGCTGCGTAAAAACGTGCTGGATAAGTTGGCGGTTCATTCCGATTTAGCGACCCCGGAGTAATAAAGGGACCAAGCCGAAAAGAAAATGAATGAATTTGTATTTGTATTGCTTAAAGGTGATATATTAACTGAACTTCTACTGTTGAGCGTGATTTGTTTTGCAAACTAATGAATATTTGCAGAAGTAGATGAAGCTGATTGTCTAAAATTAACTTGAGCTCTGCAGCAAAACATCCTGTGAGCACAAAATAATTTAAAGTCTTTTGCTTTTAATGTTGTGCAGAGAATTCATAGAAAAAGAGGACGTATGTATGGGTGCGGCCAATGGAGAACTGGAGAATGGTTGACAAGTGACGAATTCCACTTGATACATTATTAAGCTACAGAGTTCTTATCAGGTGTAGAAAATATGATCATATCACCCCAATTTTATCCTCTTTACACTGGTTGCCTGTTAAGTTTCGTATTGATTTTAAAATCTTGCTTCTTGCCAGCTTTAAATAATATGGCTCCTGTTTAACCAACCTTCTGTCTCACAGCAATCCAACCCACTCTTTAAGGTCTCAAAACTCAGGACTTCAGGTACTACCTAGAATAGCAAAGTCAAATAAAGGAGGTCGAGCGTTCTCATTTATGGCTCCTAAACTCTAATAATGTCCGAGGCTCAGATACACTCTCGCAATTCAAAACTAGATTAAAGACCAATCTTTTTAGTAAAGCATACACTCAATGCATCACATAGCGGTATGATGCATGAATGTATAAACGTTTATATACACTATGAACAGCAGCTACGCTAATTATTCTCTTTATTCTCTATTTCCACTTGGGGATACTCCTCCCGAGGCCCCCAGAGACTATGCAGCGCCACTGATGTGATCCAAGAGCAGCGACGAGATGATCCCAAGGTTTCCATAATCCTGGACCAGGCCGTATCCTGAGCAGCTACTGTGGTGGTCATAGAGGAGTGGAGAGTATGTGACTGATTCCTGTGATGCTCCAGGGACAGTCGAGTCTTCGCAGACGTCCAGCGTTCTCCAGCCTTCAGCGCCTAGACTGCAGCTCTGCACAAGACGTTTGGCCATAGGAGAAATGGTCGTGCCCATCTGAGGCTGGTTTCTCTCTAGGTTTTTAATTCTTCACTTTCGCCAATTAGTGAAGATTTTTCCTCGCTGCTGTCGCCACTGGCTTGCATAGTTCGGGATCTGTAGAGCTGTGCATCGATGGATTTGCTCCTCAGTGTTTGGACTCTCAGTAGTGATTATTAAACCAAACTGAACTGAGTTAAACTGAACTGAACTTAAACACTGAAAACTGGACTGACACTGTTTCAATTTACTATGATCTTCTATGTGAAGCTGCTTTGACACAATTTACATTGTAAAAGCGCTATACAAAAAAAGAAATTGAATTGAATTGAATTGAAAAATAAATGCCTTCAAATTGAGCACTGCACGCTCTACCAAGATTGTAATAACAACAAAAATTACATTTAAATAATAATCAAATTATATGTCGTCCACGTCCCTTAGGTATAAAAATAACATTAACTTTAGACCTTGTGGGAACATTTTTACTCTCCATAAGGAGAACAGGCTCTAAAGTGTACAAAATTACATTTGGAAATCAAAAAAAAAAAAAAAAAAAAGCAGGGTTATGTTTAGAGGTTTTGTTTTAGAATGTACAGTTGGTACAGTCCTAAAATCCACATGTTCTTGTGTATGTGTACTTGTTTATGTGGTTTATGAGGACACAATTATTGTAATGACATGAGTATGACCTAATGGTCACACTATTTAATGTACAATTCACGCCATTTAATTAGACTTTTAGATCAATAAACTGGTAGGTTTACTACTAATTAGCTGCTTGATAATAGTTAGTAAGCAGCTAATTAGTAGTTTATTGAGTTCAATTAGTAGTAAATTGAGCTGTTGGGTAGGATTAGGGATGTCAAATAAGATCACACTTTATAAGTGCTAATAAACAGTTTATATCTTAATAATAAGCTGGTAATAAGCCGATAGTAATTGTTTTGAATTGTTACTTAAGCTAAAGTGTTACTAAAAATAATAATAAATCATACTTAACAATCTTTTGACATTTAAAAAATGGTAGGGTTTAAGGGTCAGGATAGGGTAAGGCCATCTAATAAGCATTTTTAATAGTATAAAAAACAATACACAGACGGAGAGTCCTCTTAAGTCATTTATGAAAGTATGTGTGTTTAAGAGAGTGAAAGAGACAGAGAGAGTTACCTATATAGCATGCATTTTCTCTCTGCCTACAGAAACCCAAGCAAAGTCAGTAGCTCTTGACGTAACCCTTGTTTCAGATGATTTATGAAGGCACTAATGTGGGTTAGTCTCAAACGTTTAAAGGCACAAATCACTTTCCCCCTCAAGGCTACAGTCGGGCCAGTCAGTCTGGGGAATTGCCACGCTTGTCTGGGTAAAAGAAAAACTGAATATTCTACTCCCTTCCCCCATCCCTCTCTCTCTTATTTCTCTCAATTTAGATGGAAATAAGGTTATACTGAGGATACAAAAGCAAACTGCAGTATTCAGGATGACTTGATTGGATGTACAGTACAGTACCTGTTCCCAGGCGAAGATGTGCTGGTTGAAGTAGAACTGGATCTGCTCATTGGCGATGTTGATGCAGAGCTGTTCGAAAGAGTTCCTCTTAAAGTTTTCAAAGCCGAAGATGTCCAGGATGCCGATGTTCAGACCCTTGTCGTCCTCCCTTCAGAGAAATTCAAGAATGGAGTGAGGACAAATGATATACTGCTGGTCAAAAAATTTGTCTGCTTACCCATAGGCTGTGTTTATTTGATTACAAATAAAGTAAAACTGTAATATTGCCCAATATCTTTACAATTTAAAAGAACTGTTTTCTATTTAATTTATTTTACAAATTAATTTATTTATTTATTTAATGGCAAAACTAAAAATTGGCCTAAAAGGATGCATAAAAACATGCTATCCAAATATTAATATCAAAATTACTAACAATAACGATAATAACACAAATAATAATAATAATAAGAAGAAGAAGAAAAAGAAGAAGAAGAATATGAGTACAAATAATAATAATATTAATAATAATAATAATAATGCATCCTGAAAATGAATAATTAATAATAATAATAAATAATAATATTAATATTGCATCCTGAAAATTAATAATAATAATAATAATAATAATAATAATAATGTATCTTGAAAATTAATAATCATAATAATAATAATAATAAAGCATCTTGAAAATTAATAATCATAATAATAATAATAATAATAATAATAGAGCATCCTGAAAATTAATAATAATAATAATAATAATAATAATAATAATAATAATAATAATTCAAATTGTAAGTAAATATTTCTATTTTAATAAATACTAGTCTTTCAAGTGTATTTATTATTATTATTATTATTATTATTATTATTATTATTATTATCATTATTATTATTTATTAAACAGCAAAATAAAAAATAAAAAACATCAATTACCAATAGCCCCAGCAAATAAGAATGATTTCTGAAGGGCCATATGACAAGGGGGTAATTTTGCTTGAAATTCAGTATTTTACAACATAACACTTTTCTAAAAATGTATTAATAAAATGCAAACAAAACAAAAACATTTATCAAAACGGAATATTTAAAACAGATTTTTACCTGTAGAATTATTTACGCATCGATGTAATCTATGGAACTATACATTTCCAGTAGTTAGGAGATCTAATTGTATCTAATATTGTATTGATTTTAAATGGTCTCAATCTCGTAAGATTTTGATGCTTGAGTTTATACTAACGTGCAAATCACTTGAACGCTCTTTCTCTCACCCTGATTGGTTGTCTGGTTTGAGCAGAGAGTTGATGCGGTTGACAATCCAGCTGAACAGGCGTCCATATAGGGCTTTACCCATGGCGTCCCGCACCTCTGTGGCCTTCTCCACTGTGTTTGACCTGACGATGGTTTCACCCCGAGTGACCACACAATGAGATGTCAGAGCCTCCTGTAGCTCATCTGCACGGATACACAGCAGCGATGCAGCTACATAAGCAAACACACACAAACATAAGATAAGCGGGTGCTGCATACATCCATATTAATTAATCTATTTAAAAAGTGCAGTCTTGTTTCAAGCCAAATTATTATGAAATGCAGTATGTACAAACCCAACATCTTGGTTAATTTTTTATATTAATTAATCAAAAATGAATTCAATGTGCATGTTTGACCCAAATTTGTGTTGAAACCAATGATGGGTGTTATAGAATGTAAGTTACTGTAAAAGGGAAGGGATTACATTATACGTACTGTAATAAAATATCCTTGCCTAAAATACTGAGGAGAAATTAAATAGTTCCGAACAAATCAGATCAGAAAATTGCAAAAAATTTTTAATGTTTTACAGACTTATTCATAAAAAATTTACATTAATATTTGTGGAAAAACATGTTTATTTTGTTATTTCATTTAAGTAAATTTCTTTTAACATTAAAAAAATATATATGAATAATATTTTGTTTTTGGACCGCTATTATATGTTGACACAAACATTTTGCTATTTATAATTTTTCTATTGCCTAATGATCTAATAAAATCTTAGCATTTAATACTATTTCGAATTTGCAGTGTTTAATTTGATTAAAATTATAAGTTTCTTTACTCATTTTTGTCACTTAAATTATTATTATTATTTTTTTTATAATTATTATTGATGTTGTTGTTATCATTATTATTACTGTTGTTGTTGTTGTTGTTTTAATGTTATTATAATTATTATTATTATTATTGATTTATTTACTTATATTTTATTAATTATTATTAATTATTATTATTAATAATATTATTGATATTATTATTATTATTATTAGTAGTAGTAGTAGTACTAATATTAATAATAATAATAATTATTATTATTATTGTTGCTGTTAATATTTTATATTACCATAATAATTATTAACATATTTATTATTATTATTATTATTATTATTATTATTATTGTTATTATTAACTATTATTATTATTATTATTATTATTATTATTGTCATTTCAATTACTATTATTATTAGAAGTAGTAGTAGTAATAATATTAATAATAATTATTATTAATGTTGCTGTTATTATATTATATTATTACAATAATAATTATTAACATAATTATTTATTATTATTATTACCTATTTATTTTTATTATTATTAGTAGTAGTAGTAGTAGAAGAAGTAGTAGTAGTATATAGTTTTATTTTATTATAGTTTTTAAATGACCAAAAACATGTTAAAACTTGTCTGCTGTTCTACAGGTTTAGGTTGAATAAGCTGGTCTTGATAAGCTGGTGAAAAGTGCCCTAAAGCCCTTTCTAAATCTATTAAGTCAGCTAAGAGCAACAAACCACCTTAGGCTCATTTATGGAGATTTTGTTTTTTCAAAAGCGATGCAAATAAGGATTTACCCAAGGTTTCTTGCTGCCCTTCAGAATTACATAAACACACAACGTCCAGGACTGATTATATAACTGTGCTCTGGCTTGGATCAAGGGGTTGTGTTGTACCGAGTGAAAGGTCAGCGTGGTAATCAGAAATATGTGCTAGTTCTTACCACTCTCTAGTACTGCCATGTTGGAAATGTTGCTTTTGTCCGTTTGATGTTCTGAAGCCACTGACGTGAACTCGACGTCTCCTGTATTCAGGATCCCAGCTAAGATGCCGTAAACACTCCCGAGCTCCTAATAAATAAAGACACACATTATAATGGATAAATAAATTGTAATGTCCCCCTATAATACTATATTACATTTCCATACTTTTATTTTGGAAAATACTACAAAAAATATCCATTGCAGCATTTTTCTTCTTTTCTCAAAGTGTATTAAATGGTTTGTTGAAGATTTTGAGAGCCCATACTCTGCTCTGATTGGTCAGATCTTTCCCAGTTTCTTAATTTGATGAACTATTTATTACACATTTTTTGTCGAGGTGTTTGTGTGCAGTAGTGGACGAGGTTAACCCAAAGTGGAAAATCGTACATGATAAATACTCAATAAAAAAGTATGAGGCTAAGGCTGCATCCGAAATCGTATACTTCCATTCTATGTAGTACGCTAAAAACAGTATGCGAGCCAAGTAGTGTATCCGAATTCATAGAATATGAAATACAGTATGCAAGAAGTACAAGGATGACCTACTTCCTGCGAGATTCTGAAGTGTGCATCCAATGCACAATTAGCTGTCCCATGATGCACAATGAGAGAATTCATGAACGGAAGTGAAGCTACTCCTCGTTGCGCATCATTGAATGTAATAATACGTGTCATTTTTTGAGAGGTCGTTGCGTGTTGCGACGTGTAGTAACATTTTTTGAGAGATGCGCATCAGCAATGGCCATGGTGAGGAGTATGCAACCATGTGAAGGCTGCGCCAGAGCATACGCATGCTTTTTTTGAGCGCACGTTGCGCATTGCGACGTGTAGTTGCATTAAGAGGTGTGCTTCAGCATTGACAGCGGCCATGACGATGGGTATGCGACCATGCAAAGGCTGAGCCGGAAGAACAGTTCCAGAAAGCATGTAAGACCAAAAGAAAAGCCAAAAAATAAAACAAGTAAATAACAGAGTGAGAATGAAGTAAAACCTGAAAATGTGGTAAACCTAAGGCGAGGGATTTTCTTTTTCTGGATTACTTTTGAAGACAGTGTCAGTTGGGTTTAGGCAAGTGGGTGGGCGCTGGTCAATCTGTGATTTTGAAAACACTATCAGTTGGGTTTATGGAAGGAGGAGGGTGGGTCTGTCAATCGCTCAGTCTGTCAATCAGTCATTCAGTCAGTTAAGAAATAATAGTTTTGACTTTGATCTTCGAAACCTCACACACCATCTACATTAACAAACAACTGCAATAATCACAAAATAAAAGGTAAAGGTCAAAAGAAGCATAGTAGGAATACTTTAAAATCCATCTACCATAGATTTAAGCATCCTGGCCCTGAGGAATAAAACTGCAAATGTAGAATGGTAGCTAATATCTAGTGGCACATTTCCACGTCTGCCTATTCGATTATGTCGATTCCCCAAAGAACACTGTGCTCTGCAATGTCACAGCAGTCATGTCACTCAAAAGCCTGTGATTACTCCAGCCGCTCTCATGAGAAATGAAAAGCTAAACTGACATTCCAGAGACAGAATAAGTGTTCTGAGAAGAGTCGCATTTAATCATTCAGATGTTGGACGGATGGTAGTTAATCTCAACTCAGACTGGACACTTTTTATAAATTTCTTGGTTCTAAAACTAAAGTTTCTTCATCAGGGCTTTGAAAAGTCTTAAGAGTTCTAAAATGTCCTTACTGACCAGTGTTGGGCAACAATGAGTTACTAGTAATGGGTTACTGTAACAGCACTACTTTTGACAGTAACTAATACTGTAATGCATTACTTTTTCAATATAGTAACTTCGTTATCAATACAATATGATGCGACTGTCCATTCCTTGGTAATTTAATTAATACTGGCTGCAATCTACCCAACATCTTCCTGTTTACAGCATCAACATTTTGTGGGATTGTTGGATGCCAACTAAGCTTGGTAAAGAAGACGCATCATCTACAAGGCGGCAGATTGGACAAAAGTAAACAAAGCAGAGAGACCGAATGTGTACAAGGTACAGTACACCAAGTGTGCATGTGAGAGAGACCGAGTGCACATGAGAGAGATCGGGTGTGCACAAGAGAGGCTAAATGTGCTGAAAGAGACAGAGATGCTATTAAGGCTACTGTTATTAATTACTACTATGTTTATTATGTTTCCCAGTGATGGGTTGCAGCTGGAAGGGCATCCACGGTGTAAAACTAATTTACAGGAAACCACAATCACTCTGTCTATTTCTGCTTTCATAGCAAATTCTTCCTGAATTCTCGTACCGCTATATACATTTCTGGAGCCAAATACATCCCAGGAGTTTTTTTTGCAGTTTTTGTTTTTGCGAATCCACCAGAGGCCGCTGTGTACGCGTTTTTAGATTTCAAATTTCTTCCGCGAGTTCCATTCATGACTGCTGTTCTTGCGTAAATACACCAGAGACTTCTGTCGACTGACTGTCGACTTACTGGTTAACTGACCGATCGACTGACCCACGCTCCTCCTTCCCCAAACTCAACCAGTAGTGTTTTCAAATGTACCAATTGACCCGCCCACCCACTTCCCTAAACCCAACCAACAGTGTTTTCAAAAGTGTTTATTTTATTTTTTGGCTTCTGTTTTTGTCTTGCCTGCTTTGAACTGTTCTTCACTGGACTCTAACCCTGTCATCGTGGTCAACTCATCTCTGCGTCACAAGTCCGCCAATGTCCATGGCGAGCAACTGGACAAACTGGTAACAGCGGGAAAGCAGTCCATATGGAGGTAAGCGGTCAGCTGGTAAGTGCGAAAAGGAATGGCGTCATACCGCCCGGTACATTTTAAAGACGAAATGCAGCCATAAATACTTCTGGCTACATATTTCAGGATCTCCAGAAATGTATATAGGGCTATGCTTTCAGAAAGAGCCTATGTTGGAATTCTTTATGGATTACTATGCTCTGCAAATTTCTACATATTTATTTGTAGCTTCTAACAAATAGATGTAACTCCACATAGCAACTTCATGGGATTAAATTTCTCTATTAGGAAAATTAATTGGTGTTATCCTACCAGAACCTAGCTCTATTGTGATAGTTGCATGATCTTGAGATATCTTAGTTCACTGATAAGATTGGACGTAGCCTTTCAAACAAAATGGGCACTGGTAATGTATTCCAGCATGCATCATTGATTCTCCTGATGCTAATTGTGGAGACTGATGGCATTAGAGCAGTGGGTCAAAACTTGAACATGACCCTCCGCACAGGCCATCAGCAACGTTCAGAGCATTGGAGCTGAATGGACAGACAGGCTATTCTCACGGTCGCTGCACATCAGCAATCTTCTTGTCTATTATACTTCATTATTTAGTAATGTAAGGGCATTTAGCATATTTCCTAATCGAAACTGCATCAGCATTTTAGTGTAATGGTAGTTTTTTTGCCATAAAAAAAACAATATTATGCTGTTTAAAAAGTTTCTTACAAAAGGTTTATATGCACCCAAAAATAAAGTCAGTGTGACATTCAAATTTACAATGTGTGTTTAGCTAGTGCACATTGTTTTTTTAGGTAAACAATTAATCCATGCAAGTTAATCCACTGAATTAGTTTTTGTTAGTTTGGTTAATTAATTTCAATCAAAAAGGAATCATTTACATCTGTGTTTCGAGAGGCAGTCCTTCTCTTTTGACTTCAGTTTGACCGCTTCAGCCACAATATTCTTTTTTTTTATTCCCAGGTTCTGCAGGCTGATGCATTTTGTGGAATTTTCCTTGCCAACCTTAAGCCAATTGTAATTGTTTGTTTTTTGTTAAATTTGGAATTTCCCGAACCCTTGCAGAGCCTGGGGGATCAGAATGAGCGCTCCTACTTGGCACCACCCTGATCCATTCAGCCACAATATTCCTTACCATGCTCCTCTTACCATTAGTTCACTATATATGAGGGAAGAGTGTGCATGTCCGGTTCACTTTAATTGAAAAAACACTATAATTTCTCCTGTTACATGACTCTCTGGTGTACTTGAATTTGATTGGTTAGTTGCAACACTGAAATTAATAACACAGGCTTATCCGAGTACCAGTGAATACATGGTTCATACCTCCAAATTTGCAATATATGGTTAACATAATTCTATAGTTGAACGCTTGATTGTCTTTGGCTTTGTGACTGTTTGGTGCCATTTTGTTACTAAATAATATGTAGGTTAGTGCATGCTCCATCAGCTCCATCAGCCATTTTCGGTTTTGTCAGATTTGCACTTAATTATAGATTTAACAGTGTGTTATGTTTCACATCAATGTTTTGTGTGTGTGTGTGTGTTTTTTTCTTTTTTTTTGTTTTGTGGAAAGTAGCCCTGTAATTTGCAGGATAAAGTACATCCAGGTGGTTGTTTTCATTGAATAAAGTCCTTCAGTCTTATACAACAGCCCTTAGCTTCAGATTAGGCTGCTGATAAGCCTGTCGGGGTATATTCTGCGATAACAACCGCCTGGATTTACTTTATTTCTTAAAAAAATACATTTAAAATCACCTCAGTTAATCACAGTTAATGTGATTTGTTTTATAGAGTTGTACTTTCTAAACCTTTGCTCAGATTGGTCAGACAGCATAGACTTTTTCGACTGGTCTATTGCTTACAGAATAATGAAATAAATAACCATGGTAGAAATAAAATAACCAAATAAAATAACCAAAAGAGATTTCCATATTTCACCCAAAACAGAAAATTCAGTCATTATTTATTCACATTTTCAATCTTTTGTTGAATACTAAAGAAGAGATTCTAAAGAAAGCCGAAAAATCTGTAACCCTTGTCCTACTGTGGAAGTTGGTGGTTACAGGTTTTTAGTTTTACAGAAGAAAGAAACTTATTAAGATTTGAAACCACTTATGCGAAAGTAAACAGGGAGCAAATTTTCATTTCTGCCTATACTATACGTTTAAAGGCCATGTTCAGAAAGAATAATAAGGGCACTTTAAGAACAAATTAATCTTCAGATGACACTTATTATTGAAAATGTGACTTTCTTATATCATTGTGAAGTATTCCTGTACCTTATTTTTAGACCGTAAGCAGTATATTGTGATTTGTATACCTCTAGGGTGAAGCCGATGACTTTGAAGCACTGCTCCACAGTCTCAAACTGCTCCTTATAGAAGGCATTGCCCACAATGTCAGGCACTAATTTAACATTCTCATTGTGGAGATACCTGGAATTGAGAAAAACAAAGAGGACAAAATAGACATAAGGATGTCAAAGCAGGACACAGATAAAAACAGCAGGCTGTTATCAGGTGTTAAAGAACTTACCTTGGAGTTTTGCTGTCTGACAGCTTGTAATGGCCGAGTTTCTTCCTCTCTGCCAGTCCGGCGTAGATATAATAGAAGATGTGGAAGTTGCGTTCCCCTCTGGAAAAAAGGTTGGTTTGTTTAAGATTAGAATCTACATTTGTAAAATTGCTGGTGTTAGATGTTTAGTAAACCCACGAGAACATGCAAACTCACAACACAATCTCATAGCAATTCGTAACTTTTGATTCAGTGGCTAATTCGTATGAATCTGTACGATCTAATTTGTACAACTTAGTACGATTTGCTCATCCCCCAATGACGGTTGGGGTTAGGGGTTGGGTGCCAAGCCTCCTTTTTAAAATTGTACAATTTTATACGAATTAGCCACTAAACTGACAAAATGTAAAATGCTTACATTTTCTCATGAAATCTGGCTGAAACTCCACATAGAAATGCCAACTGACCCAGCCAGGGCTCAAACCAGCAACTAAGGCAACAGAAATACCCACTATATATTTTATAAACTCATACACACTTACACTGCATGGTGGACGACTCGAGACTTCTCCAGCAGATAATCAGAGATCTGAGCTCCCACTACTGTCCCACCACAGGTGAACTTCATCTCCAGATATTTGCCAAAGCGACTGGAGTTATCATTGATCACAGTGCAGGCATTTCCGAATGCCTCGACCAGACTGTTAACCAGCAAAATCTTCTCCTGGAGGGTCCGATTGTTGGCCTGAAAAGAAAACAAAAAGCATTGCATTATTACATGGCTACTCCTTAATAATAATAAGAAGCTAAAAACCATTAAGAGGCATAATATACTGATTTTTTTGCATAAATTATTCATTAAGTGACTTTGGTATTTCTTTCTTATAATTTTGAGATGTAATTTTGCAGTTAACATCTCACAATCTTCTAAAAAAAATACCAGAAGTGTGAATTCTGAGGGGATAAAAATAAATTAGAGATCTAAAATAATCAACCGTGAGAAAAACAAAATCAAAACTATGCAATTCCTACAAATAAAAGTATAAATTATCATTATTTGTTTATTCTACACTATGGTAAAAACATGTATTCATAGATACTAAAAAAGAAATCTAGCATGTAAAACAGTAAGCAAATAAGTCTGCTCTCCAGACCTTTCCAAGGACAGTCAGCTGTTGGACTAGCAGGTGAGCACTCTCTGTTTTCCCAGCGCCGCTTTCTCCACTGATGACAATACACTACACACAGAGATGTACAGTGTTTACACTATGACTGACACACTCCAGCAGCTCACAGAGGAACATGCTCTACCTGATCTGCATTATAGGACACCATGGACTGATACGCAATGTCTGCCACTGCATATATATGTGGGGGGTTTGATGTTCGTTTGGCGCCAACATAACTCTTAGTATGCTGTAAGAAAACAAAAAGTATTAGGCATTGATTAATTTGATAATAAGACTTCCATACCTGTCAACATTGGGATGTGAAAATAAGGGATATGCCCACCATAATAAGGGATTCCCCTGACCCCCTTTAAAAAATCCCAAAATTACTAAAGATGCTCATTTAGAGCTGTTTCGTTGTAAATAAACAGTTAAATGGTCAGTAATGTTTTATTAATATTTACAAATTAAAAAATAAATAGTATACATTAGCAGCAAATACATTAGCAAACAGTTCAACTTATTAAAATGAATAGCTAAAAGAAAAGAAATAGAATCAAGTTATCAAATCCCAATAGTCGTTTCTTCACTGTATAACGTACACATTCTGATTAAAGAGCAACGAATGAATGATTTATTTAGTTTTTTTTTGTTTTTTTTTTCATTTGATTACATTAGATAACAGGTGTCACTTTAAAAATGCACACATCTAACATTATGAAAGCATTGGACTGCTTTCCTAACAGTTTATGCTCATTTAGGACGAAATTACTTGTGTTTAAAAAAAAAAAACTCCAAAGACCAACATCTTTAGATATTATTATTATTATTAATTATGTGTATATCTGTTTAAACACGCACCCAAAACCCAGACTTCTGCTCAGCTTCAAATCACGAGTACAGAATCCGTTTGGGAAACAGCGTCTATTTATTACTATGGAGCGCGTCAGCTGAAAGTCATGCACCATTATATGACTGTTTTGAGAATTGCATATGAAGGGGAGACGGCACCTGTATTGAATAGGAAGGGAATCGCGCCGTTTTTATGTTTATTTCAATAGGTTTTCGTGCCAAAACAAAGCGAAAGCACAGAACAGACTCGCATTTAAGAGGGCGGCCCCTGGTGGTTCGGCGGTATGGGTTGCGTATGGGAGGCTCGACTCTTTAATGTTTATTAGCCACCCTTCAGAGAAAGACTGAAAATACCTTTACGAACATTTGTTTTGAACATTTAGAACATTCGTATTTTGGATATAATTACTCAAAACACCAACAGACAACATTTCATAGGCTAATAAATTAGAATTTTAGGGGATTTAAACTGCATTTGAGTTTACCAAATACTGCTATTGTGATCTCACATCATCTATATCCATAGTAAGCAGTCATTTCAAAGTGTATGAATGACAAGATCACATAAAACAATTCATTTTTTGCACAAAAATATATGTAATAATGCAATAACACTAAATAAATGCAGAATGACAGCTGAGAAAGAAAACGACTGAAGAGATGTGGCCGTAAAATGAATGTAGTCGACTATGAAATGTTGATGGCATTTATAATAACCCCCCCCCCATCTCCTCCGCCACTAAACACACTCACCTCAGGTGTGTATAACTCGGTTTTGTGAAATGGATTGACCGCTATAAGGATGTCTCCGACGTAGGTGTAGATCTGCTCCTTTGTGTAACGTCTCTGTAGCTGTTCGGTGATTGTGTTCTAACAGAGAAATAATTACACATCACAGATGGCCATCACTGCGCACCTCAATCAGACTCTCATATATAGACATTGTAAGATGATTCATCATGTAGTCGACTGTACATTATGATTACTGCACACTATATACAGTTGAAGTCAGAATTATTAGCCCTCCTGAGTTATTAGTCCCCCTGTATGTTTTTTCCTCAATTTCCGTTTAACTGAGAGAAGATTTTTCAACACATTTCTAAACATAATATATAACAATAATTGATAACTTATTTGAAATAACTGATTTAATTTATCTTTGCCATGATGACAGCACATTATATTTTACTAGACATTTTTCAAGACACTGGTATTCAGCTTAAAAAGACTTAACAAGGTTAATTAGGTTAACTAGGCAAGTTATAGTAATTAGGCAATCATTGTATGATAACGGTTTGTTCTGTTGACAATCGAAAAAGAAATATTGCTTAATCTTGACTAGAAATGGTTAAAAAAAAGATTTTATTGTAGCTGAAATAAACCAAAGACTTTTTCCAGAAGAAAAAATATTATAGGAAATGCTGTTAAAAATTCCTTGCTCTGTTAAACGTCATTTCAAGAGATCACACTTAGCTGATGATTGATTATAAGCAAGTTTGCCATGCTGACATGAGAGAGCCCTGAGCCCAAAAGGTCCTTGAGCCCTGGGCTCCCTCCCATTTGCAGGGTGAGATGGGAGCTTTAAGCTCTGGTATATCTCGACAACTCCCCCCTTGATAAGAGCTGATGACTAAAATGATCGCTATGAAAAGATATGCTGCAGGATGAGAGTTTGACTGTAGTGCAAAATTTAGATTGATCAATTCACTTGTAGTGCATGTTTTTGAATGTGGGAGGAAACCAGGAAAAACCCATGCAAGCACGGGAAGAACATGCAAGCTACGCACAAAAAACGAAGCCAGTCTGTTAACAGACTAGAAATAGTGACGTTCTTGCTGTGAGGCAACAGTGCTAACCACTGGGCCACTGTACCGCCCTATGAAGGGAAAGGTAGGGGTGGAAGGGGGGATTCTTCAAATCGAAGATGACTGTAGTGAGAAACCCTGGCTCTTTATAGTGGGTTAGGAATCGCCTGATTGGTGGATCATACATCGCTAATGCAGAACCAGCCGTGTTTAATCATACTCAAGTGATCCTTTCGAAATTAGTTTATAAATAAACTTAATTTGCTAAATTTTTTTTAAAAAGAAACAAAAATTCAAAGGAGCGCTAATAATTTGGACTTTACCTCCACATTTTGTTGCCCGATGAGGCTAATATGACCATATAGCACAGGTACACACGTCACTAGTCTCCATATGGTGATATCAGTACAAGGACATAAGCATAAAGTACTTTCATTCAGCACTGCTACCATAATGGATGACAAAACACATGTGGTGTCAATGAGACCTCCTGTGCATTGATAGATCACCTTAAATGTGTTTCAATACAAACTCTGTTATTGTTCACTAATCTGTCTATTTATTCACTTGACAGTTAAAATATGAGACTGCTAGGATGAGTTATAGTCACTTGACAGTTTCCCTGAAAAATGCTGCGGGGCGATGGAAGAAGTCGAAAACATTCCAGCTGGAATGAATGGGCTGTCTGACAGAAAGATGGGAAATTTCCTGAAGTCTTGAGACTGCAGGTATGTTCATTCATTCATTTTCTTTTTGGCTTAGTCTCTTTATTAATCTGGGGTCGCCACAGTGGAATGAACCGCCAACTTGTCCAGCATATGATTTACACAGCGCATGCTCTTCCAGCTGCAAGCCATCACTGGGAAACACCCATAAACTCTCATTCACACATACACTAAGGAGAATTTAGCTTACCCAATTCACCTATAGCGCATGTCTTTGGACTGTGAGAGAAACCGGAGCACCTAGAGGAAAACCCACACGAACATGGGAAGAATAAACAAACTCCACACAGAAATGCCAATGCTCTACTTAGCAACCTTCTTGCTGTGAGGCGACAGCGCTTCCCACTGCGCCACCACTACAGGTATGTATTGATGATCAGAACCAAATTGTCTGTGTATGTGCTTGCTGTAGCTTTTCTTGTGCCTTACTTCATCTAGAACCTCTAGGGTTGCCAGATCATCAGCGTCGTCACACGTTTGACTTTGAGACTTCATGTAGCTGTTTTTCTTGGTGTGGATACGCTCATGCCTGCAACACAAAGAGTATGGGCTTTGGAAAAAGCAACCGTGAAAGTTAAAAATCACATTACTTTCTCATTCAGATTACCTTGGTGGAGTTATTGATAAAGTCATTAAAGATAATGATGAAATAAAAATCAATAGTTATGTGAGAAAATTGCTTTCGTTTTGTACAAAGTCATTTGAAAAGCACTGTGTCTAATTTAAATCTCTATGTTTTTCAAGGTTATTATTGTTGTCTCAGAATCTATACAGCATAATTATGAATAAATTCCCTTGATTGTTATAGCACTACGAAAAAAAATGTTGTGTTTTATATAGTTAACTGTTATTATTATACATGAGTTATTATTTTATACAGTACACGGATCTACTGTTTGTTTGTTTATTTTTTTGGTCCCACTTTATATTAGGTGGTCTTAGTTACTATGAACTTGTATCAAACATAAACACAATGTACTTACTGTGTTCACAATGTATTGGTGGTATGGGTAGGTTTAAGTGTAATGGTTAACAGTGTAATTACAAATAAAGTTACAGACATTAATTACAGATGTAATTGCATGCATGTATTTAATCAATCCTAGTACAATGTAAAAACACAAGAAGTACATTGTAACAAATGATTATTTCAGTGTAAGTACATATTAGTTAAGGCCACCTAAGGTAAAGTGGGACCATATTTTTTATTATTGTTCTTGCGGAGTGTTTTTTTTTTTTTTTTGAAATTCCAGAGCCAATAAGCAGAAGATTTGAGCACATATGCTAAATGATGCTAATGTACTAGCTGCTAAAATGAGTTTCCTAAAGACATGTCTGGTTAAAACACAAGAACAGACCATTGGGTACACAATGAACAGTTTAGGAAAGCAATAATAGATGCCACAACACAAGACTCAGGAAGCTGCTGCTACTACATCCACAGGAAGTAGACACTACATTCAGTCCACGAGACAGTCACTGTCTGTACCTGGAGTCACTGTCCCTGTCAGATTTTCCGAGAAGGCTTAAACAATAGAAATAAAGTTACAATTTCAAGAGACATCTATAATGTAATGATGGGGGTCTTGCTACTCTCTATCTGGTAAATTGCACGTGGTAGAAATAAAGTGCCGACACAAACTAGTCATGCTGTTTTGTTTTTGTCTAGTCAGACACACTGCATGATTCAGAAAACATTAGGGCTGATATTTGCATCTACCTTGTTTTCTCAATGATGCCCATTTGCTGGTTGAGGTCGATTAGCTCCATCAGCTGCTTCTGCAGCGTCTTCTCTCGGCCCACAATCTGTTTGATGAAGACATGCTGAAGAAGGTCAAGCACATTGGGCCTGAGCTCAAAATCCTTTATCAGACACCTGAAGGGGACACAATCAAAAAATGGGTGGAATTTGTGCTGCGATGTCTGAGATGTCACATTAAATAGCAACTGATAAGAGCCAGAATCAGCAAACACAAACAAGCTAAAGGTTGCTGAGATGAATTCAGTTTCAAACAATGCTCTGGTAAACAGCAGGAGGTTAATTAGAGAATAAGGAGCCATGTATGGCTTTAAAGAGAGTGATTAACATACAAAAAGAGTTTGAAAATGAACTAATTTTTAAAAAACTTTTAACCCGTTACTCACTTGCGTATGAAATCGTTAAAGTCGTTTGACCAGAGCTCTGGCTGGTGTAGAGTGGGTGGTGGATTTCTGTTCAAGGAAAAAAAAAAACAGAGAAACAGAAAGAGATAAGTGAGATGAGAAATGATGAACTGCTCACAGCAAATTAATCCTATTCATTTTAAAGGGAGATGCATTCCTCACTTGATAAGATTATTAGATTGCTGCTTAGAATGGGCTGTGGTTAAGATGAATCGTTTCATTGGTTCTTAAAAGCGCAGAATATAAAAAGTATGCAAACGAAGAAAGATGTGTGTTTATCAATATACACTTGCACATGCTATGAAAAAGACTGGGACAACTCTATAAACACATCTATTAGAATTATAACAAATATATTATAAAATCTTCATTCAAAATGATATCTACCTCCTCCCCTTCGCCCTACGCCTTCAAGCTAAAGAGAATTGAGACACCCCAACCCCTTCACCTGAATGTGCAAAACAAGGGGTAGGGCTAAGGGGAAGGGCTTAGGGGTAGAATTGGGATTGGGCCTTAAGTTAACTATATAACTACTAACATCTTGCACAGCAGATTATGAAATACAATCAATAGGGTATAAAAGTGTGACAGTTATTCCAAAGCTCCCTTCCCCCCAAGTGCTCTTGTGCAAAAACACTCATGAAGGCAGCCAGAAAGCTCTTCCCTGTACAAGTAGATAAGTAAGCAGATAGACACTTAACGGTGTCACCGAGGACCTGACAAGCGTTCCCCGCTGTGGAACAATAGAGCTAATTAGCCATCATTTGGTGTCCTGGTGAAGGGGGCTATTAGCAAAGGGAGAGCAGGGTTGAGGAGGTGTTTCTCCAGCCCAACGGCTACAGGAACGCTCTCGCTAGCTGCCTCTGACAGCGATTCATTACTCTAATGGGGGGCATACATCTCTGCTTATCACACGCTGCACCCCACACAAACAGCGGGTGTCAGATGCTTCAATGGAAACGCTTGGGCTATTCAAATGCAGCCTTATCGGAAACACAGACGCAAACAATAAAAGATTACAGACGAAAACAACAAGCCATCTGCAATTTAAAACACACCGTTAAGAGAACTGATTTGAAAATCACCAGAGAACATGAATGATGTGGGATTTAGTTTGTTCAGCTCAAAATAATAGAAGCAAATATTCCATAATACATGGTACACTTTTACTAAATAGATTAATTTCATTTCATTTTCCTTCAGCTTAATCCTTTTATTAATCTGAGGTTGCCACAGTGGAATGAACCAGCAACTTATCCAGCCTCTTTTACACAGTGGATGCTCTTCCATGTGATCACTCAATTGAATGGGCGTTAATAGTGGTTATTAGCTGATAGATATGGGCCAGTAAGGGCCTTCTGTGCCTACTCGTTGGCTCAGATGACTGTTATCCATCCACATGGTTGATCAGCTATATTAATAGAGGAGACTCCGGATTCAGATCTGTTTTTACATTACTGTGATGGTTGGGTTTAGGGTTGGGGTAGTAGTAGACGTTAATATTATTAATATTATTATTAATATTATTGGGAAATTTAATAAATAATATAAATAATTCTCGTTAAACTCTTGCCGTAGCTGTATGTGATCTAGCTAATTAGCCATCTGGATGATGATAACAGCCTTCTGGGCCTACCAGTAGGCACAAATCACCTGATAACCACTGATAACACCCATTCAATTGCGTAATAACATTTAAATTGGTTGCTTAGTCTCGGAATGGAACATTTATAGTAATTTCTAGTCATAAACTGACAAAAAAAGGAGAAAAAAATGATTAGCATTTTTTCCCCCTGAATTATAAGTTTATATCTAGAAAAATAGTCTCGAATGTCACAATCACCAGCGATCTAGCCTATGTAGATCGCTGGAGAACTACACATCTGCCACCATATGAACTACAACTACCATAATGGTTTGCACCAATCAATACCCTCTACGGCTGAGAATAATACGGATACACACACATTGAAATTCATGATCAATGATTACCTGGATTATAAGGACTCCTCTCATTTTTACTCACATTGCTGAGTTTTTTTTGTTAATAAACTGCACTCAGATCCTCAACTCCATTGTACAGCATCCTATCGTTACACAGAAGTGTGCAACATTTTCTCAAATTCACAAATATTACCTTTTTATTTATTAATTTTTTTTATTATTATATTGTATTATTATTTTTTACATCCCATGGCAGAAACAGGCTTCCAAAAAAAACTTTAATAGAAAATATCCATAGAAAGGTTTTAGGTTTGTGTGTGTGTGTTCTGACAAATATAGAAAAAGATAATCATTAAATAGAAATCTTCTGTAATATTTGAAATGTCTTTACCACAACTTTTGACCAAATCATCACTTAATAAATGTATTATTGCCTGTTTCTCAAATAATATTTTTATTTATTAATTTATAGCTGGTTTGATGGTTGTGTATGGCAAAACACTGACAACTGGAATAGATTTAACAAACATCTATTGTATCTCAACCTTTAGTTTAACTGTTTTCTTTTTGGTTATCCATTCACATAGTATCATTCACATATTCAGATTGTGGACCAGCTTTCACAGGAAGTGTTTTTTCTGGTTTATTGTGGCTCTCAGCCTCTGTCCGACAGCTAAATGTGTGTATTCCTGCCTGTGGTTTGCTTTGCTGCCGGTGGGGGGCTGAATGTAGACATTGCCCAGGGCTTGAGTCTGGTCCAATCTAGGTCACACAAACATAACACTTAACATGCTGTCAGCATGTGCCACTGGCCTGGTAAAAACTGGATACAAACCAACTCTCAACCCCACTGTATAATCGTTATACCTGATTCATTCAAAGTCACACAAATCATTCGGACACATGAGTTTGTAGCTGACCAATGCAAATTGAAAGAGTGTAATATATATATATATATATATATATATATATATATATATATATATATATATATATATATATATATATATATATATATAGCTCTTGTCCAGCCTCTTCACCCTTCTGTATTACTCCACCCACATACAGCAACAAGCAAAGGACACTCTACAGTTTAACAAATATTGCTGTTGTTGGACAACATAATGTACATGAATGTTGTTGTTGTCGTTGTTTAGTCGAGAATGTGTGTTGTCGTTCATTTTCTTTTAGCTTTGTCCCTTATTTATCAGGGGTCACTATTCCAGTGGTTTTTAAGCTGCGGATGCCCTTCCAGCTGCAAGCAAGTACTGGGAAGCACCCAGTACTCTCACACCCATACACCCATACACTGTCACATTCACACATGTACTTATACAGTACGGCCAATTTAGTTAATCCAATTCACTTGTAGCACATGTGTCTGGACTGGGGGGAAAACCAGAGCACCCAGAGGAAACACATGAACACGAGGAGAACATGTCAACTCCACACAGAAATGCCAACTGGCCCAACCGGGGCTCGAACCAGCGACCTTCTTGCTATGAGGCGACAGTGCTCATACTGCATTTTGAAAACAAAATAAATAAATAATCCATTCGGAACTAAATCTTGAGTGAAATATTTTGAGAGCATTGAAATGTGTGATTATAATGGCAGCGTTCCAGTTTTGTCACATTGCATTGCTCATTGTCAGTCTGGATGGGTGGGGGTGAAGGTGTGCTTTTTCTCCTTATAAGAAAAAGCCAGAACATGAGAGAGACCCAACAAAGACAGCCTGCAGTGTGTACATGAGCAGTCAAAAGCATTAGCACGCTGCTCTGTGATTATCCCCAGCACCCCCACCACTGACTGCAGCAGCGCTCTATAGACGATGCACATGTGAGGTTTACTGGAACACGAAAGTGCTGCACCATCAAGATGACACTAGTGATAACAGTTTCTGGTCTGCGCATGAAAACAGTAAACAATCCTATTTCACCTTCAGACAGGTTGGTGCACAATGGAGAGAAAATTGCTAAGCTTGTATCTGCAAAGATTTTAAGAAAGTATGCTTGCATCTACAGTACATGATGTAGGATGGAAAGAGCTGAAATGAAATTCCTAGATGCACAAAAAATCTCAACATGTGCATGAAAATTTACAGAGGCTCTGAAGGGACATGTGCAAAAATTAAATAATGAAGACTTTTGTAATACAATGTTGTGTGCACAAGATACATGTCCAGTGCGATAACAAAGACATACAAATCATGTGTGTTCAACATAGCATTGCATGCTCACAACATAGACATACGTATTACGTGCAGATGACACATATCGCGTGCGCATGACATAGTATTATGTGCGCATGACATACATATTGCATGCGTACAAGTTACATATCCTGTGCAATGACATAGATATACAAATTGCGTGCGCATGACATAAACATACGTTTTGCATCCACGTCCGAACGAAATACATATCGTGTCCGTACAAAATATGTACAGCGTCCGAACGGAATACATATCGTGTGTGCACAACACAGTATCACATGCACGCAACATAGTATCATGTATGCATGACATACATATCGTACGTGCACAAGATACATATCCCGTGCGATGATATAGATATACAAATTGCGTGCGCATGACAAAAACATACGTATTGCATCCGCACAAAATACATATCGCGTCCGAATGAAATACATACCGCATCTGAACGAAATACGTATTGTGTCAGAACAAAATACATATTGCGTGTGCACGACATAGTATCACATGCACACAACGTAGTATCTAGTATGCATACACGCATGTGCACAAGATACATATCCCGTGCGATGACATAGACATGCAAATTGCATGCGCACAAAATAGTTATCGCCTGTACAAGACATACATATTGCATACGCACAAGATATATATATCCCGTGCGACAACAAATCGAGTGCATACAACATAGTATTGCATGCACACAACATAGACATACATATCACGTACACATGACATGCATATCGCGTGCAAATGACATTGTATCATGTGCACACAACATACATATCGCATACGCATGAGATACATATCTCGTACATTGACATAACATACAAATACCAAACACACAAAATAGTAGCGTGTGTACACAACATAGACAAACATATCGCGGTTGCACAAAATAAGTATCGCCTGTACAAGACATACAGTACATATTGCATGCACACAAGATGTAAAGTTCATGCGACGACATAGAAATACATAGAGCGACATAGAGTTACATATCCCGTGCTACGACAAAGATATACAAATTGCGTGCACATGACATAAACATACATATCGCGTCCTCACACAATACGTCTCGCATCCGAATGAAATACATATCACGTGCACATGACATAGTATCATGTTCGTACGACATATTGCATGCGCGCAAGTTACATATCCTGTGCAATGACATAGATATACGAATCACGTGCGCATGACATAAACATACTTATTGCATCCACACGAAATATGCATATCGCATCCGAACGAAGTACAAATTGTGTCTAAACGAAATTCGTATCACGTTCGAATGAAATACATATCGCGTGTACATGACATAGTATCGCATGCACACAACATAGTATCGTGTAAGCATGACATACAGATTGCATGTGCACGACATGCATATCACTTGCACATGACATTCGTACTTGTACAAAAACTTGGGTGATTTACCTTGGTATTTTGAAGAGAGCTCTCATTGGATGGAGTTCAGCGAGAGGCGGGTCTCCATCACCTAGCTCTATGGCTGTGATTCCCAATGACCAAACATCACAGCGTTCATCATATGTGGAGTCCAGCTGCTGCTCACACGCGATGACCTGGTCAAATACACAAACACGGTCATTACCAAACTGCAGATGTTTATAACTGATAATGACTGTAAATAAAACATATACAGTTGAATTATTAGCCCTTCTGAATTATAAGCACCCTTGTTTTTTTCTTTTTCTTTTTTTTTTGCAGTTTTTGCTTATATACACATAATAGATTTAGTTAACTGACTTATAATAACTGATTTCTTTTAGCTTTGCAATGATGACAGCACATAATATTTGACTAGATATTTTTTCAAGATAGTAGTATTCAGATTAAGGTGACATTTAAAGGCTTAACTATAGGTTAATTAGGTTAACTAGGTAAATTAGGTTAATTAGGCAAATCATTGTATAATGATGGATTCTTCTGTAGACAATGGAAAAAATATACAAGTGGAGTAATAATATTGACCTTAAAATGTTTACAAAAAAAAAACCTGCTTTCATTCTAGCCTAAATATAACAAATGAGTACTTGAGAAAAAATGAGAAATGAGAAAATGAGAAAAAAAAAACATTAAAGGAAATACTGTAAAAAATTATTTGCTCTGTTAAACATCATTTGGTAAATATTTGAAAAAAGAAGAAGAAAAAAAATCACAAGAGGGATAATTATTTTGACTTTAACTGTAGCTGCAGCAATATAACGAATCATTTGTGTTTTAAAGTGAAATATAATTACCAGTTTAAAAAGCAGAGCCAACTACATGAAACTAGCATAAAAATGACACATATTAGCTGTTACATTTTAAATGCCTGTTTGCAGTTGTTGTATTATGTTGTATGCAGTTTAAAGTATGCAATGTGTGACAAAAAAAAGAAAAAAGACAAAAAACCAAAACAAAAACAAAAAAACTAATGAACAAACAAATAAATGAATAAACAAACGAATGAACAAAAACCAACAAACAAACAAATAAATGAATGAATGAATGAACGAATGAATGAACAAAAACCAACAAACAAATAAATAAATACATGAACAAATGAACAAAAAATAAACAAACAAATGAATGAACGAACGAATGAATGAACAAAAACCAACAAACAAACAAAATGGATGAACGAACAAACGAATGAACAAAAACCAACAAACAAACAAATGAACAAACAAATAAATGAACAAACAAACAAACAATTAAACAAAAACCAACAAATACGAATGAACAAATGAACGAATTAACAAAAACTAACAAACAAACAATAAATAAACAAACAAATAAACAAACAAACAAAAAAAATTAATAAATGCATTTTTACATACATACATAAATAAGTAAATAAATGAATAAATAAACCCTTTTTAAATTATCGTTTTGCAAAATTAAATTAGATATTGAAGATCTAATTTTATTTTGTTGAATTCAAAAAACAAAGAAATTATATATATTGTATGTATATAATACACCATGTCATCATACTTTACATTCATTCATTCATCCATTCATTCATTCATTCATTCATTCATTCATTCATTCATTTTCTTTTTGGTTTAGTCCCTTTATTATTCAGGGTTCGCCACAGCGGAATAAACCACCAACTTATCCAGCATATGTTTTACGCAGCGGATGCCCTTCATCCATTCACACACATTAACACTTTGGCCGGTTTAGTTAGTACTAATGTATAACAGTGTGGAAAATACACAGTAAATAGTAAACTTGCCAAAAGCATGCTTTCTTTCAATTATTATCTAAAATATACATTTAAAGTGCAAAGTTAGCAGTTAAATTAGCAGAGACATTAGAAATTTAAAGAGACTACAGAGAGATTTAAAAACAATAAAACATTGTTCTCTACATAATTACAATTGTTTGTATACGTGCTTGTTCATTCAATAAACCAAATGTACCTAAAAAATAAGAATTAATAAACAAACAAATAAACAAACAAATAAATAAATAAATAAATAAATAAAAACAGGTCTTACCTCAGAATTAGAAAAACAAATAAACCGTCTAGCTTCTTTGGTATGTTTAATCCGTGCGAATGATCCAGATATGAACTTAGAATGTTCCCTGTAAATGTTTTGGCAGTCTAAAAGCGCACTAATGAAAAATCCCTGTTTGTGTTTTGATTGTATTGACACCTAGGACAAATTGAGGCACGTAAGCCTCTACCCTTGAGTCATATGGAAATTATGGCTCAAAACAACTTCAGAGCTGTAGTCCTCGTTCCCTGTCTCATATGGAAATCTTATGGAAAAACCTAAACCAACAAAAACATTTGCAGTCCACAAAGTCACCTCCATGCTTTGCAAACTACTTGCCAACGGTCTCACCTCAGGAGCCATCCAGAAGGGCGTTCCCACCGAAGTGTTCCTCCTTAGTCGGGTGTTTGTGAGCTGGGCTGAAACCCCTGATCAGAGGAAGAAAATTCGACACATTTATGATGTAATGTAGTTATGCAAAAATACTGTAGGTTAATGAATGTCTTGTCTTCAGATATACTTAACAAACATCTTGCACACAAATGTTCTGTCCAATGTAAAAGTACTTGTATAATCAGTCTTCAGTTATTTGTATAGAGACAAAGCACATTTAGGCCACGCCCCCATGGGATCAATCCAACTTGCTCCAATGACTTTCTATTGCAGTAGAGTTTCCTTCTTGTCATTTCTGACTAACAAACAAAATAAAACAATGTCTAAAAGTTATATGCGATAAAGCATAATGTACACAAGCTATTAATATCTAGATCCAAGTATTTATTTTTTTGGTCGGCAGCTAGCTCACTGTAACTCACACATGGTCGACCACTTGAAGCTAAGCAGGGCAGTACCTGGATGGGAGACTGCATGGAAAAAGCTAGGTTGCTGCCTGAAGTGGCGTTAGTGAGGCCAGCAGGGGGTGCTTAACCTGAAGTCTGTGTGAGTCCTAATGGCCAGAATATTGACTCTATACTGCTCAGTGAGTGCCGTCTTTCGAAAGCAATGTTAAACTAAGGTCCTTTAAAAAAAAGAATAGGGCTTAACCTCGGCACCCTGGCCTAATATGCATCTCCATTTTATAATTGGCTACATCACTCTGTCTCCTCTCCACCAATCAGCTAGTATGTGGTCTGGTGCAAAATGGCTGCCGTCGCATCATCCAGATTTCCCCCAAAAATGTGTAAAGAGCTTGGAGTGTCCAGAAAAGCACTATATAAATGTAAGAAGTTAGTTGACTCCAACAAATGATGTTTAAGAACACGAAAAGTAGACCTGAACATCTTACATTAGAGAACTAAAATTGAATTATGATGTGTTATGCTCTGTATCCTTCTTCTTCTTCTTCTTCTTCAGCCTTAATCCCGTATGGTTGCGGGTTTGGCTCTTTGGAACAAGTCCTCCATTTAGCCTTTTACATAAGATAACAACTTTTTTACACATTCCGGCCGGCCTGTCGTCTGGACCCTCATACAGTCATACACTATGGACAATTTAGCCTACCCAATTCACTTGCAGCATGTCTTTGGACTGTGGGGAACCCGGAGCACCCAGAGGAAACCCACGCGAACGCAGGGAGAACATGCAAACTCCTCACAGAAATGCCTTAGCTGAGGTTCGAAAAAGCGACCTTCTTGTTGTGAGGCGACAGCACTACCTACTGCGCCACTGCTTCGCCCGTGTCATGCTCTGTATCCATAGTTAGGCATTTATAGTATATGTTTACCCACACAACAACATTTCTCTGGCCCACACAATCAGCTTTTGCTTGGGTTACATGCCGCAGTGAATTCTGGTTTTCAGACGAGGGCCAAACATCGACCATATTTGGGCAAAATCTCAGCCAAGTTAATAACCCATAACTGGGCCGGATAGAGCTCATGTTTGGCTATTGTCTAAAAGCCAGACCTGGTGTGTCACAACTGCAATGTAATTGATAAACCCATGAAGCATTGAGCTTAAGTCATGCTATGGGCATGCTTTTTTGAAGCGCCTGATTTGTAGAATGTTGTTAAATTTAGATTTTAAAGCAGAACACTTTAATTTGTGCTTGTGAGATGCAACATACAGGAAACAATAGATTAATAATTCAAATAATTAAATCTTGATTTGTTCCTGTATCAAAATAAAGGCATTTGAAGATGCAATCAGGAAGATTGAAATTACTTTGTGTATAAAAATATTTCTTTACTCAAAAATAAATTGAAAGTATTTTAAATGTGGGGCAAGATAGGCCAAGCTTACAGTCCATGGTCCATATATCAATGTTTAACATCTGGGCCATATACTACATTTGACATTTGGCCCATGTCTTGTATGCTGCCTTAAAGACAGTGCTACCTGGTGCAAACCCGGGCCATGTTTGGCCCACATGCTTTATGCCAGTACTTGATAAATGTATGCTATATAAATCTGGGCCAGAATAATTTGCTACTTTGGTAGGTAGCAGTTAGTATACTGTAAAACCCAAAAAGTAATGTTAACTCAAACTAATTGAGGTTAACTGATTGCAGCAAACCATTTAAGATTTGAAACAAAATGGTTTGGGCACTATAAACTTATATCACATACGTTATTCGTGGTATTATCATCAAACGTTTTGAGTTTTTGTAACAAACATTTTAAGTTTAGCTATCAAATCGGTATGATTTCAGTTGATAGAACAAATTAATTAAAACTATACAGGAATGAACAATAAAATAAAACAAGGGTCAAACATGGGAAGGCAAGGCAAGGGAACCGCATAGTAATGCTCATAGTACAGTTAAACAAGACTCAGCAACTGGTGTGTGTGTGTGTGTGTGTGTGTGTGTATCTGTGCTGCATTTAAAGTTCATGTAATCAGTTCTGAACGGCTTCAGCTGTGTGTGTTAGCAATCAGCGGAAAACTGGAACAGATGTGAGTATGTGGTGCATGACAGGAGTTGTAGTTCTGAGCGAAAGTGAATGATTCCCAGTGATCTACAATCCTGGATTGCTGTTAATTGTGACGAGTTCTTTCATCACTGATATGGTTTCTGCTTAAAATAATAAATTTTTAAGTTACCATAATTATTTTTCAACTTTTTAAAAAGCGATAAGTCAAACTAGCTTACTTCATTTAGTGAATTCCACTGTTAGGTTTACAGAGTATAGTAACATTACCACTCCAGTATATGCTAGTTATGCATAAACTGTAAAAATGATGAGTTCCACACAATCCATTTGTGTTGTCTCAACACAAATCTATTAAGTTACCTTAATCATTTTATCACATTTAAGTGGACTGAACATAAATCAATGAAGTTGTCGCCCCAAAAAACGTACAAACTGTGTTGTTTTAACTCATTTTAATGAAGTAGTTTGAACAAGCAGTAATTTAAGGTTTAAAATAGCTCTAAGTTCCAGCGTTGTGTTTGCATTTATGATTATGTTTGTTTATGTAGCACCATGGTCCTTTGAGTTGCGAAGGTTTAATTCACTTTCTGTCCACACATGCAGTGGAATGACAAAAAAGCTCAGCTTGACTTGACTTGACATATAATGAGCTGGCTTTTAGCCGAGCAGCAATGGAAACACAATTTGAATAGAGATCAAGCAAGGTCACAAAGAAAACAAAATGTTTTGCCCTTGTTTGTGCGAACATCAAACATCATAGTGCTGATCCTGAGAGGACACTCTCTTTCAACTTTCATCTCTAATCAAACACCATTGACAAATTTAACCCAAGAAATTCAGGAGTACTCAGATACGTGTGTTTAATTAGAAATGTAGCTACTAAGACCTTTGCATTAGCCTCCATATAATAACTAAAGTCATTATTTATTCTTATTGCCACATTATATCGATATGAGAACATAAGACCATTCTCTTCAGTGATTTCCTACAGATAAATACCAGAAAATAACGCAACTGGAATAACTACAGCAGTGACGATCGTTGATCACATATGAAGTAAGAGATTGCAGCGACATATGAGGACGTGTGCAGGTGCTGTATTTTGTAGCCTTTCTCCTTTACACTTCCTTTCAAGGGCAAAGGGCAAGGGGAAGAGGTAGGGGCACAAACATGGAATTAGGATTGGGCCTAAAACTGGTAAATCATATACAATCTGAAATGTTTAGAGCAGATTAATCTCGTCGCTTTTTTTTTTTTTTGCTTTTAAAATGATCCACGATTAATTTAGAATCTTTTTAAAAGAGCCTCCCTTCTATTTCTGAAGGATTACAGCTTTGATTCACCAGTATTAAGTAAACAGCAGATTTCTGGCAGTTCCAAAAAGAATTTCTTGCTTTCATAACACTCATGAACACATTAAATCCCCACAACACATGAAACGAACACAAAAAAAAAAACGTTGATTTGTGTATACTATGGGCTGTAAATGCACAGGAGAAGACAATAGATGTACTGAAGAACAACACACACAGGCACACACACACTACTAAACAGTCTCCTGCGGCTGTTCCCTTTTTGCTACATTAGATCCGCACGGGGCCCCGGGGCCGGTCTTAATAATCATCAGAGATAACACTGCCAATTAGAATATTCATGACAAAGCCACTAAAGCGTCCTCCTCCACTCCCCCCTTCCTTTCCCTCTTTTTGTCTAATAATGCAGTTTTTTTTTTCTTCCCTTCATTCAGATGAGTCAGTGTGGGGGCTTTATCTGCTCAGTAAAGCGTGAGCCCCTTCACACGGATAACGCATTAGGCATGCGTGACTCTGAGCTCGGAGACGTGGGCACGTGGAGCCCCATACTGCCGCGGTCCGACAGCCACCCACTCGCCGTGGCTCCGTTCCTGACAGTGGGAGACAGATATCGCCCCCAGCATGACTCTGGCCGAGCACTCAGCAAATGCACTGCTTTTTTGGGGAAAAAATAGGTTGACAGTGTAAACTGAGCAACATTTAAGGGAGGTTTTTATGTGGTTTGGAGCAGAAAGACACTGTGAAGGACTTAGTGTAATGTCATGTTTCCAATTAATTTTTTTAATTAAAAATAATTATTAAGGGGGCGACGCAGTTGTTGCTGCGTCGCTGGTTCGAACCTCGACTCTCGATTTCTGAAGGGAGTTTGCATGTTCTCCCTGCGTTCGCGTGGGTTTCCTCCGCGTGCTCCGGTTTCCCCCACAGTCCAAAGACATGCTACACAAGTGAATTGGGTAGGCTAAATTGTCTGTAGTGTATGAGTGTGTTTGGATGTTTCCCAGAGATGGGTTGCAGCTGGAAGGGCATCCACTGCATAAAAACATGCTGGATAAGTTGGCGGCTCATTCCGCTGTGGCGACCCCGGATTAATAAAGGGACTAAGCCCTGAATGAATGAATGAATGAATGAATAATATTAAACAGGCCCGTAGCCAGGCTGGTGAAAGTGGACCTTTTTGCAGTTCTTCAAAACATTAAGTCATGCTGGGCCAAATTTGGCATCCAAAATTCTGTACTGACAGC